GTTAATCAACACTTGTATCGTCTGGATAATGGGTTTCGTAGTTCTCCAAGTTTCCGCTCCATACAGTCGAACTATCTTGACATTTGTGTTGAAAATTCTGATTTCGGTGTTGATTGATATTTATTTGGAGTTCCAGATGTTCAATTGTCGAAATGCAGCCGTTGCTTTGCTAATGCATATCTTCACATCTGCATTGGATCCACCTTGGTTGTCGATGATGCTGCTCAAAAATGAAAAGGTTTATTCATCTTTGAAAACTTGTCCATCAAGTATGATTTGATTGGCGCATGTTGTGTTGTATCGGAGGACCTTACTTTTCCAGTTTGTGTTTGTTGAGACCTGCTGCTGCTGCTGCCGAATCACTTCAGCTAACTGTACATATATTCCAGACTGAACAATTTTTCAAATACTTTCTTTAGTAGCATTACGAAAGCATAAAATCAATTCTTCTTTTGTTCTGTTTCAGTTCTTTTGCTTTTTCATATTATTTTACCAGTTTGTAGTCGCATTCTCAACTTGATCTTTGCTCATTTACACTGTGACTATTTGTCTATAACGACAACAACTCTCATTGATGTACAAAAATCTCCATACAAAGAAGGTTTGAGCAGAAATATTTATTTTCACACATTGCAATCATCTCAATCAATCATTGTTAGACCACCATTAGAAACTTGGAAGCGCTGAGAGACGGCGATTCTGTCCTGGTATGGGACTCATGAGCAGTGTGCATCGACGACTCCTTCTGATGAGTCCCATAACAGGACGAAACGGCCGTCTTTCAGTGCTTCCAGGTTTCTAATGTTGGTCTAACACTGATTGATTGATGATTTCAATGTGTAAAAACACTAGTCTCCATAACTCTAACTGAAAATATTTTTTCAGTAACCTCATTATATTACAGTAATTATACCATAATTGTGTATGGTGTTATTATTTTTTAGAAAAGGCCAACAAAATAACAACATTAAGACTGGACACATGAATAAATTCGACTATCTTATATGATATGCAATTAATTACGGTATACCATAGAAAGGTCATTCCTTATTTAAGGTCAGAATGATTCATAGTATGATATCAAGTGGAAAATCAATAGACTAGAGTACAATAGATTGTATAAATATAAAATCAATACATTAGATGTGCAGTGCACATCTACAACTCTTGCCACTCGCAGGATTCGAACACAAAACCGTCGCTCGATCTTGCACACGAATGCCCAACCTCTTGATCACTGAGCCGGCATCCAACAGTGTCAATGTCTAACTCTATTCAATCTAACGATTCATGATTTCAAGGTGAAACTGCCGTTTCCATTATAGTTTAATGCAAAATCAAAATAGATTGTATAATTTTTCTACGAATGACGAAGATAAAGTGATCAGTAACTTAAAGTGTATTTAAGAATTGTAACTCAACTGATAATGAATGGTTTTAGTAAAGTGTGAAAATAATCTCACATACATACACTAAGCACCCTTGAAAATGATTGCGTTTATTTATTTTCACTGGATTACTGGATTACTTTTTGAATCACATCATCGATCATTAATCTTCTCCGTTACCGCTAATACTTCTACTACCTCAAGCATTATGGAATTTGAACTGACAATTCGATCTCTTTGTGCTAACGTTGTTTGTCATTTTCAACTGGGGTAAGTATGTACGAAGATCTACATCGCAGCTAACTTACAAATGCCTAACCACCAACTGACTTGTTGAGCTATGTTTTATGAAGTAGGAGTATGCTGGAAGAAAGCTAGGGGCGGCCAAAACATGGCACAAATCCATGAAGTCACTGACAACTGAATTGAGTGATGTTGGTAAATGTTGATGACCTGGTTGAGGCCCGCGAGATTACGGTAATCGGTGGTTTAAGACATTGCTCAAAACCGTTTGCAATGGCACAGATGTATCCATTCATAGTGTTCTCTCAAATTCTAATCTTCTGAATTCCTCATCACCTTTAACTTTTACTTTTCTATATTCGTTTCCTAGACAATACATCTTGAATAATATCTTCGATCATTAGTCTTTTTGATCACTGCTAATACTTCTACAACCTCTACTACTATGGGATTTGAATTGACAGTTGTATGTCATTTTGAACTGATGTAAGTACTTACGAAGTTCTACACGTTGTAGCTAACCGACTCACTACTTGCCTTTTTCTACAATGAAATAAACACTAGTCAAGAATTGAAAATAGTTAACGATAATGTTTATTGTAAACGCTTGTTATAGCATCCATAGAATTTATATAAGAGATTATAACGCAGAGTTATGCCGGCGCAATAGTTTACCTACTCAAAAAGAATATTTAAATATGAATCATCTTTTATTTAAACATAATCATGTGTGAAATATACGTAGTCAAATAAACGCGTACTGTCATCTGTACATGAATAATTAACGTGGTAAGTAAGCAAACATTGCCAACCTGCCTCACTTATAGAGCGTAGGCGAGATATTCGTTCGTAAATCAAAAGATGATTCTACTGCGTAGCAGCAGTTTGCTCCATCCTACTTTATGGGTGTGAAACATGGCCATATTTTATTTATAGATTATTATGTATAAATTGTGCGTAGTCAGATAAACACCTGTTGTCAGTCATACATGAATAATAAACGTGGTCAGTTAGTAAGTAAGCAAGCAAGCAAGCTAAATTTTCCAAAATACAATTAGCGTAAAAGAGAGAATAATTTACACAAGTGTAAATAAATATTACACAATTAATATACCTTATTCATATCTCCAACAGAATACTGTCTACCTATAATTCTTCATCACCTTTATCTTTCTCTTTCTAAATTTGTTTCACTAAATTATACTTCTTAAATAATTTCTTCGAAACCTAATCTTCTCGATTACCGCTGATACTTCTACTACCTACCTCTAACACAATGAGATTTTAATTGACAATTACTTCTTTGTGTGCTAATATGGTATGTCCATCTGAACTGATGTACGTACCTACGAAGTTCTACGTTGTAACTGATCGACTGACTAACTGTAAATTCCAAGAAAACTAAACAATTTATAAAGTCATTATTAATCTATACATGAACTTTCCATCTTGTCGAACTCTTTAAAACGATCCAAACAAATGTTTTTAGCAGTCTTCACAATATTTGTAGTTAGAGTTCATTTTAGAAGTCTACAGTTTTCATCATAAACTGACATCAGTTATCTTAACAATCTGTTCTGTAGTCAATCAATCAATAGCAACGTAGACTTTCTTACGTAAGTACATCAGTTCAAGTTGCTCACGATTTGGGCAACCGGGAAGTAACATCCGCCCTCATACCCCATAAAAGCACACGAGACAAAATTGGTCACAATAAAATCGTTTCTATACCCTCTAATAACTCATCTGTATGTGACTGAATTTCACTTAGAAATATACGAAGATAATGGGACTAGTTTGTTCATCCAATATTGTAGTATCACTAGTTGATAATATTTATGCCAGAATGAAGTGTTTGTTGTTCGAATTGCGAGATAATGTCTATTTACCTGTTATTATAGAAAATCTTGGGCGAGCAAGCGAGAGAATTGATCATACGATACGTTTAATATCATTGTTTTTACGGAATAGTTAGTTGCGAAAAAAAAGAATGTAATTTGTGGTGTTATCATTTTCGAAATATTAATCAATCAATATACACTACAATTTCTGCTACTTGTTATACGCAATTTTGCATTTTGTGCAAAAGGTTGCATTCTCCATAGTGATTGATTGCCTGATTGGTGGTCCCTAAAATGTGTGTGTTGTACTTTGAACGTATTATTGTGATCATTGATCTCTTGATTTATACTTTTGTGAGATTGAGTTATTATTTTTTTTTTTTAAAAAAAATTCATTCATTGTATGTAACATTTTGATTGTGATATACACAACAACACTAAAATAATCAATCAGTAAATAAATGATCACATTGTTCATGCCAAGTACACAGGCATGATTTGATTGATATTGAAATGAGTGTACCATGTAATGATGAATAGTGATCGATAGTCTCAGATGTATCTATAATTATTCTAAAGGTATATATTTCATAAATTATTTTGAAAAAAACATTTATCATAGGGATTTTAATAACTTGAGACGATATTTGCGAATTGGTAGTTTTGTTACGCATACACGTCAATTGATATGCTTGAACCATTACGAGTTTACCTTAGTTGGTAAACGAGAGCGAGGATCGATGATCCGGCGATACGACAAGCTGCTGTAATGCGAGTGTCCCAAACCCCCATTGAGTTAAAAGAAGAAGACTTGATATGAAGTAGAACTTGTATTCTAAAAGCATCCAGAAGTATGAGGTCCGAGTCATAAGGAGAAAACATTGAAGTCTGTGACATTGACAGTTAGGACGACCAATAGAATTGGACTCACAAACAATTATCTTAAGATATTGGATGAATATCCTAACAAGTTTTTAGTAGCTGAACTTGTGATGTTGTGATGTTTGGGTTCCGTTAGAGAATGATAAACAATGGTTAGAGACCTTTGAATGACATGGCTCAAAATCGTTTGCAATGGCACAGGTGCATCCATTCTTTGTGTTCTCTCAAATCCTAATCCTCTGAATTCTTCATCACCTTCATCTTTCTCTTTTTCAAGTTTCTTTCACTAGATTATACTTTTTGAATGATATCTTCGAATCCCAACCTTCATAATTACTGTTCATACTTCTACTATATCTACTACTATGGGATTTGATTTGAAAATTGCTTCTCTGTGCTAATATGGTATGGCAACCTGAACTGATATACGTACTTTGTAGCTGACTGACTAACTGACTATTGAGTAGTCTTATACTACGCCGAAACACTAGTCTCAGGTTCCTTGGTTGTAAACCATGAAAAATAACTGAAAATTTATTTTTCAATCATTATTATTATTATCATTGTTGTTATTATTATTGTTGTAAATTTTCCACAGATGATATTCCCATTGAAATGGACAGTGGTATATATTCCATACATTTATATGGGTTGTATTCATGTGATACAATCACCTTCACCCTATTTAATTGGTATGGATTCAAGATTTTTTGATTTCTTCCGATTACCAACGAACAGTGGTATTGCATATCTGGATTTAGATACAAATAATTTCAAACCGCCAATGGCACCGGGTCAACCAACATTTGATTCAAAAGTTTTGCCTAAAGTAAGAGTTAGGATTATTATTATTGTTATTATCGGAAGCATTGATGTGTCACTTTTGGGATTTTTCTGAAGATTTATATTTGTATTTTGAAGTTGTGTGATACATTGCCATTTACATATCATGTTTTGGATTTTCTTCAGTATGATTTGTACATTTTTGCTGTTCAGTCGATGCTATGTTACTGTTGAATGATTATTATATGTAATCAGGTCGTCCACGGCGTCACCATCATCATCATATTCATGACCCTTGATAATATGAACCTATACTGTCTTTTACAGCGTTAGCATTGATAGTTCAATATACAATTTTACGGGTGTCTGACTATTGTTTTTATTTTAGAAACATGTTCAAATTTAGTGGGACCATAAAATGAGTATTCAGTGTGCTACAGGATTAAGGCTTACGGGTCAATCGGAGACATAGTGTGGTGTGTATTGCAATCCACTTAGCTTACAAGTAGTATGCGGTGGAATATCACTCTGATATATATGGCTGGAGCGAAGATTATCGGATCCAGAGTGTTTGGAAGATTAAAAGACATATAGGAGAAGACAGTCAAGAATATGCTTGTTTTGCAAATGCATGTTTGACGATAAGGTGTGCACATTTTGGCTAGTAAACTAGTATCTTCTTCAAATAACCTGCGTACCTCATCTGGTCTTCCATCTTTGTTCAGTATAATAGCATCAATCTTTGCATCAAATTATACTGAACTGAGCCATGGTAACAAGTTCAGCCTATTAGTTTAAGGTTCTCATGGTTACTGGAACCACTGATTAGAAACGATCGATAAAATCCAATCAACACTAAATAAATGAGTTAATCAGTCAGTTAAACAAACGTGACATAGAATCTGGTATATGTGTGAATATTCATATTCAACTTGTTAAACGTCATTAGCTTAGCAAGATGAAACTGATAGGGTTTATCCCTATATATAGATACACAAGAATTATACAATATGGACATTTCATACACAGACATACACCACCAACTACAGAAGTGAACATAATGACTGAGAAACAACAACAACAACAACATTAGGGTATCATCTCATAAGGAAAAATATACAAAACAAAGATCTAAATGATGGACGAACTATATGCTCATTGATACACATGCTACAATCATTATTATTACGGTTTTCTCCCTCGAAATGCAAAATGTTGCTTCAAGATTGGGTTGCATCAGCACCTGAACTAGTGATAGGGAGTGAAGTAGTTGAACGTGTAGACCACTTTACATATCTCGGGAGTCTCATCAGTGTTGATGGCCTGGTGATTGACGAAATCTCATCTCGAATACAGAAGGCTCGATTGGTTTTTGCCAACTTAAATCATTTATGGCGTAGGCGAGCTATCCGTTTGCTAAGCAAAGGACGAGTGTACTGCGCAGTAGCTCTCTCCGTCCTACTATACGGATGCGAAACATGGCCGGTGAGAGTAGGTGACATTCATAGGTTGCTTGTCTTCGATCATAGGTGTCTCCGAAGCATTGCTCGAGTATCGTGGGACAACCGTATAAGCAATGCTGTCGTTAGGAAATGAGTACTAGTTAAGGATGGTAGATCAGTGGATGAAGTAATGAAACTTCATCAGTTGAGGTGGTTGTGACATGTGTTGCGTATGCCTAACCACCGACTGCCCCGATGAACAATGTTTTGTGGTGTAGGAGTTGGATGTTAGAAAGTTCGAGGCGGCCAAACCAAAACATGGCACAAATCCATGAAATCACTGACAAGTGGAGTGTGTCATGTTGGCAGATAATCCATATTGTTTTATACTTCTGTGAGACTAGTTAAGCATGTATTCAATTTTGTGATTTTTTGACTCCATGAATCGATCAATCTCAGACTATCTTTGGAAAGCTGGAAGCACTGGACTGCCATTTCGTTCTGATCAGCTCTGTAACAAAGTTTTTCCGACTTCTAGCGAGAAGTGTGACCAATGGAGTTCAACCCTGTTCCGGTGTAAAGCAGTGCTCACTGAAGACAGTGAATGAAGTTGCGCAAGATCATGGATTGTTTAAAGTTAAACATTAACACTTGTTAGGATATTCATCAAATATCCTAAGAGAATTATTTTTGGAAGTCTAATTCTATTGGTCGATTTCTACTGGTCAATATTATGGTCGTCCTGACTATCAGTGTCACGTACTTCAATGTTGTTTCCTGTTCGACCTAAATGTATAAATAGGCATTATCTGTAAAGATTTATGACACGAACCCGGATCCCTAGTCCAGGATCCTGATTCTCTTCTGCACTCGGACCTCCTACTTTACGGGTACTTATAGAAAACGCGTTCTTCTTCATAGCAAGTCTTATTGTACTCAATGGGGGACTGGGACGCTCGCATTCGAGTAGCTTGTCGTGTCGCCGGATCCTAGATCCTCGCTTTCGTTTTCCGATCAAGGTAAACTCGTAATAATCCAAGCATATCAGATAATGTGTTTGCATTCATGCGTAACAACACTGTTGGATGCCGGCTCAGTGGTCCAGATACTAGGTGTTCGCGCACAAACTCCAAGCTTTTGGGTCGGAATTCCGTGAGTAGCGAGAGTCGTGGATACACACTGCCACTGATGAGTCCCATACCAGAACGAAACCGCCGTCCAGTACTTCTTGGTTGCTAATTTTAATGATCTAACATTGATCCGTTCATGATTTCAAAAAAGTTACTCAGCAATCACCGCAAACCCTATCATGAAAAAATGATATGTATGCATCTATGTGTATTGTATTATTTTATATTTCATCTATTTTAGAAACCATTGAAACAATTAAAAACCAGATTGTTAGAATTAAAAGAGAAAATATTTCAAATGAAAAATACTCGACAATTGTCATGTAAAAAAATTTCAAGAAATATGATGTTAGATTGTATGTTTTCTACATCGAATTCTGAATTAGCACAAGATGAATTGATCAAAGTTCGTAAACGTGTAAGTTTTTTTACCTGGGCAAGTGTTTTGTTTTTACTGTTTTTTTTTATACTTTGATGGTTAATTATGTGTTATAATGAGTTATAGTTTATTGTTTGTTTGTTTAACGTTATCGATGGCTGATAATACATATCAACGCAGAAAAAATCATTAATTGACTGAGTTTCTGTCAGCATGATAACAGTACAAGCTGATATTCAGCCGCACACATACTATCATATACCTATATTCAACATTACCACTTACTTACGTCTGTTACCCCCCAATGGAGCATAGGCCGCCGACCAACATTATTTAACCTGCCCTGTCTCCTGGGTCTTCTTTTCCAGTTCTACCTAATCGGTGTTCATTCCTTCTCATGTCTGCTTCCTAATCTTGTAGTAATGTGTTTTGGTTTTCCTCTTCTTTGGCCCTGGGTATTCCAAGTGAAGCCTTGTCTTGTGACGTAGTTAGTTGGCTGCTCTTTTCAATGTATGTCCTATTCACCTCCAGCACTTTTTCCTAATATCTTCCTTTTCTGAGATCTTGTTTGTTCTCTCACACAGTAGATTGTTGCTGATGGTATCTGGTCAACGAATCCGAAATTTTTACTAAACATTTATATGTTATGGATGTTGGCTTTCGTGTTTCTCCAAGTTTCCAATCCATACAGTTAACCCATCTTGACGTCTGCATTAGAAATTCTAACTTTGGTGTTGGTTAATTGTTATTTTAAGTTGAAGATTTTGTTCACATCTGGATCAGATTCACCTTGCTCATTAATTATGCTACTTATATATGTAAAGGTCTCTACACGTCTCCATCAAGTGTGATTTGTCTGGTGCGTGTTGTGTTGTATCGGAAAATCTTCCTTTTTCTCTTGTGTATCTTGCGACCTTCTGCTATAGAGGCTGGGGCTACACTGGCTATCTCCTCTCCCTCATTTGTTGTTTAGTGTGGGATATGAGGGTTAGATCATCTGCGTAGTCCAAATCGTCTAGCTGCATCCTGGCTGTCCATTGGATACTGTTCTTCTCCTCAGATGTTGATCTTTTCATAATCCAGTCGGCCACCAGGAGAAAGGTTAAGAGTAAGCTGCCCTACCTAACACCGGTCTTCACTTCGAATGGATCTGTCAGCTGTCCTCTATACACGATGTTGTTGTTTAATCCTTCATAAAAATTCTGTATGACGTTGCCTATTTTCTCAGGCGCATCATAGTGTCAAATAAGCTTTCATAGTGTTATCCTATCCACACTGTCGAATGCTTCCTTGTAATCAATGAAGTTGATGTAGATTGGAGAATTCCATTCAATCGACTGTTGCACTATGATACATTGTGTCACAACTTAGCGGTACATGATCGATTTTTATGGACTCACAAATCACAAAACAATTAAAAGGAGTAGATTATTTCCTCTATGCAGTGGCTAAAATAAACTACATAGATATGTAACAACACAAATCATTACAATGTTACTACTGCTCCTCTCTATTGTTATATATAGCATTTGTGTGATATTGCAGTCTTATAGAATTGTAACTGTACGAGAAATTAGCTGATTTCTTATTTACATGTGTTTTTTTAATGAAATAAAAATCGATAATAATCCTACACCTTAAATTTTAGTTTCATTATAATTTACATTTTTCCCATTCGTTGTTGTTTACAAAACAAAGAATATAGCTTTGATTCAGTAGTAAAAAAGCATTAATTCTCTAACCATTATTTGATCACGTTTTAATTCTATTTTGACTATATATAGAAATTCCCATTGAAATCATGAATCGATCAATGTTAGACAGATCACTACAATTAAAAACCTGCGAGCAATTAATGGCCGTTTCGTATGATTAGGGGGACTCCTCAATAACAATGCGCATCCACAAACCCAGGAGCTTCGATCACTCACGCGAACACTTAAACCCTTTACCGCTGAGCCGGTATTTAACGGTGTTAGTGTTTAACTTCAATCAATTCACGATATTGCACCACCTCCCCATCCATTCATTGTCTTTGGTTGGTCGATTGCCTCACACCCGATACGGTTGAACTCCACTAGTCACGATTCCTCATTAGAACTCCGGTAATTCCCTCACAAATCTAGTTACTAGTGAACATATCGTGGTGTAGCATTGATCGGTACATGATTGCAATATTCAAGTTTATTTATACAAATCTTTCATTGATATGTAACATTTTTTTCCCAACTGGTTTGATAAACCACAAAGAATAATCAATTATAAAAAAACTTGTCTCATAAATTCATTCCTATTTTCGTTTAGTTGTATTCATTGAACATTGATGTTCGGTGTATAATTCGAATTTCATAGTTGCAATATTTATACCATTGAACAATTGTTTTGCTCTAGTTTATATTCTAACCTCTCAATGGCAGTGTTGTAACATCCCTAACCGCACTGATGGTGTTTATATTTTCTGGTAGACGTTTTATTTAACAACTAACCACTAAACCGATTCATTCATATCTCACAAAATCATCGTCATTATCACAAATTCGAATTATTTGTCTGAACTTATCTCTCTTTCCCCTCAATGTCGAATAGGATCCTATCAGATTGATTGATTATTTATCTATAATAATCACGTTGTATTACGTGATTGTGAAGATTGTTAAGTTACACATTTTGAAACCATGAATCGATCAATGTTAGACTACCATTAGAAACCTGGAAGCACTGAAAGACGGCCGTTTCGTCCTGGTATGGGACTCATCAGTGGCAGTGCGCATCCACGACTCCTGTACTCCGCAGGATTCGAACCCTGGACCGTCGGTCTTGTGCGCGAACGCCTGACCTCTTGACCACTGAGCCGGTATCTAACGGTGTTAATGTCTAACTTGATCAATTCACGGAGTTGTGCAACCTTATACACAGTCTTCGGTAGTTACTATCTACATCCAAACAGGTTGACCTTCACTGGTCACGACTTCCCACTAGAACTCGGAGTAGATTCCTCATGAAGCTAGTCATACTTATGTATTCTTTCTTAATAATCGTGTTTTGTTTTTACCTATCTAGAAGAATTCATCTCATATGTTTCGGTTATTTTTTCTTATTTAATGACTATCGCTTATTTTCTTCTTTTCTAACTATTACTACTACTTCTACTACTACTACTACCATTGGTCGGCAGTGGTTGCAAGAACTAAATGAAATGGTTGGTTGTTTAGTTGGTTGGTTTTCCATATACAACATGTTATTGATTAATTGTGTTTTGTGCATTTTCATTGTTCTTTCTGTTTGTTTGTTTGCTTGTTTAATTCTATTATAAACGCATGTGATGCTGTGGTTTTTGTTGATGTTGTTGTCGTTGTTGTGGTTGTCGTTCTGAACATCATCGTTATTGTCTTCATTAAATTATCATTTGTAATGTTGCTCTCGTTTAAGTACGTAAATTGATTCATGCCACATCTATCAGTAAGACTATGGAAGATTTATTTCTGTCGGATTCTAAAACATGAATAAATACTTTTTGACATGATTAGGGAACATTGCTTTATCGAATTATTTTCGATAGAAAACAGATAAAGTTTAGAATTGACACTTATGAGTAGTAGTTAGTGTAAAGTTAGTAGACAAAGTGAACATGTGAAAAATACCTTATGTAAATGCCTGTTTACATTCAAATCTCCGAAAATTTCAACATTTTATAGGATATGCTAAAATATTATATACCCAGGTACATACATTATAAAGATTACACAACCATTCTTTACGATCCGCTGAATCACATCAAGTAACCTTTTTATGCATAGTTCGCATCAGTAGTAGGCGTTTCGTGTTATTCACACACTCTATCATTTTTTCATTTGATGGTTGCACCACAGATGACCTTGACAACTTCAAGTATCTGCGAACCCAAATGCAAGCGAATTGTACTGAACTCTTGATAAGCCACCAGACATTCGTTATTATGTTTTGAATTTCACAAAATATGAATTTCGGAGCCGGTAACTCAGTTGGTACCTTATAGTTGTATTTGCCTGCTTGTCCCAAACTAGGACGGAACGGCTATCCAGTGCTTCCAAGCTTCCAATGGTGATCTAACATTGATTAGTGTCCATGATTTCAATGAAACTCAACAATCTCCACAACCCTTATACTGATATATATCAACAAAAGTTTTATAATAATAAAGATAGTCAGTTTGTTATAGTTACAACCTAGAACTTCGTACGTGCTTACGTACGTACATACGTGCATGTCTCCATACCACATTAGAACAGAGATGCAATTGTTAGTTGAAATCTCACATTAATAGAGATAGTAGAAGTATTAGCGGTAATCGAGAAGATTAAGGTTTGACGATGTTATAAAGTATAATTCGGTCTTATGAATTTAGAAAGGGAAAGATAGAGGTGATGAGGAATTCAGAAGTTTATGACTTGGGAGAACACAAAGACTGGATGCACCTGCGCCATATCAAACGATTTTGAGCCATGTCGTTTAAGGTCTTTGACTATCGGTTACCATCGTCTCACGGTCCCCAACCAGGTATTCGACACCTAGCAACATGACTCAGTCCACTTGTCATCAGTGACTTCATGGATTTGTGTCATGTTTTGGTTTGGCCGCCCCTACCTTTCTTCTAACCTACCCCTACAGCACTAAACATCGCCCGTCGAGGCAGTCGATGGATAGGCATTCGTAACACATGTCTCAAACACCTCAACTGATGAAGTTTCACCACTTCATCTATTGATCTGCCATCCCTACCCAGTACTCGTTTCATAATGACAGCATTGCTTACTCGGTTGTCCCACTATGCACGAGCAATGCTTCGGAGACACCTATAATCGAAAAAGAGCAATCTACGAATATTCTCAAATCTTACCAGACAAGGTTCACAGCCATAAAGTAGGAGCGGAGCGAACTGCTGCACAGGACACTCGTCCTTTAGTTAGCAAACGGATATCTCGCCTACGCCGTAAGTGACGCAGGTTGGCAAAAGCCAATCGAGCCTTCTGTATTCGAGATGAGATTTCGTCAATCACCAGGCCATCAACACTGATGAGACTCCCGAGATATGTAAAGTGGTCTACACGTTCAACTACTTCACTCCCTATCACTAGTTCAGGTGCTGATGCAACCCAATCTTGAAGCAACATTTTGCATTTCGAGGGAGAAAACCGTAATAATAATGATTGTAGCATGTGTATCAATTAGCATATGTGTTCACCATCATTTAGATCTTTGTTTTGTATATTTTTCCTTATGAGATGATACCCTAATGTTGTTGTTGTTGTTGTTTCTCAGTCATTATGTTCACTTCTGTAGTTGGTGGTGTATGTCTGTGTATGAAATGTCCATAATGTATAATTCTTGTGTATCTATATATAGATAACAAATGAAAGGTGTTGCTTCGTGTCTATTTATTATTATTATTTTTGATCATTAATATTCGTTTCTTTTTTTTGTTGTCAAATTTTTATTGGATATTCTATTTTGATTGCAAGCTGGTGATTCTATGTACTTGTGCATGCATGTTCAGAGTAGTACTGTTACTTCTACTGTTACTACTTTTTAAAAAAATGAGAATTCTTGCATGGAATAGTGTTATGCGTTGTATCCACGCTAACTGAGTAATTGTTGTACTGTTATGATGAACCAGGTTGTGTGTGTGTTTTTTCTTGTTTTTAAAATAATCGATCTAGCTCTCTCTCTCTCTCTCTGTATTCATTGATCATCCGATCATCGTTTTTACGCATGAAAAATCAATATATATTTAAGTGCATGTCACCATCATATGTACACTTTAATATGATCCACAAGGTCGATGCAAATAAAGGTCACAACTTGTTCATAATGTGCAATTATTGATAGAGAAAGTTAACATGACAGAATAAATCAATTCAATCGAAAAATTTCGCATGAAACATTTAGTCTTCATCATCCATTTTGATTGAACAACTCATTATCGACCGTCTACAAGAACAACTGACGATTCTTCTTCTATGAGAGTAATAATGGTGGTAAAACTTGTCAGTCCAAATCTCAGTCAACGTGTGGATGGTTTTTTTCTGGGACAAAAATTAGTATATTGTGTCTTTGTTAGATTCTGATGTATAGAGCTCACCATTTTAATGACGCGCCATCTGACTGTAATATTTATGATGAACAGTCTAATATGGTATGAAATAAATCTCCTCTTCAATTTCCCGTACGTCATAGCTAGGCGAACCACGTTAGTTAGTGCGATGACGGTAATCAGAAGCAAAATGCAGATTCGATTGGATAAGTTTGTTTCAAGCATTCGTTTATGTAGACCGACATGCGAATCTAAAGCGTTAAAGCAAAGCGAAGCAATGTGGAGAAGGCGAGTGAGTTAACTCTATGTGCAATGAGGCATGACTAAGTATTTATAGTTGGACTAAAGTAAGCCAGACATGTAATAATCGAAGTAAGTGGCGTAAGCATACACTCGCATAAAATCAATCCAGATAAAAGCAAATAGTTGTCTAGGTCAGAAGACGTGTCATTAATAAACTCTGGTAGAATAGATTTGTTGAATTGTTTTTAAAAGACTTGGGACAAACCCGGTGGGTTCAATATGATAATACACACACTACAATATTTAGTTTTACTACAAAAATGTTGATCTTTTCAAATTATTAGTCTAAAATATCACAAATATTCATATGACTGCTAACTTATCAGAACAAATTTCTTTGCAACTTTGAATGGCTGTTTTTTTCTTTCTAAAATTCTGTCACAGGCGTTAGATAAATAAAATAAATCTCTGATAAAAATGTGTGTGTTGCAGGAAGGAGGGATAGATAAAAGCCTAAAAAACATAAACACAATGAATTTCCAGCTTTCTTTCTAGTTATTATCAGAAATTAGCTTTTTTTAAATGTATAGTTTGTAGTGTGTAAATTTACTGCGTTTTCTTAAGCTCGGTAATTAGCTCGTTCAGACAATCGTTACTAAATAACGTCTGACGGTTGTAAACCAGAAGGTGAACTCGTAGTGCTAAATACACACCACAAAGCGAATCGAAGAAGCAGCGAATGAAGCGACGAGAATTGGAGAAGGCTGTTGAGCCAACTCCTAGGATTACAATGCAAACGAATGGGCGAAGGAAGCGAATGAACAGGCGAAGCGCTTTGGAGGAGGCTAATGAGCTAATTCCAAGAGATAGAGCAGAGCATGACTCAGAATATATAGTCAGACAAAAATAAGACAGACATGCGACAAGCGAAATAGGCATGCACTCAAAAAAAAAAACTCAATACATCATTTTGGTAGATTGAGAAATCTGAACTCATGTTGGATAATTACAAATCTGTTTTTCTTCACCTACCCCATATGTACTACTTATTTCAATTAATCATTTAGACAAGATGTTTTGTTCATTTCTAATTATATGATTAACATGCCCACATACACACTCTCTCTCCTTCGTCTTTGTGGAATGTATGGTGCCTTAGGTGTGTGTGTATATACACACTACAAACTACTTCGTATGATATTAATGTCTGATACAAACCTACATTAAATATGAATGGTCAGGGTCAAGTATGTATTCATCCTTCTTTTCTAACCTAATTGTTTACTGGTCACTATGGTGATTGCTATTTTAAACACTACTTCTACTACCTACCAATCCCTACATATTCTCAGTTTATCACATCGATGAACTAAAAAAAACTTTGTATTTCACTTGATTTTCATTCAACCGTTCATTCATTATTCATTAGATTCTATCATTTTTGTGTGTTTATTTATACAGATGCTATGATGTGTATATCTGTTTAAAAATTCTTATAACTCATAGTCTACAATCAATATAGGTTGTTGTTTAGAAATATTATTATTGAAGTCATGAATCGATCATTGTTAGACCATCACCGTTAGAAACCTGGACGGCCGTTTCCTCCTAGTGTGAGACTGTCTACCGGTGTACGTACACGATCCACGCCTGCGGGAATTGAACCTAAGATTTACGGTCTCGTGTGCAAATGGTTGGCCTCTAGACCACTGATGCGGTCAGTTACATCGTAGAACTACGTACCTACGTACATCAGTTCAAGTTGCCATACCACATTAGTACAGAGACGCAATTATTAATTCAAATCCCACATAGTGTAGAGGTAACAGAACTATTAGCAGTAATCAAAAAAATTAATGATCGAATATATTGTTCAAGATGTATACTACAGAGGAATCAATTTAAAAAAATGGAAAAGACGGTCATGAGGAATTTAGAAGATTAGAATTTGATAGAACACATAGAAGGGATGCACCGACGCCATTGCAAACGGTTTTGAGCTGTCTCATCCAAGGTCTCTAACCATCGATTACTATCATTTCGAAGGCCCTAACTCGGTAGTTTACATCTACTAACATGGCTCAGTCCACTTGTCAATGACTTCATGGATTTGCGCCGTGTTTTGATCTGGTCGCCCGTAGCTTTCCTCCAAACTACTCCTATATCACAAAACATAGCTCGTCGAGGCAGTCGGTGGTTAGGCATACGTAACACATGTCCTAGCCACCTCAACTGATAGAGTTTCAATACTTCATCATCGTTCTGTATGTGTGCTGAGATTTCGTCAGTCATCAAACCATCAGCACTGACTAGACTCCCAAGATAAGTGAAGTGGTTTAAACTCTCAACTGCTTCACTCCTTCAAAAGCACACTAGACCAAATCGGTTACAATCAAATCGTTTCTTATGTTCCTGTATCCAGTAGTGTTGATTTCTAACTATGATCACTCTATTAGTTAATCCTAGTAATATGTAATTAATCGATAAAACTTAATATACAGTACAGCTATGATTTATCAGTGTTCAGTTCATTCTGAATAAAATCATTTGTTAGAAACAAGTGATATCTTTAATTGTAGACTATTCAAACAAACTGTCATAGATAGTTAGCGTTACGGTTAACGGCTATGTTTTGCATTGATTGCTACTAAGTTTTTTTCTTTGTCAATCTAAATAATTTTAATATTTAAAATTAGCTTTATTGTTGACAATAAAATTATGTTTTTCCTTTCTTGTAATAAAATGAATCATATCCGCTCTACTCGACGACCACTAAACTTAATATTAACAGTGACCTGCAAGGGAGTTCTGCCAAGCTGATGTTCTAATGTGAACTTGTAAACTCGCGGAAGTATTTAATTGGGTTTTGAGGTTTCCTTATTGATTTTGGCGATATGATTCCTTATATTTCACTCAAATCAATAGCTCTAATATATCACTGTTTGTAAAACTTTTCACTTAGACACTGTGCATTTAATTTTTAAAACTGATAGGAATAATTATTCTACTCCTTCGAACGAGTAGGAGTAGGCGAAAAGAAAACTAAGGGTAGCCAGACTGAGACATGGCACAAATTCATGAAGTCGCTGACAAGTGGTCTGAGGTCTGCGAGACAATATCAACTGATGTTTAGAGACCTTAAACGACATGGCTCAAAATCGTTTATGATGCATCCACTCTTTATATTCTCTAGTCTTCTTAATTCCTCATCACGTTTATCTTTTTCTTTTGTAAATTTGTTTCACTGGGTTATTATACTTCTCGAATGATATTTTTGATCCCTAATCTGTTCGCTTACTGCTCATACTTTTACTACTTCTGCCATTACGAGATTTGAATTGACAATTGTATTTCTGTGTCAATGTAGTCTGTCAACTTGAACTAATGTACGTATGTACGTAGGACGTTATACGGTGTAGTTGACTGACCGTCAAACGAACAGATATTTATTAGGAGCTATATATATAAGTGGTCTTTACTCTTAGGTAAATGTTGCATAATTTAGTTGATCCGGCGAGAAATTACGATCTTTGTTCAGAATACTGTACACTATATATTGTCAGCATGTTACTACTAATCCAAAGGTTTGATTATTTCTATTATTATTAGTACTTCAAAGTATTTTGCACCTGTGTGCAACGATTCTGTTTTTCGTTATCAAGCACAAATGTGTACGCATTTGTTCTTTTAAAACTCTATTTTCAAAAATTAAGTTGATTTCCACTAAACTAATGATAATATAGACTTGTTATCCACTAAATTAGTAATTGAACAGTTCAATTAATTTCACATTTTTCAATTTCAATTACATTTTTTGTAAAAAAAATCTCAATCATTTATTATGCATTGCAAATAATTAACTTACTGTTATTGTCAACAACATGAAATTCTCTTAGTTTGAAAAATAAACTTTCAAAAAAACCAGCAAGCACTGACTAACTGTTTCGTCCTCATATGAGTCTCCTCAGTAAACAGTGCCATTTTTCACTCCCATTAATGATTACTTTTGAGAGGTGATCCCTAAACTTTTTGTAGTGGTACTTAAAGTTCGAGCATGTTGCGTGAATTGTAGGGCATGTACTTATCAGTGATATTTGATAATAACTGTGCAATCTGTTTTTCGAAGTATAAATATAAAAGGTTCCAAATTAGAGTTCAGGAAGATCCTATGCGCACACCTATAACATGTTCCATACTTGATTGAAACATTTATTGCTTAATGCTTTTCGTATCGCGATGATGATTTGATTTAAAAACCAATAATCATTAATGTTGTCAACTATGAAAGTTAGCTGGTTTCACATAAGTTTTTCATACTAACACAATTTACATTTCATATCTAATAATTTTGAATAATTACAAGTTAGTTGTATATCAAAATATTTAGATTTAAAATAAAGTATATTCAACTTTGAATAATTTTGATAATACGGTTGTTAATATTTTGACCGGAATTTAATCAGTTTTGATTGACATATGCGCTTCTTTATGAGCGGATTGCTTCGATATAGGCATTATAGCACAAGGTTATATATTTAGTTAACAGTCTTCATCAAGCAAACCTTATTCACACTATGTATGAGTTATAGGTTATTTCTTAACACCAGTGAACAGTATCACGTTTCAAGTTACCAATCAGAAATCTAATAACTTAGTGTGTGTATCATCTGGCTAGACTACTAATTACACACCCACCTAGTTCTATCGACCTTGGGTGTCTGCTACACTAGTGTAGACAGCAATAACAAACACTTCTTTCTCTATCGTTTGATGCTCGTTAGCTACTGACAACTTGTAATATTTCAAATTATCATTACACATTAAATACAAATTATTTATTGTTCAGTTATTTACAAGCTACTCTCTTTGCCCTTGTTTAAGTCCAACTAAACAACCTCTGATGTATATTTATATTCCAAACAGAAGTGATTCGGTTAAACAAGCCAAAAGAGAGTAGCCTATGAATAAACGGGAACCTTAAATAAATAGGCTGGTATATCAGATGTAGTATAATAAAGTCGTATGACAATAGTTAAGCTTATGTTAACTACAATATATATATATATATATATATATATATATATATATATATGAACATATTAACGATTTATTAGAATACTAATCAATATTCTTCCGCGACACTATTTTTACTTACAGCTTCTACAGCACTAATTTCGTTAGAACATGACAGGTGTTGGTGTTTAAGCTAGTGGCACTCTCTCTGAAGCCTCGACATGATCTTTCTTCTCTTTTCAAATATTTCAATGGTTATGATTGATTCCTTATTTTCTTGTGTGGAAGTTAACGGGTTGGCTAATGTTTTCAAGAAATTTTATTTTTATTTTTGGAATGTTGTCGTCCAATTTGCATGTTTTTTTTACAAAAAGATATTTATATCTATAAAATCAGTTTTACTTTTTTCGCTCGCTTTGTTATTTTATTAAATGATTGTCGTCTGGTTGTTGCATTCTATTCATTTTGTTAAATTATTTTCTCCTGTTTAGTGTATGATGATTTCATGTTCATGTTTATAAAACTGTCTATTGTTTCGGTGATTACGCCATAATACTACTTATATTAATAAGTAGTAGTTATGTTCGTTCGTTATGTTCACTTTATTTTTTCTGATGATTGCCTTTAAAAATATCTGATGGAATTGTTGTTTCTCTTGCTTCCTTTTGTACTTCACATCTAGACACAGATTGGTTCATGTATAAAAGAAGCATTTTTACAATTTATGGTACATTTATTAAAAGATTATCGTCAATGTCTTATACCTGTTCGTAATACTCGAACGAATGCGATGTTCAATATTGAACGTAAGTGAAATTCACACAGTTTTACTAGTATCTATTAAGTATAATATTGTTCTGTACCAATAGTTTTAATTTTCTGTTGAGGTATCGGTTTTTTTTAAAATCCCATTTGTTAGTAGGACGTAGATTGGATTAAAGCATGATTGCGTTGTTGTACACTGTTTGGCTCTTTTCGCATCCAATCAGCGCTAGCCGATACTGAGCGAACATTCTAGAATCTTCTGGTATAAGAAAACTATAAATAAATATAAACGTTTTGAGCTTCTGTCTTCCATCTAACTTTGTTATTGGGATATTTCAACTGTGGTCTGATTTTAGGAGAACGTCTCGAGAGAATTGGTGTCCGAGAAATACTAAGCATTAGGAAACAGCTGGGTTGTAATAAAGAGAGAATTATTATAACATCATGAGTAAAGGTTTTTCCAGTCATGAATGATGGTAAATGATAATTTGGACGGATTATTGCACATACAACCTTAAAATCTAAATTATCATTACAAAAAAATTACTGAAACTTTCTTTGTCGGAAAGTAAATTTTAATACTTTATCCAAACAAAAAAAGTTCATGATTGAGGTGCGCAAATTAGGAGGATGGTTTTTTTTTTTAAATTTTAATCGACTTTTCGACTTCAAGTCCCATGGTAGTAGAGGTAGTAGAAGTATGCACAGTAATGAGAGAGAATAGAGTTCAATGATATTATTCAAGAAGTAGAATAAGTGAAATAAACGTAAACAGAGAAAGACAAAGGTGATGAGAAATTCAGAAGATTAGAATTTGAGAGAAAACAAAGAGTGGATGCACCTGCGCTATTGCAAACGATTTTGAGACATATTATTCACATCCGGATCTGAAACCAGACTGTTTTTCTCTAGTTCGCTCTACACATAGTTTGATTATGTAAAGAATGTGAATGAAAGAATTTGAAAATTAACCTAAAAACGATAATGTCTACAACTGTCTACACATATTCGATGTAAAGTTTGCAACCAGATGAAATAAGGAGACATATTTCTTACCTGTTAAAAATCGCCCACACACAAAATGTAGATTATATCCATCTTCTCTTTTTATTCTTTACGTTCTAACAAGTCTAAATGTAAAATATATGACCACAAGGGCGTTCTTTATTACTAACTTGCGCCTGTTACCCCTGATGGAGTAGAAGCCGCCGACCAGCAAATTATTTTTCTGGTTTGCGCTCTTTTTAGCGATTTGGATTGCTACGGGATGGAATCGTTAACCCTATGCTCAATCCTCCTCCTTTATCCGCGCCTGGGACCAGCAGTAACCGTAGAAGGGCACCAGGCGGAGTTCGTTTTCATAAAAATTATAATAATTACTACTGTTATTTAATTTTAAATCCTGTTTTATTATTCATTTTTTTTCTGCCTCGTGACTGACCAGATTTCTTACGTGAATGTGCTGACAAGCATACCATACCATTTTATCGTGCTCTATTCGAAACACAACAATGGACTAATTTTGTTCGTGATCGAGTTTACGCTTCGTCACGTGATGAAGAATTAGATTATTTCGATAATCGCATTGAATTATTACTAGAAGAAAGTGAATCCAAATCACTGAAATCATCTCACTCACATCCTCATCATCATCGTTCACGTAATCATATTAGTTTCATCACAATGAGTAATCTATTTACAATCAAACGATCTGCATCTTCGTCTCATGAACAGTTGAATAGTACAACGAACACTCATCATCATCATCATCCTCATCATCAGAATAATACTCCTTCTAATAATAGTAATCATGATATCCATTTAAATTCTACCGATTACACTAATTCTAATCATCATCATCAATATTCAGACAATAAATCATTGTCAAGCAATGCATCGATTAGAGATAAATCGGATGAATCGACCGATTCACTGTATTCCAGTGATTTAGGACCTGTACCATTACAGAGTAACAATAATAAGTAAGAAGTTGGTTTCTTTTTATTTTCTGCATTGTTCTGTTTTGTTTCGTTTTGTTTTTCTTAGTGTTTTTTTTATCCTTAATTATTGACTGATATCATGTGACAGTTGCCAAAACACTAATCAATCAGTATTACGTGTTTGGTACTAGTAATAAATACTCTTGAGTCAGGTATAGATAATTCTTATTGGCCTTATAATTTAATAGCTTATTCTTTCCTTAGCCAGCAGTCTGCACAAAATTCGTTATATTTCAAAAAGGCAAGCATACTAATACCATATTACACTCATAAAATGAGAAAATATGTTTGTTTATGAGCAAGTCAAAAGTGACTTTGGATAGGGGAGTCTGTGAATGGTAAGTAGGCGTTTGTCTAAAAATCCGTTCAACGAACAAAAGGCATTTACGATGTTCTAACAATCCTTTTATAGGTTGAAAGTGACGTTCTGCTCAGGCAACGTTTGACCGCTATTATACTTAGCAGATTGTGAGAAACTGGTGTAAGAAAGCTGGTTTTCGTTGAGATTATACATTTGTATTCCCTGCGTCAAACACTAGAGCGGCTACACAATTATTGCAAACCAACAATCCTTAAGCTTTTTGTTATCAGGGACCGTTTATATTAGTTATATAGAAGACTATTGTCTTTGAGAAAGAGTATGTCTGGTAAATTTATTAGGGTCTTGAAGGTATTTAATGTGCGGGTATGTAACTACCCCTCCTCTTTGTTTTAATGCAACAGTGGAGTTACACTAGTCTCAGCAAAAGACTATTTAGCCTTAAGTATTTCGACTGATATTCTCGTATTGTCTAATGGCATTAAATGATAGCCAACTACGAATAGTTTTTTTGGCAAGTAGTATCTATGATTTCGACATATACATGCATATGTATAATCTCTCATAAATCTGATTAGATGATAATGTTACGATGACATCAACTGATCTCTCACTAAATATTCATAGAAGCTGTGATCAATGGAGTTCAACCCTGTCAAGTGTACACAGTAGCTACCATAGACAATGGATAAAGTTGAGTGCTAACTCAATGGTCTAGAGGTTAAGCGTTCACACTCGAGACAAAAGGTCCTGGGATTGGATCCTGCGAGTAGCGAAAGTCATGAGTGTACACTGATGGAGTCCCGTACTAGGACGAAACTACCGTCCAGTGCTTCCAGGTCTCTATTGGTGACCCAACAATGATTGATTTATGATTACAGTGATGAACAGCCATCTCCATAACTCTATAATGCAAAGAAGTAAACTGTGATTGACTAGTAATTGAAGACAAGATGACACTCAACTTTTCTCAGTGTTATGAATTATCTAGTATTGTCAATTGCTTACTATAAGTGATTTATACTCTGATTTCACTGTGAACTCTGCTCCGTGTATATGAACTGTTAGTATTTAGGATTTTCGGCCCTGTCGGGTGTGAGGCAGCTACCTACCCAAGACAATATATGAAGTTGAGCAATATCAGGAGTGATTGAAGTTAGACAGTAACATCTCTGAGTGTTAGCTCAGCGGTCTAGAGGTCAAGGGTTCGCGCGGAAGACCGAAAGTCCTGGGTTCGATTTCAGTCTACGGACGTCTTGGATGCACATTGCTGATGGTTTCTATGCTAGGTAGGACGAAACGATCGTCCAGTGCTTCCAGGTGTCTCTAATGGTGGTCCAACAATGAGTCATCCATAATTCCAATGCGAAACAACTATCTCCATAACTTTATAATAAAAAATCACAATTTTATTATTCTGACTCAAAGTTTGATCAAGTAGTTCACTAGATTTTTATAGTGAACTATTATTTCGGCTATGTTGTTCGTATCCTCCATCTGTACTCCAGTTGTTGTCTTTTCTAATCCAATTTATGAATCACTTATTTTTTATTGTGAACAGTTTTAATCAGTTTTTTTCTTCTTACGCGTTTTCATTTCCTGTCATTCTCTTTAGTCAATGTTTAAAAATTATCGATCCCCCGTGTTGGCCAGTTCCAGAATTTGTTGACATACCCCAGTACCATCAATTATCATGGATAAGAGAATATTCACTTGGTTTTATTCCAACTAATATTAATTCTGCCACACTTGATTTATTAGCTGCAAGAGCGCTTGTATTAAAAAACACTACTCCTCTATCGAATCATTCAATAACCGCGTCGATTTTTCATGTTAACACTGACTCCGCTGCACTGATACCAGCTCCGGAAGTCGAATTGGGTGTTAAACAAAACAATGTAGCGACGGCTTGTATGCCATTGAATTCAACCAGTTGTACTGTCGCTGATCCAATTTCAACACCATCTTCTCACAGCTGCTGTAAGCCAGTTAACATTAATTCACCAGAGGATAATTCGAATTCTCGATTAACTACTGGATTGTCAACATTAATGATGAAAAATTTACAACTTAATACTACTACCACTACTACTACCAATACTACTACGACTACTATGAATACTCCTAATATGATTCAACGATTTGGTTCATTCATGTTCATTGATAGTTCATCACCATTATTGATTCGTTCAAATCGTTCAGAGAATACTAGTTTAATTGGTTTAACGACAAAATACAACTTACCAGTGAATAATTCAACAATTTTAAAGCGTACATCACAAGAATTACGTTATACATTGAATTATTGTGAGTTGTATAGAAAATAATCGATTTTTTTTCCCGTTTTGATCAGTTTTTATTTAGCACCACATTTGGTTTTACATGTTTTGCTTTTTTTTCTAAAGAGAAATGGGATGAAATGAAGAACTGCTAGATGTTTATACTTGAAATAACCTTAGTGAAAGTAGGTCACAGTCATTAACGTAATCTAAGCCAGTCAGTTGTTGAGATAAGTTAGCTGGTTATTGAGAGGTATAGGAAGGATTTGGTTGTGATCAATTTGATAAGGTGTGTTGTCAGGGCGAATGTCACTTCCCGGCTGCTCATGTGGCGGCAGACTTTCTTTATCCTTTAAATTCCGTATATATCTTCGTTTTGATGACTGTCACTATGGAACATGGGTCGTTGCCACAATTTTTTTCTTATTCAAAATCCATATAATGATTGTTACAAACATCGGATTTAATACAGATATATGTAGTCGATATTGCCATCAAATTATTTAATCAATAAAACTAGTCAAATGATATTGTGCGTAGGTGGTAAGTAATGTGCAAGCATACATACGCATACAAGCTCAGCAGTGATAAAAGTACAAAATACATGTGACGTGCTACACCCAATGTGTGTAAGGGTATTTTCTGAGGAGCCTGAAAAGGAAACTAGGTTAGCACTGGTCTTAGCCACCTAGGAGCTTGACCGCAGAGTCCAATGGACAACTGCTCGAGGCCGGTCACACACGGCCTTTTTAGAGAAGTTTTTGAAAAGTTAGCTGCGTTCTTGTTGTAAAGCTCTTACCGATTCACACGCAAATCTATGAAGTAAGATGGGTTGTGACACCGTTAGGGTTGACATTTTATAAACTTTTCCTCCCCTGTGATAAGGGAGCATCGCTGCAGATGCTAGTTGTCCGAGGGAAACACCTTGTTGTTGTCACAGCTCTCTACAATCAGCAGTACGACTTCGCCCTCAGACCTTGAGTAGCTGCTTTTAGTCTCATCATCCTTCAATCGACCTGCCTGGCATGGTAGAACTTACAGGAACATGTGTTCCAGAAAATATAGCTCTGTTGGGTCATCGCGATAGGTGAGCCAGACCACGACAATGTAGCATCTACGGTTTCTATTGATGCTTGGCAAGGGTTAAATTGCTTAGTTAGTTCACTGGTTTTCTCGAGTTTCTTAATTTCTGTAGTTCACATTGCAGACCTGTTTTAGTCAGACAATTGTTAAAAATTAGGAATTAAGAAGATTAGAATTTGAGATAACACAAAGAGTGGATGCACCTGCTCCATCGCAAACGATTTTTAGCCATGTTATTCAAGGTCTCTAACCATCGATTATTATCATCTCGCGAGCCCCAACTACTAACATGACTCAGTCCACTTGTCAGTGACTGCATGGATTTCTTCCATGTTTTGGTCTGGCCGCCCCTAGCTTTCGTCCAACCTATTCCTATATCACAAAACATAGCTCGACGAGGCAGTCGGTGGTTAGGCATTCGTAACACATGTCCCAACCACCTGAACTGATGAAGTTTCAATACTTCATCTATTGATCTGCCATCCTTACCAAGCACCAGTTATCTGACAACTGCATTGCTTACTCGATAGTCCCAGGCAGGATACACGAGTAGTGCTTCGGAGACACCCATGATCGTTTGCCCTATTGCGTCTTTATGTGTATTAGCTTTTTCTCTGTAAACATTTTCCTCATTGTTTTTTTTCTCTCGTTAGCTATTAACCTACCACAAACGGATGATTATTCTAGAGCAAAATATTTAGCCGCCTGTGCTTATTCAATATGGTTCATGTTATTACCTGGCTACTTATCCTCTGTGCATCATTTCTATACTGATGAAATTATCACCGATTATAATCATGATGTACAAACATCACTGCCACAACAACAACAACAACAGACTGTCAATACTGTAGCCTGCAAACTCGTTCATCCTTCGAATATGCATAATAACGATGATCATTCAAATGACGATCGTCCTAATCATAATGCTGCTGCTGATGATGATGATCATGATGACGACGAAGTGATGAATATCATCAGACACATTCTCATCCAATCCATTCATGTCTACAAAACTATGCATAACTATTATAAACTTGAAATTCCTGATCAGGTAACTAGCTAATTTATTCTGTGTGTGTGTGTGTTACGAATAGCCTGAATTGCAGTTACTCAAGTCTTGGGGACGTTAGATACCCAGAACTCACTTAATGAAGGTCCTAATTTTGGATTTTATGTTTTCGAGCATGGACTGATCAGTTGACCTAGAGATTACATTTCCCACCCAGAAAATCCTTGACTGTTATTGGTTGATGTATTGTTTTTAGTACGCTGTTTTTGTGGCTCTCCCAAGGACGTTTCTGTGATGTATAAATAAACTCGATTTGTGTACTTGTCGACCTCATATTTTCTTGGTGCTTTTAGAATACACTTTCTACGTCTTGTTAAGACTTCTTGCTCTACTTATTGGGGCATCGGGACGCTCAGATTAGAGTAGCCTATCGTGTCACTGCGTCATTTATCTTTGCTCTTGTTTACCGACTGAGTTGAATTGGTAATAGTTCCAAGCATATCAATTGACGAGCAGTATACAGAGCTCATATTTCATTAAAATTTTTTTTTGATTGATGTCAATATCAATTTGTATTCTCCTTAGGATGTGTTTAATATTTGCTTTTAAAAAAAGATAGATTGGAATTACACAGATATATACATATAAACGAACAATATTATTGTTCTTGTGGGGTTGTGGCGATTGTTGAGCTACTTTTTGAAATCATGAATCGATCTATGTTAGATCACCTGGAAGCACTGAATGATGGCCGTTTCCTCCTGGTATAGGACTCACCAGTGTCAGTGCGCATCCATGAGTCCCAATTCAGGACGGAACGTCCGTCATTTAGTGCTTTGAGGTATCAAATTGTGGTCTGACATTGATTCCTATGAAAATTCTAAGTCAATCAAGGCACTTTATTATGAGTCAATAATCATAATGAAATAGAGATTACGTAACTACACATGTTCGGTACAAGTAGAAGTTGACAGTAAGAAGTAGATCGGTGTACTGATAGTAGTAAGAATAATAAAATACAATAACAAACAGTTTTGACAATATTGAAAATTGTAGGTCAAATGTAGATAAAATCATCATTAAACATGAAAACCATTACGTAATAAGAAGTTTTTGAAATAATTAGATTGTGAAGAAACGGAAAAATCTACAAACACACATACACAATGTGAAAGTAATGGCTAATGATAACAAAAAATTAAAAGGAAAGGAACAGCGATGTCACGAATTTCTTCACAACACATAAATTTAGTTTCAGTGTACGAATTCTTATAGCTTCTACTATATATGTAAGAGAGGGGATCGAACCCCGTTAGGTGTATACGATAGATCACTAGAAATAACTCAGTCTCATCTATATATTATGACCGCTATCAGTCAGGTGGGTCGTAATGGAATTGCGTATTGTTTTTATTTGGTCATGCTGGGCCATGTTGACTTATTCGTTGGTTAAGTTCCGTAATACTGCTACTGTCAGTGCACCTGTCAGCTGATTGACTGATGTCGATCTAATTGAAAACAACAATAATTGTTCGCTTACCTGTATATCTATGCTGTTCTAATTTACTCACAATGAAAATCTTTAGAATATTTTAAAAAAAGAGTTTAATCAATTTCAGTGAGTATTTATTCCATGAGATGGTTAGAAAATGTATTAGGTATTCTCCATCCACAGACTACCTTGATGCTTGGTGACTGCTAATGGTGTTAAGGAAGGTTGGAAAGAGAGTTAAGAGTGCAGACTAATTAGTTAAAATTTATATAGTTTTTGTCATCCGATAGTTACTGACTTCAGTTGGCATAGCTCAAAATCAATTGCAGTGGTGCAGATCACTGACTAAGTGAAAAACTATGTACATATATTAAACTGTATTTACGTCGATATAGATAGATTGATCGATAAAAAAAATACTTGCTCATCGCAACAGGCCTGCAGTTAAATTAGAGTTTACGGAGGTCTTTCATTACATTGTAATAATGAATGAATCAATCTTAGACCACCACCATTAGAAGCGTGGAAGCAATGGATGGTCATGTCGTCATGGTGTAAGATTCATCAGTGACAGTGTGGATCCACAACTCCTGCTACTCGCAGGATTCGAAGTCACGACCTCTGGTCTTGCGTGAAAACGCTTAACTCCTGGACTACTGTCTCGGCATCCGACAGTGTTATGGTCTAACTCTGATCAATCTAAGGATTGTGAGCAATTTCACCCCATGGTTTTCGGAATTTATTGCCTACACCCAACAGTGTTGATCTCAACTGATCACTTCCTCTCGGTAGAATTCCGAAAATTTTTCTCGCGAACCTAGTCACCAGTGAGCATATTTTATGATTTTCGGATTATAGAATTATGTTCGAATTTGTCATTCCTTTGCACACCATTGCGTAATTAATTATTTTACATAATCCTATTTATTATTGTTATTTCTGTGACATTATTTCTTTAATTTTTTTTCGTAGGTTGCTTTACGTATATTATTAGTTTTATTGTATCAAAATCGTATTGAAAATTTTGATTTAATGCAATTTATTAATTCAATGGATTGGACATCATCGTCATCTGGCATTGCAAATCATGTGAGCTATCGTTTTTATTGATCTGTTTGATAATAGGGCACATCTGCAAATCTCAGGATTCGAACCGAAGACATTTGGTCTTGAGCGCGTTGACGCTTAACCTCTTGAACACTGCCGGTTGTTTGACGGTGTTAATGTCTACCTTCAGTCAACTCACGATCTAGCGCAACCTCATCCACTGTCTTTGGTGAGCACTTCTTCACACCTGAACAGGGTTAAACTCCACTGGTCACGACTTTTCACTTGAACTTGGAGAAAATTCCTCACGGTGCTAGTAACTAATGAGCACATGATACTTTGCATGATAGGGCCGTGGAGATTGTTGCGTTATTTTTTGAAATCATGAGTCGATCAATGGTAGACCCTAATCTGGAAGCAATGGACGGCAGTTTTGTCCTGGTGTGATACTCATCAGCAGTGTGCATCCATGGCTCCTGCTATTCGCAGTATTCGAACTGATGAGAGCGTTCTCGTGCAAGATCGAATGTCCTGAGTTCGATCTCCACAACCCTATCATGCTTAATATGATAGTGTTTATCAGTTGCTCTCATGACCGTAATAGTTTGGCAACTATTACTCCTATCACTACAACAGCAACCACAACAACTACTACTACTATTACCACCGCTAGTGTCGTAGTCATAATTTTGTTGTTAGTTTTTTCCCGCCAAATTACGTCCATGTCTGTCTTTCACTCTATCTCATCGTTTTAATCACATGGTTATATACTACTTAATTTGTATTTCAATAGATGAATTTGTAAACACACGCAGTACTCATGTACAATCCATATATTATTTTAGTATCGTATTATTTCAGAGATTGATTGCGATAAAGCTAAAAACAGTTTATATTAGTTCTGTCCACTAAATGAATGTTTTCAAATGTCTATTTTCTTTGTTCAAACAAAATCCAGTTTAATTCATGATCAGCTAGCTATCTGTGTGTAGCATTCGATTTACCATCATTGAGACAGCGTAGATGGATCAAGTTACAATTAGATACTATAAATAATAATAGTAATAATAATAATAATTATTATTGTTAAGACTCGGAAGGAAATACTATCACGTGTAGTCAGTAACTACCAAAGACAAATAGGTGAGGTCGCGCAAAATCCCTAGATTAATCAGAGTTAGACATTAACACTGTTGGATGCCGGCCCAGTGGTTCAGAGGTTAGGTGTTCGCGCGCAAGACTGCAGGTCCCGGGTTCGGGTCCCGCGAAGTGCAGAATTCGTGCATGTGCACTTCTGATGAGTCCCATAGAAGGACGGAACGGCCATCTAACTCTTCCTGGTTTCCGATGGTAGTCTAACAATGACTGATTAGTGATTTCAAATGTGTAAAAACAATAATATCCGTAACTCTAATTTGAAAAAGTATCAAACCGGTCATTTTACCATATCAGTGATAAGTTGACTACTGTTTAGACCACAACTAGAAACCTGGAAGCACAGAACGGCCGTCTCATCCTATTACGGGACTTACTCATCAACAGTGCGCATCTACGACTCATACTGTGTTGCGAGCTACTTACAAGTAGTATATGACGTGAGTGTCAACGTAATGTCTGGCAGCAGAAGATGGGGAAGATCAAGAAAGGAAGAGTTAGAACACAATGGAATTTGTATGAAACGCATGAATAGTGACAATGGATTGATGTTTTGCAACAGGGACAGTCCAGTTCGATATGATGAACTGATATTTTGCAAATGAACGATTTACGATATGTTTTTCCGATTTTACTGAGTAACTCTGTAATTTTCGTTAAATACAATCCGGTTGCCCCACCTGTGTTCTCGTTCATTACAATACTACTCACAGAATTTGAACACAGGACATTCGATCTTGCGCGTGAACGCCTAATCTCTGGACCACTGGGCCGGCATCCGACGATGTTAATGTCTAACTTTGATCAATCTAAGGACTTTGTGCAACCTCACTCATTTGTCTTCGGTCGTGACTGCCTACTTTACTTAACACGGTTGAGCTCCATCGATCACATCCTAAGCATTGTTTATCCATGACTCTCGCTTTTGGTAATCGAACCTGGCCGTCTAGTGCTTTCAGTTGTCTATTGATGGTCTAACAATGATCGATTCATAATTTTAATTGAAAATCAAAAATTACCATATCTATATGATGAGCACGACTTTTGTTGATTGGTTAGCAAGATGCTGTCATACTGAGAATGATCAACACCCTTATACTCCACTCTGAAATCAAGACATATACGTTTACCTTTAATTTTTCTAATGCACATTCATTAACAATGTACATGGAAGTTAGTATATTCAGTCTTTGTTTCATAAATAAGTTCGTCACACGAAGAAAAAAAGCTCACTTACACACTCTATAATTAGTTAACCTAGTAAATTCTTCAGCTGTGAAAACAGAATTTTTTTCTACAAACCATATCGTACCTTGATTCATTCATTCAGTCTTTTCGGACGTACTTACTGTTAAAAGAAGTAATCGTCCTTCCTGAAATTCATGCAAAATATTGTAGTTTTTCACAACAAATCAACTCTGTAGTTTGCATAAAATGACAACTAATTCAATTCGCCATTTCAGTTACAGAGAATAGTAGTACATTTTAATTTGACCTTTACTTATATTAGTAGTGTTGTGCACGAAAACTCAGGTGAGGACATTAACATATATATTTAAGCGGATATTACAGAGTTGTTAAGCACATGTACAAAACCTTCCCGTGAATCATCATTTGCAAACTAATCCTTATTTATTTCAGATTTCAGTGTTCTTTCATTTAAACTGTTCAGACTTCAGTTCACTTTACGTTACCTACAAAACGCCTTCTGTTTCATTCTTTCCTTCTCGATCTTTTGCTGTCAGACGTTTGATTTCCATTTGATATCATATACTACTTATGTGAACATAAGTAGCGTACACCACAGTAGTAGTAGTAGTAGTATGAGTGGTTGTCATAGTGTTATTCGGCTGCACAAAATGAAGTTGATATAGAGAGATGGGTTTGAACTTTTGACTGAAAGATGGAAAGTTTGTGACAACTTATCGGCAGCTCAACTACGAATTGATTTTTTTACGTTTAAATTTATCAAAGGGTTTGTACTCTTTCTTATCTTATATCGTTTTGAATAATTCAATCATTCTGTTTTTTTTAGATTTACAAAGCTTATGAGAAAGAATTAATGGAACATGAACGGTTGGAAAAAGAACGCTTGAAATCCACGGCTAATAATCATCATAGTCATCGTCGTTCGGCGTCTGCTGATACAGAATTAAATCCATCTTCAGATTTCAATAGTTCTGAAAATACAAGTATGTTTACATGTGTATTACTTACTTACACCTGTTACCCCCAGTGGAGCATACGTCACCGACCAGTATTCTCCATTCTACTCTGTCGTGGGCCTTTCTCTCTAGTTCTATCTAGTTGTTGTTCATTCTTCTTATGCCTATCTCCATTTCTGGGCGTATAGTGTTTTTTGGTCTGCCTCTCTTCGTTTGAACTTGAGGATTCGAAGGTCAAGTGAAGAATCCTATGCTGTATGTTGACAGGTTGTTTCCGATTGCTAGGGTTCTAAAAACAAAATAATTGTGTTATCGCTCACCGTAGATTACACAATGTTAGTCTTGTCGTACTTAGTTAGGAATCTTTAATTGGATATATACCTATATCCCAGTGTGATGTCTGTGTTGTTGAAACTTGAACCGATTATCTTTCACCTCAAACAGTCAATGCGTTATGAATTGAGCTACTGAATTCTGATTGACGCTAACCTGTTCATCGTGGATAATGATTTATGAGGAGTAGTATGTGTGCATCTTGTGAGGACGTACACATATATCATCACAAGTTGAATAAGCACATATATTTGTACCAGCTCCTAATTGTGTTCTTAGACTAACTGATTTATATCAATTGGATTAATCGAGACTTCATTCAACCTTAAGCTTTTTCTTAACAATTGTGAGATAGTGATGAAAGACTACGATATTCGATAAAACGTATAAGTTTTTTATTAGTAGACTGATACAGTAAACTTGCTGAAGTTCACTATACAAACTAAGATATATGAATCGAAATTGTGATTGTTGTGCTCTGTAGTGTGGATACTTTTATGTTGTGCCCACGGAGTGTGTCCCAAGCTTTCGGGTAGGTTAAATAATCCATTCACGCCCGAGTTACTATTCCCTCGTCTTTTCATCTAGTCAACCGTTCGCTTCTATCTTAGTTGTTTCTATTCAAGTATGTATATACGCGCCAACTTCGCGCAACACATGTCGTCTATTTTGTCTGTCAATAAAAAATACTGAGTCACTCTTTATCACAGGCAGTTGACTCTCCGGCCTTTTGCACTTCATTACGCTTGTTTTCACAATATATATCCTCCTGTATGTCTGCATGAACGAGTGCTTAAAAATACTCATCCAGCGGAATCCATAATTAGCTTCTTGTTATCGCCGTAGCACAAACGGTTTCGTTTAAATATAATATACGGAAACTGAAGGGGATATTTATTTCATAGCATACTCAAACGTCATAAATAAAGGAGTCAGATCGTAGGCCTCTAAAGTAGTAGGTCTTACTTCCATTTCAACGCAGCTACTAATAGTGTTGGTCCCGACGACAAATTTAACGCAACCTTTAAAGTATTAAGCCCGACATTAAATCTAACGCAGCCACAAAAGCTCTCTGAAATTGAATGTTACGTAGAAAGTAAAACCGATGTAATCAAATTGGAAACGCACAGTAGTAATTCTATTTTTAACTGGTTAGCAATAATGAAAGTTCATTGGATAGTATGTGGTAACAGTGTTGCAGTGAGTGTTGTAGTAAAAACTATTAACAATCATATCACAACTCTTCCACCACAAGCATGTAAGGCAACTTTACCACACTAAATATTATCCCTCTACCTACCTTACGTAACAAATAATGATGGTTTGGGCATGTATTACGAATGGCTAACCACCGACTGCCTCAGCGAGCGATGGTGCCTGGTCTAGGGGTAGTCTTGAGGTGGCCAAACTAAAACATGGCACAAATCCATCAAGACACTGACAACTGCATTGAGCTATGTTAATAGATGTGGATGATAGTAACTGATGGTTAGAGACCTGGATCAACATCGTTTGCAATGGTACACATGTATCCACTCTTTGTATTCTTTCAGATTCTAATCTTCGAAATTCCTCATCACCTTTACCTCATTCTTTTCAAGCTTTTTTCACTAGATTTTACTTCTTGAATAATATCTTCGATTCTTAATATTTTTGATTACCGCTAATATTTCTTCAACTATAGGATTTGAATTGACAATTCGATCTCTCTCTCTCTCTCTCTGTGCTAATATGGTCTATCAGCTTGAACTACCCTACGTATGTACTAAGTTTTACGTTGTTGCTGACTGATTGACTGACTACTAACTAATAAACGTTCTATTTTTTGTCTTTCTTAAACACACACACCTGATGATGATGATCATATAGTTATTCTTCATAGTTTATTCAGACTAAACATCACAGCACATAAAATATTTTAATATTTTATTCTTTTTTTTCTCATTTCAACTCTCTTTATTAGCTAATATCATTGCACCACAACCGTTGCATTCATCTGATGATCTTACCGACCTAGGCTATTCAACGCTAAATATACATGAGACGAATAAAACAACCCCTGAACAAGATTGGTCACCGATTGTGGAGGATCAGTCTAAAGTGATTACTGCTGCTGCTACTACTACTACCATTACTACTACTGCCACTAATAATAATAATAATAATAATAATCATTCAATGCCATGTGCTACTTCAACAGAAGATCATCAACAAGGAGTAAAACATGGTCAACAATCTTCATCTGTTGTTGTTGTCATTGGTAATGATCATGATCACAGTGACGCAAAATGTCATGCACATCATCGTGATGATCATGATGATGATACTGGACAATCAAAAGAACACCCAACTAGTATGATGGGCTTTTTTTTGTTTGTATAGAAATTTATTATTTTGCATGATTTATTATGTAAAATTGGTTGGTTTTTTTATTTCATTAATTACTTGATTAACATAGGATTCGAAGCAAAAAAAATAGTAGGTTGCCGAAATTTGTACGCCATACAAGAGATATTTCCCTGGGTGATTTCTTTAGGAAGCCGCTCCTCGGATCACCAAAGCTTAAAGGTTTAATCCTAGAACAATAGAACTAAGCTATAGGGATTCAAGCGGTTAAGCTTGTTGACCGCTTCACATATCTCGGGAGTCTCATTAGTGCCGGTGGCATGGTGACTGACGAAATCTCTGCACGGATACAGAACGCTTGATTGGTTTTTGCCAACTGGCATCACCTATGGCGTAGACGAGATATCTGTTTGCTAACCAAAGGACGAGTCTACAGCACAGCAGTTTGTTCCGTCCTACTTTATGGCTGTGAAACATGGCCCGTAAGTGCTGAGAATATTCGTAACTTATTAATATTCGATTATAGGTATCTTCGAAGCATTGTTCTTGTATCATGGAACAACCGAGTAAGCAATGCTGTCGTTACGAAACGAGTACTAGGTAGGGATGGTAGATCAATAGATGGAGTATTGAAACTTCATCATTTGAGTTGGTTGGGACATGCGTTCCGTATCCCCAACCACCGAATGCCTCGACGAGCTATGTTTTGCAGTGTAGGAGTAGATTGGAAGAAAGCTAGGGGCGGCCAAATCAAAACATGGCAGAAATCCATGAAGTCACTGACAAGTAGACTGATTCATGTCCGTAGGTGTAGGCTACCTGGTTGGAGTCTTCGAGATTATATAAACCGATGGCTTGAGACTTTGAATAACATGGCTCAAAATCGTTTGATATGGAGCAGGTGTATCCACTCTTTATGTTACCTGAAATTCTAATTGTCTGAATTCCTCATCATCTCTATCTTTCTCTTCCTAAATTAATCTTATTGGATTATACTTCTCGAATCAAATCTTCAAACCTGAATCTTTACCATTACTGCTAATACTTCTACTATCTCTACCACTGTAGGATTTGAACTGACGATTGCATCTCTGTACTAATGTGGTATGGCAACACGAAATGATGTGTGTACGTGAGAAGTTCTACGCTGTAATTGACTGAATAGATGAACGCCAGGAGATGTAATCTTATGATCACTGATGAGTAAGAATAGGTTCAGACACCAATTTGTTCTCTTAGGATCTCAGAGGCCAAGTATATCGATGGCTGATGATCATAGTTTTCCAACTCATCTTAGATGGATCCTCCATATCTACTCGTCCGATTTACACGTCAGACGTTCGATTTCGTTATTTCTCAAATAACATCTCTCACCTAGTAAAGGGGATAATTAGGACTTTCCCTGGCGGAGGTTTACAGTTCATAGACATATGAGAACCTTTCAACAGAGAGATTTTCCTTGAACGTATCAGTGTATTTCAGAGAAGACTAGTCTACTGGAGATTTTGTCACTGAAAAATTTCACTGTCAAATATTTCTTTATATACCATTCTTACTGTGTTTATGCCCTCTTTATGTCTACATAGAATTCATTCTTATTCGAATTACAAACAAACAAAATGTATCTTTAAACTAACAAGTATCACTGGCATAGTTATAATTGAATACTGTTGGCACTGATTTTCATTAGCATTATCTATAAGAGTTGGTTTTTTAGTGAACACACACAGATCCTTCAAATGTCACCATCACGTAGAAAGTACCAACATGAAGAATATTAGGGGCGGCCAGACCAAAACATCGCAGAAATCCATGAAGTCACTGGCATGTGGACTTACTGATGTTGGTTGGTGTCCGCGAGACGAATGATGATGACTGATGGTTAGAGACCTTAAATGACATGGCTCAGAATCGTTTGCAATCGCGCAGGTGCATTCATTCATTGTGTTCTCTCAAATTAATCTTCTGGATTCGTCAACACCTCTACCTTTGTCTTTCTAAACTTATCTGACTGAATTATACTTCTTGAATAATGTCTTCGAATTCTAATCTTCTCCATTACCGCTAATATGTCTACTATCTCTACTACGATGGGATTTGAATTGACAATTGCGTCTATGTGCTAATGTGGTATGGCAACCTGAACTGATATACTTACGTACGAAGTTCTACGTTGCATCCGACTGACTGATTGACCAACATGATACGCTGTAAAAATTAAGCAGCACTTAGAAATCGACATGTTTCGATTATTATTGTAGCCACGAGAGACGAGGAATGTGATACAGACCGATTATGTTTTTTATTTTGAATACATGTCTGTAGCTGGACTTGTGACTGTGATTGGTTCATCACTATTCACCCTCGAGATCTGGTGGAGTCACGAAGCCAGGTGTGATATTATCTCAGTGAGAATAGAACCATCAATGATTCAAAGTGTATGTGGAGTGGAACACAACATTCTGCGAGAGACAATGTGGCACAAGAGCAGAAACAGACCAAACGCTCGGAAGAAGACCGGTTAAATAAAATTTTAACCTTATATATGCGATCCGTTGGTGAACTTCAAAGTATTCCTCGGAAAAGACTATAAGAGCCTATAAAACGCTTGAAAACGTGCTTATCAATCAGAGTTAAATCGAATCTTCACAGAAGCATACAAGAAAGTAAATACAAAGTCATATTCCATGATTTTGATTGGTTCGTTACTTGTGCCACTATTAAGTACGTGATTCCAGGAACTTTCGGAAATTCAAAATCATGAATTCTCAGCAGCGATAAGGGAATTAAGATCTAGTGTTCATTTAACCGACTTTGGTTTTAAATAATCTTGTAGGCTTTTTTTTCCCAGACATCTTTTCAACTCAACTATTTCTTCATTTTGTCAATAAATTTAAAGAATTTACAGTTTTTTTTCCTATTTTTTTTAAAATTCCTTTCTATTCAGACCCAACGACGCCGAATATTAATAACAATAATGTTGATGATATAACAAATGTCAGAGAAAATACTTCATCTCAATTGGTAAATCATATTGTCAACATTTCTGGCACTACTGCCGGTGTTGGCACTGAAACTCCTATGGCTGCTAACATTCATAATGATGCAGTTAATAGTAATCATATTGACAACAGCAGTGGTAGTCGTCTTAGCGACGATTCATGCACCGAGGATGATGATGATGATGACGAAGAAGAAGAAGAAGATGGAGAGTCTGAACATGAACATCCTCATTATGGTTATAAGCTGTTATCATCTGCACTGTCAAAAATCAAACGTCCATTCCTTCAACATTATAATACTCCAACTACTACCACTACTACAACTCATACTCCTTTATCTTATCATACTACTCTTTATTCACATCATAGTAGTATAGATATGACACAAGGTAGTAAACATGCATTATTTTCAAAGTTATCTAGACAATCTTTTGATGAGAATTCGTCTACAATGAATGTTATGAGACAATCCATTCATCATCAAAATTTTACTAATCATACCACTACGACCACTACTACTACTAACAATGATAACAGTAATCATAATTACAGTCATGATTATGATGGTGATGCTGATGATGTTGAAGATAAAGACAATGAGGATACAAATGCACAAGCTAAAGTTTCAGTAGTTTATAATGCATTCAACCTTTTCAATAGGTAAGTTTTATAAATTACACGAAATGATCTTTTTATATATATGTCGTTTAGTCTATGCGAGCTCCTTGTAGCTAGATCAACTGAAAAACTTATATGATGACATCACACTAAATACCGAACCATATTCTCCGTACTTAGTCAACTTCGTCATAGACATACTTTTAGACATGACACTTAGATTGTTTGACTTTTCAAGAGTTGAACTTTTACCGGTAGATTCACTTGTTGACTTAGAGTATGCGGATGATATAGTTCTGCTATGTGAAGACACCGATAGAATGCAGAGTCTTCTTACCATATGAAGCAACAGTGACCAGTGAAGCTCAACCCTGTTGGATGTAGTCAGTAACAACTACCGAAGACAAACGGGTGAGGTTGCGCGAAATCCCCAGAATTGATCAAACTTAGACATGAACACTGTTGGATGTCGCGGCCCAGTTATCCAGGACTTCAGCGTTTGCGCTGTGGATCGAGGGTCCTGGGTTCGAATTCCGTTGGTATCAGGAGTCGTGGCTGCTCACTGCTGATGAGTTCCATACCATGACGACATAGCTGTCCAGTGCTACCAGGTTCCTAACGGTGGTGGTCTAACAATGATTCATTCATGATTTCAATAATAAACAACCATCTCTATAACTCTAATTGGAGAATCATAATCTATGATAATCGTGTCAACCAATGATGATTTGGTCAGTACCATTTAGACAAATCTTAAAACGTCATACAATTAATCTAGTATTTTATTGTACAATTTGTCTATTCGCCAATTGGATATGACTGAATAATTAAAATGCCTTCTAACCTACAAATCTATCTCGATCTCAATCTGAGATCAATAGTTGTTAAATATATTTAGCCGTAGTAAAATATTCTCAACTCCAGAAACTAACTATATTCTCTCTTCTTGATACTTGAAAACCAAGTAATGCTTTCATTGAAATCAATGGTCACATAGTAGTATTAATCCAGTTGAACAAACGTGCTTCTAAAAATATGACCCACTCAACTGCCGGCTACATATTTTTTATCTTTGGAACAACACAGATAGATAAGTGAACAATTATCGTTGTTTTCAATTAGATTGTCATCAGGCTTCTTTACTCTGTAATATACATAAATATGTTCTATACAAAGTTCAATCGATCAAGCCAATGTGAGGCAATAATCACAATGAAACAGAAATTACGTCACTGCATATAATAAATAGGTCAGAGTACAAGTTGATAGTAGGAAGACAAGTGTACTAATAGTAGTAAGAATGATAAAATAAGGTAGCAATAAGTTTTTCTCAGTAGTTCAACAATGGAAGTAGTAGGTTGAACATGGATAAATATACCTAAAATAATCATCACAAAACATTGTAACAATTACGTAATAAGAAGTGTGTAAAATTATTAGATAGTGAAGATTGTAAACAGAAAGAGGCAGAGAATTACAAACAAATACAGGATGTGAAAATAACACCAGCGATAACAAAAATAAAATAAAGACAAGAATTTTTTTCTTTAAAAATCTTTTGTTAAGTTATATCCGGCCACGGAAGAGATAGGGATGTCACGAATTTCTTGTGAACACATAAATTGGAGCTGAATGTACAAATTCATGTGGCTTCTGCTATATATGTAGGAGACAGGATAGAACTCCGTCAGGAAATCATGAAGGTGTATACGATAGATTATTCAAAATGATTCAGATTTACCTACATTATGACCGCTATCAATTAGATGTACCAAGATAGGAGTGCGTATTGTTTCTACCCAGCCGTTTCTAAACCATGTCGGGGGAGATTCACTCAATCGTTGATTTATTTGCCTGGTTGTATGCCCGATATAGCTATCTCCATATGAACAGCTGAATTTGTAAATATACATCGAGGAAACCAACTTCTCTAATTGAAAACAATATTGTTCGCTTATATGTGTTGTTTTAATTTTCACTATAGGAATCTTGAATATTTTTTTTCTCTTAGTAAGAATTTGTAATTATTTCCAATAAATAAACTTTTTTTTTCTAACCCCTATGAATTAGATCTACATCGGATTTTATCAATCGTATCAATATGAATCGATCTCTATTAGACTGGCGTTCACTTATTCCAAGTTTATCAACTAATCCAACTCCACAGTCAGGAAGACGTGCTACTACTACGTCTAATTGTTTCACCGGATCAAATTTCCCTGATCAACAATATCTACAACCAGAGCAACACCAACATCAACACAACCAACAGTACTATTCTTTCTCACCGCAATATCATTATCAACAACCACAAAGTGAACGTATTTCACGTGTTTCATGGTCAAAGCAATCATCATCAGGTACCGGGATGAAAACTACTGACTCCATTGATCATCAATTGAACACCGTCAATAATCATTCATACAATGTGGCACCGAAATTATCAGATTCTGCATGTGTTGCTGTTCATCCAACATTATATGGCACAAATCATGATTATTATTATTCTCATGAGAATTATCCAATAAATAATCAGAATATTAATGATTATCATCAATTAATTAATCAATTTCCATATGACAATAATTATGATCATGAAAATTATGCTTTAGGTAACTAAGTTTTATAATTCTCTCTTATTATTTCAAACCAGCTATTTCCTAATGCTTAGTATTCTCTCAGACACTGTCAAATATTCACCCAATGTCTTAAGAGTACTATTTTTGGAAGTATAATCCTATTGATCAAAATTATGGCCATTTAAACTGTCAAAGTCAAATACTTCAATGTTGTCTCGTATCGGTCATCCGGACTGTCAATGTCATTTCAAATGTTCTTTCCTATTGGTCGTCCTAAACTTTCAATGTCACAGACTTTTATGTTCTTTCCTATACGACCTAAATGTATAAATACACACTATCTGTAAGACTTCATGATTCCGTTCCTTCCTGCCTACCTCTCGACCCAATAAACAACTCCATCCAACGGTGTTGCGTTCTGATATATAGGAGATTTGGGAATAGTATTTGGGTCGTATTGGAATATTTGACTTCGGACGTCGGTAGGATTTCGAATAGCTACGTAGCAGCATTATAACACACCAATTCACTCGAGACGATCTTATCAAAATCAAAACATGGTTGAACAGGAAAATAGAGATTATATTCCAATAACAAGATTAGAATGGAAGACAGAAGGTCGAAAGGAAAAAAAGACGTTAGTCTATTTGTAGTTTTCTTACAGTAAAACTTTCTAGAGTGTTCGCTCAGTATCGGCTAGCGCTGATTGGATACGGAATGAGCCAATCAGCGTGCAACAACGCACAATCATGCTTTAATCCAATCTATGTCCCACTAACAGTAACATTGGCATTGTTTACTTTATAAAAGTGATGTTTGTCAAAGTTGTCATTGGACATGCTTTCAGCGATAATGATGATGATGACACTTTGATTGTCTGAGTTTTCAGGAGTTCTTAACCTTCCTTCTACCAGGAAATTGACTTGTTGACTTGGAACATACAGATAACATAGCTCTGTTTGATGAAGACGCTGACAAAATACATAGTCTTCTGGTCACCTTTTAAGCAACAATACAAGTATGCTTTGAAAGTGATTCTCCTCCTCAAAATGCAAAATGTTGCTTCAGGAATGTGATATAAAGTGAGGTAGTTGAGCATGTTGACGACTGTACTTTTCTTAAAAAGACCATATTCATTCTTTTTAAAATAACACTTTCATGAAATACGCGTTAGGAAGTCCCAAAATGTCATTGGTGGCAATCTCTGAAGGTGCCAAAAATTTTTTTGTCTACTCAGCATCGAGTAGAAACTTCTTAGGAATACCTTGAATCGTTATCCGTTAGATAAATAGCTATACCGTTGCTGTGCTTAGAATGTCTCTAGAAAGCTCTAGACCCGACCATAGCTGCTACCTTGACATAGTAGTCGGGCTTGCCTATCGTGATCACCCAACCGAGCTATATTGGCTGGAACATATTCCTGTAGGTTTTACCATGCCTGGCAAATCGATTGGAGAACAATGAGACCAAAAGCAGCTACTCAAGGTGTGAGGGCAAAGTTGTACTGCTGACTGTACAGAAGTGTGACAGCAGTAAGGTTTTAAGTTCTTCAAGAAACACCGACGGTGTGGCCAGCCGGGAAATGACATCCGCCTTCATACTCGTAAAAGGAAGCTTTAGACGACCAAGGTCTTAGTAGTTCGAGTTGATGCGCCGATGTATTGTCTGAGTTATAGGAAGCAGTTAGGAAGTCATAAGCATCGCAGGAGAGATAAATATCAATATCCCCATTATTGTTGTTATTTCAAATAATGTAAGGAAACAAAACTAAACTGACACATAAATGACTTGTCTGATATTGTTTCTTTTTTCCCATGCAGATAATCATCACATAGATCAAGCACACCAATTCAAAGATATGTGGATTCATATCGCTGGTTCCCTACTTGTCGGTGATATTAATCGACGTATATCACCTGGGAATACACGTACAATCTATTTACAACAATGTTTATATCAACAGCATATGTACAACAACAACAACAACAACAGTAGTACATCACTATCAGCAATACCGACTACATCATTTTCTATCAATCGAAGCGAATCATCTCATGTGATTTCAACATCAAATACTACATTAGAATCTGCCATTGTTGATGGTAAGTTTTCAGTCTTCTTCTTCTTCTTCTCCATGTTACAATATTGGTGTTATAACAAAACAGTGTGTAACATGACTCAGTCAACCAGTCAGCTATAACGTAGAACTACGTACGTACATCAGTTCAAGTTGCCATACCATATTAGCACAGAGAGAAAATTGTCGATTCCAATCTCATAGTATTAGATGTTGTAGTAGTAGTAATAGAGGTAATGGAAAAGATTCGGGTTTAGAGATAGGATTCGAGAAGTATGATCCAGTGAAACAAACTTGAAAAGGAAGAAGAGAGAAGGTGATGAGGGATTCGGAAGAGTAGAATTTTTAAGAGAACACGAAGAATGGATCCACCTGCACCATTGCAAACGGTTCTAATCATCGATTACTATCATTTCGCGGACCTCAACCAGGTAGTCTGCACCTACCAACATGGCTCAATCCACTTGTCAGTGACTTCATGGATGTGTCCCATGTTTTGATTTGTCCGCTCCTAGCTTTCTCACCTTCTCCTACACCACAAAACATCGCCCGTTGAGTTAACTGATGAAGTTCCAATACTTCGCATATTGATCTGCCATCTTCAACTAGTACCGTTTTCCTAACATGGCTCGTTGCAAACGATCATAATGGGACAGATATATTAATTCTTCATAGTCCTGCAGACGTTTATTTCCAGTTCTTCATCGTACATACCTATTCTTTCTGTATTGTTTTTCTTTTTTCAAAACCTAATTCTTACTGCTCATTCAATCTCATTTGAATTTGTTCACAGTTTATATGGTTTGAATTATTTTTTATGGTTAGCGAATTAGTTTTCTACGGGATGAGGTCACTAATCCCCATGCCCAACCCTCCTCTTCTATTGGGCTCTTTGGACCGACAGTAACCCCAGAGAGGGATGCTCTTGGTAGATGATTCTACTGCTAGCTACATTCCATGTATTCTTTTTAAACTTTTATCAGCATGATTATATCAAGACAATACACACTAGGTGTACATATACTGACTTGATTTATTTATTTATTCAGGTAAGTCAACTACTTCAATACCAATTATGGTAACAGCAACAACAACAACAACAACAGCGAATTCAAATCTTAATCAACAACAGTTGACTTCTATGTCAAATGATCAACAAACATCGTCCGTAGTCAGTGACTCATCTTCAACAGTCGCAACATCAACAGTTCAATCGCCTCTTATCCTAGGCCAGAACAACAGCAATAATAATAACAACAAAGAATCATCACCATCCTTCTCTACAACATCAACAACAGCAACAACAACAACCACATCAAACGATAGTCAATTTTCTAACATCAACCATCATTATTGTATTACACATTTAAATATATTCATAACAACTTGTTCAATCTGTTCAAAATGTAAACATTATGTGTATGATGAAGAAATAATGGCTGGTTGGTCTACCGATGAAAATGATCATAGAACAATATGTCCATTTTGTAAAACTTATTTTATACCACAATTATCTATACGTATATTTGGTGATACAAGTGGCGGTGGAGGAGGAGGAGGAGTAGCTAGTCATGGTTACAATCAGTCAGTGAAATTATCGCAGAACCAATCAACTATGAAACATTTTCATACACCATCAATTTCGCAATCTTTGAATAATTTGTCCAATGTTCAATGTGATCGAAATGATTCGACTGAATCAATTCCAGTTAAATCATACAATTCTGGATCACCAGGACAAAGTACTTCGTAAGTTGTTTATATATATATATATATATATATATATATATATATATATATATATATATATGGTCCAGTCACTGGTAATCTGAGTCCTATTGATATAGATACGGACTACATTGTTCTAGAAGGTGCTACAAGCGGTTAGAGACATTGGATGACTTGATTTAGTTTCTTTATTAAGTCATAAACACCAATTCTATCTGGTACTGATATTATCGTTAGTTCAAATACACAAACATGAACACCACTCATACTCCCTTAATGCATAAATGTTTATCAAACTACTCAATAAAGCGATATTAGTGATTGAACTAGGTCTGATCATGTGTTTTCTGTTGTATACGACTACTCACATCTATTTTTATGATAGATAGATAGATAGATAGGTGGCTCAGTGGTCTACTTCGTATCTACCGTTTCCTCGATAACTTAGTGTATCTCTCTGGCTAGGCTCATTACACACTTGACAGAGGCTACCGATTTTGGATGTAATGTACCTAACTTCCAATGGTTGCGTTATTCACAAGATTCTCTCTCTCTTTCTTTGCCCCCTAGTTTGAGTCCGAAAGTCAGAAATCAACTTCTATTATATTTATATACCAAACAGATGTGATTTTCGGTGTGCATCATACCACAAATAACGATTACATATAAACAAGCCAAAAGTAAGCCTGTGAATAAAGGAGACCGTAAATAATAGACGAACAGGCTGCAGATTAGGTATAATAAGTCGTATGACAATAGTTATCAGGTTAACCTATGGTTGAAACTATTACGGGTTCACCCTAGTAGACAAACGAGAAGGAGACAATATACCAGTGTCCGGGTAGGCTACTCTGATCCGTTGACCCAAAAAAACTAACGAAAAAACCTTAATATAGCGTTCAAAGTGCATTCTGCAAACACCCAGTCGGTACACAAATCACATTTATTTATACATCATAGAAACGTCCTTGGGAGTGATTACAAAAATAGCACACTAAAATAACACATCAACCAATCAAAGCCAAATATGTTCCTGGTGGCAAATGTGATCTCAAGGTCAACTGAGCAGCCCATGAATAAAATCCAAAATTATGACCTTGATCAAGCGAGTTCTGGGGGTCTTACGTACGTCCCCAACAATTGCGTGATGATAATGATGAAGCGCAAATTTTTTTCACAAAAACGTTTTACAAAAAAATACAGAAGAAATAGACACCCAGCAAAACAACACTATTTTAAAGTGTGTTTTTAGTGTACTGCATAAGAGTTGTGAGATGCATTCATGTATTGGTTCAAAACGACTTCTTGTTTTATGTTTCAAACTCTTTTCCCCTTCATTTTTTTGTTGCACTTGTGTTTGAATTGATTTATTGATTTGTTTATTTAGTAAGCAAATTTATTTTCGTCTTCTTCCTTACTTTTATGCTTATGTTAACAATCACACTGTTCTCTTATCTTTCAGTGTGGGTTTAATGGAAATGACAGTGAGTTATTATTATTATCATTATTATTTGTGTTATTATATTTAGGATTGGTTTTAATACTTATATCAATTAAAGAATCATAGGTGTCTTGGAAGCATTGTTTGTATATATCCTGGTGCAGCCGATTAAGCAGTGCTATAGTTACGAAGCGAGTACTAGGTAAGGATGGCAGATCTATAGATGTACTATTGAAACTTCATCAGTTGAAGTGGTTGGGACATGCGTTACGTATGCCCAACCACCGACTGCCTCGACGAACGATGTTTTGGGGTGTATGAGTAGGTTAGAAGAAAGCTAGGGTCGGCCAAACCAAAACATGGCAGAAATCCTTGAAGTCACTAACAACTGGATTAAGCCATGTTGGTAGGTGTAGACTTACCTGTTTAGGATCCGCGAAATCATAGTAATCGATGGTTAGAGACCTTGAACGACATGGTTCAAAACCGTTTGCAGTGGCACAGATGCATTCAGTCTTTTGTGTTCTGTCGAATTCTAACCTTCTGAATTCGTCATCACCTTTATCTTTTTAAGTTTATTTTATTGAATTATACTTCTTGAATAATATCTTTGCTCCCTAATCTCTCTGATTACTTCTAATACTTTTACTAACTCTACCACTACTATTGGAATTCGAATTGACAATTACATCTCTCTGTGCTAACGTGGTATAGCAACTTGGAGTGATATACGTACGTACGAAGTTCTATGTTGTTATTGACTGACTGTTGGTATTGTTGTTGCAGTGTTTATTATCATTATTTATTATTTCCTCTATCTCTAATTATTCACATATTTCTGTTGTTGTTTTATGTTTTCCCTATTTTATTTTATATTTAGTTCTCATATTTAAGTCCATTTGTTATAAGAAAAACATTGGAAACAATCATACAAAATGAAGGTGATGAATGTTTACGTTGTCGATCTATTCCACATTCTTTATTAAATCGTTCTGGTCAATTAACATGGAATTTAGTATGGTTAATGCATCGATTAGGTTTACCTACACATCTATTAGATTCATTGCCATTATGGATGATTAATTATCAAGCGGAACAACGTAGAAAAGTGAAATTTGATCAGGCTAACAGCACTACAACATCACATACTCATCATCGACATCATCATCATCATTTCGGTTCACCACATGGACAAAATAATAATAATATTCATATTAATAATAATAATAATCATAGTAATAATAATAATAATTCAACCATTTTCACTGATGCACTCTATGTAAGTGTTTGCGTTTGTTTGTTTGGTATCGATTGATTTATTTAAAATTTTCCTTCTTACAGTTCAAGTAAAAATTAAAGTTTTATGCTGAAGAGATTTTTTTCAATTTTGGTGAATACTACACACACAGAGGTGTGTTTTTTCTTTAAATAATAAACTCTGTGTTGAGGACGTTAGATACCCAGAACTCACTTGATAAGGGTTCTAATTTCGGATTTTATGTTTTCGGGCATGGGCTGATCAGTTGACCTTGAGATTGCATTTCCCACCCAGAAAATCCTTGAATGTCACTGGTTGATGTGTTATTTTAGTAAACTGTTTTTGTGGCTCTCCCAAGGACGTTTCTATGATGTATAAATAAGCTCGATTTGTGTACTTGTTAACGTCATATTTTCTTGGTGCTTGTAGAATACACTTTCTACGCCATATCAAGACTTCTTCCTCTACTTAGTGCGGCACTGGGACACACGGATTAGAGTAGCCTATCGTGTCACTGGATCATTTGTCTTCACTCTCATTTACCGACTACAGTGACTACGGTAATAGTTTCAAGCATATCAATTGACGAGCATAACACTCAAAAAATTTCAGTGAACAATGGACAAAAAAAAAGAGGATTATGAAACAATAAAAACCCGATCGTAGCTGCTACCTTGACGTGGTGGTCGGGCTTGCCTATCGTGATGTCCCAACCGAGCTATACTGGCTGGAACATATGTTCCTGAGGGTTCTACCATGCCAGGCAGGTCGATTGCAAAACGATGAAACTAAACGCAGCTACCCCAGGTCTGAGGGCGAAGTCGTACTGCTGACTGCAGAGGGGTGTGACAGCAGTAAGGTGTTTCCCTCGGACAACCGGCATCTGCAGCGATGCTGCCTTCTCACAAGGAAGGAAGGGTTAGAAAAGGTCGACCCTAAAAATGTCACACCTCCCCTACCTCACGGATTTCCGTCTCCTTGGGTAAGGGTGCCCACTAAGGGCCTTTAAGAACGGAGCTAATCCTCTAAATACCTTTCATAAAAAGGCCGTGCGTGACCGGCCTCAAGCAGTTGTCCCTTGGGCTCTGCGGTCACGCATCTAGGTCTCTAAGACCAACTCTAGTCTACCTTCCTTTTCAGGTTCCTCAAGAAACAACCTTCCACGGTGTGGGCAGCCGGGAAGTGACAACCGCCCTTATTTTGTGATGCAGTTGAGTGCTTTTCTCCTATCCACTTCCAGTGATTCTTCTTTTATTCCTCCATTGGAATCTGATCTGTTCTTTTCTACAGTAGGTTTTTGTTGATGGTGAGTGAACAACGGATTCTCAGTATCTTGTGTAGACAACTGTTAATGAATACTTGTATCTTCTGGATGATGGCTTTGGTAGTTCTCCAAGTTTCCGCACCATAGAAATATTATTCAGCAAAATATTTTTAAGAAAAGGTAAAATCTTTTAAACTTTGTATACAGTGGCCAATAGTACTACTATTACTACTACTCGTCTGGTTAAACTGATCTCAGCGATGCTAGTGTTCGAATTCTCGATTTACAACCATCGACCCACTATTCCTCATCTGCACATACATGTAGATTGTCGTGTTAATTTCATTGTTGTATTTCATAAAAATGACATTGAAATTGTCGGTGTTTTTTTTGTTTGAAAAACAATTCATATCTTTTTCTCTTTCTTTTTTTTAAAAAAAATTCATTTTTAGCAAGTACGTTTATCTCCCAATTTACCTGTGTATATATCATTACGTTGGAATGCAACACATCCAGTACGAAGTGTTATGAGAAATTCATTGTACAAGTATTGTTTCAATTCGAAATATTCAGGTAAAAATATATTACTTCTTTAGTCAGAGATGATTGTGTAATTGAGAACATATTATGAAAAAATTTTCAACGATTTCTATAAAGTTCTTGCAAAATTTTCTCATCTTAGTGATGATAATCTGAACACCTTGATAATTTAAAACAGATAGTTGATGACAAACTGAATGCAGTCTGTCGCATAAACCTCTAGTTCTGGTGATTATAGACTTAATTTTTAACTAAAACACTTCACTGATGTTCGATCATTATTACAAAGAGGGCATCGGATTATCGTTATGACTAAAGCATAGTTTATGGATGCAGGTGTACTTCTTTGAATACCTCATCATTATGATTTTTCTCTTGGTTAACCAATACTGTCTTTCTCTCAACCAAAAAGTAACCTTACGTATGCCCTACCGCTGACTACCTCGACGAGCTATGTTTTATGGTGTTGCAGTAGACTGGAAGAAGAAAGTTAGGAGCGGCCAGACCAAAACATGGCACAAATCCATGATGTCACTGACAACTGGATTGAGTCAAGTATAGACTACTTGGTTGGGGTCAGCGAGATCATAGTAACCGATGGTTAGAGACTTTGAATGACATGGCTCAGATGCATCCACTGTTTGTGTTCTCGCAAATTCTGGACTTCTGTAATCCTCATCGCCTCTACCTTTCTCTCATTAAATTTATTTCACTGAATTATACTTCTTGAATAATTTCTTCGAACCCTAATCTTCTCCATTACCGCTCTACTACAGTCATTAAGTTCGTTTGTATATATGGATTATAATATCAGTTTGATTGTTGTGTGCTAGTAGAATAAAAAGATGACGCGAGCATTCTTGACAATCAGTCCTAGTCAATATTAACAAACTAACTGTCTAAGCATCCTAATATGCATGTATATGGATGTATCGGATCGATAGTGAATTAAACCATTCCAATATGAAATGTTAGTGAAGACATAAACCAGCTTACAAATGTATTTCATTTTTACACAATACAAATTAGGAGGTTAGGCGTTTGCGCACAAGACCGAGCGTCCTGGGTCCGATTCCTTGATAGAGAGTAGCGGGTTTCGTGGATGCCCATTGCCACTGATGAGTTCCATAACCTAAGATGAAACGGTTGTCCAGTGTTTCCAGGTGCCTAATGATAGTGATCTAACATTGATCGTGACTCGTGATTTCAAATTAGGAATTAAATACCTCATAAATATTTCAGTTTATTCCAGTGGGTTTTTTTTTCTTATAGATTAGTATTAATGTTCAGTGATTAGTGTCTGTTGACAATTTTAACGGAAATAGTATTATTACAGGAGTAGTTAACATTTTAAGTTATCAGATTTATTCGATTTCTGTGTATTTTCACTAAAGTTAAAATAATTACTCTTGAACAATTTCATTTTCTCTATGTGAAATAAACTAGAATATAATTTATGTCAACTTATTGTAGGCTAACAGCAATAATTATTGTGTTCTGGTTTGATTGTATACGGTTTCACTTATGATTATTCTCGTGAATTAACTTTATCGTTACATCCTGTAGCTGGTTCTGTTTATGGTGGAGTTTCGTTCTCTGAACTGGATGTTTTGATTGTGAAGCTTTCATTACTCTTCGTCTGGACAACATCATTATCAGCACGAACTTCAGGTAGAAGTGAAGTATGGGATGGCCGTTTCGTCCTGGTATGGGACTCATCAGCAGTGCGCAACCACGACTCCTACATCTCGCAGGATTTTGACCTGGGACCTTCGGTCTTGCATGCGAACGCCTAACCTCTGAACCACTGGGCCGGAATCCAACGGTGTTAATGTCTAACTCTAATCAATCTAGGGATTTTACGCGACCTCACCTAATTGTCTTCGGCAGTAGTTACTCCCTACGCCTGACAGGGTTGAACTTCACTTATCACATCTCACTGGAACTCCGAGAATTTCCTTACGAATCAATGCACTATTGAGCACAATGTACGATATTTCAAACGTGTAAAAACACTGATCTCCATAACTGTAATTCGAATTTCTCTCTCCTATGACTCGTAGTTTGTCGTGTTGACCTTGATCTTGAATGGTTGTTATTGACCTTTCAACTTGATGTTTTTCGCATGTTTATTTTGATAATATCTCCCACTTGATCATGTTTCTTAATCCTATTCTTTGCCTATGGTTCATTCTATAAAAAAAATCATATGTGTATTCGTCAGTCAAGTGTAAAAAGTATCGTTGACATTTCATATTCAATGATCAATTTTTTTAAGTATCTATTAAACATTCAATATCTTACATTTCTATTTCTGCCTACAGATCATAATACACCTTGGTCATTAGTAAACTTGGCCAATGCTCAAGATACTTTTGGTCAACAATTCATCAGTAACCCTGCCCACAATAATAATAATCTGCATTTATTAAATAAACAAACACCAGTCAATGCATTGATTCATTGTTGTCCAATTCATGCGATTATTGATTATTTAATTATTGCTATTAAAAAAGATGATATGCGATGGGCTGTTGATTTTCTCATACAAATACGTGGACATTTACAATTGAATTCATCATTACCATTAATTATTAAACAATTGTGTACAACTTTTTCATCTGCAACACCAACCTCCTCTTCACCTACATCCTCGTCACCATCGTTAAACACGACCTCCATCACATCGTCAACAACAGCAACAGTACCGCCTACATCAACTACACAATCTACATTTGAGATGAAAAATGGTAAATTAATACGACGGAATAGAAATCAACAACCTCAATGCGCTAGTCTACAATGTTATGCAGCATGTTCCGAGAATTCATTATATCGTGAATTACTATTTCTAATTGTACATGCATTGTCTAGGACATCATTAGATTTAAGTAGGTGCTTGTTTTTTATTGTCGTTGTGGTGGTGGTAGTGGTTGATATTTGTTTACTTATTTATGTGTTTATATGTGTTTCCCGACTGTAGCTGCTACCTGGACGTGGTGGTCCGGCTTGCCTATCATGATGATGACCCAACTGAGGTACATTGTCTGCAACATGTGTTCCTGTATGTTCTATTATGCCAGGCAGGTCGACTGGAGAACGATGAGACTAAAAGCAGCTACTCAAGCAAGGTCTGAGGGCGAAGTCGTACTGCTAACTGCAGAGAGGTGTGACAGCAGTAAGGTGTTTCCCTCGGACAACCAGCATCTGCAGCAATGCTGCCTTCTCACAAGGAAGGAAGGGTTAGAAAAGGTCGACCCTAAAAATGTCACACCGCAACTTACCTCACGGATTTCCGCTTTCTAAACAAGAACGGAGCAAACTTTAAAAACTCATAAAATGGTCATGCGTGACCGGCCCCAAGCAGTTGTCCGTTGGGCTCTGCGGTCACGCTCGCAGGTTTCTAAGATCAACACTAATCGGACTTCTTTTTCAGGTTTCTCAAGAAACAGCCTTCCACAATGTGGGCAGCCGAAAGTGACATCTGCCCTCATACCAGTAACAGCATGCCGCACCAAATCAAATCCTTCCTACACCCCCTAATATCTCTCTTATTTCCACGACTAACTCTTCCCACATTCCTTTATCATATATACTTCGCCGCTAATGCTAATGAGGCGAGTTCACGAAACGCCGTTATTCCTAGTTTCCTGAAACCTCGTTCTAAACTATATGTTAGAGATTTTAATGTTCAAACCCTGTGCTAAATAGGACAACATGCTTCCTTAGCTAGGACCCCAGAATCCCGTTCCATCGATGTATGCTGTGTCTCCGAAACGCGCATACAAGATCCTAATAAAATCAATAATTTGATTTCACCTTGTCCAGATAGAGAACCAACTCGGTTTACTCTTCGTGTATATGAAAGCCCTGCTGCTTACCGTGGATATATGTACGTATATGTGTGCGTATGTCTTGATTTCTACACTTACTTATCATGTCATCAAAAGTTGTATGTACATGTTTCAGTTTTTCTCAGAATTGCTAACTAGTTGTTATGTTAATCTGAAGTAGTGGAGCATTTGATTTTCAATGAGTAGGTTACCGTATTCAACTCTTGCGTCACCTATTTCAGTGTCAGTAGCCATCTGTGATCATTAGTCCTTCAGTTAGTCAACTACAACGTAGAACTTCATACGTAAGTACATCAGTTCAAGTTGCCCTATCACATTAGCACAGAGAGATGGAATTGTTTGTTCAAATCCCATAGTAGTAGAGGTAAAAAGTATTAGCAGTAATCAAAAAGATTAGGGATGGACGATATGATTCGAGACAGTGAAATAAATTTAAAACGGAAAAAAATTTGGAGAATTCAGCAGACAAGAAGTTGAGAGACAATGAAGAATGAATGCACCTGTGTTATTACAAACGATTTTGAGCCATGACATTCAGATTCTCCAACTATCGGTGGTTACCTTTGTCTCACGGACTCCAGTCAGGTAGTCTACTTTTACCAACATGACCTACTCCAGTTATCATTGACTTCATGGATTTATGCTATGTTTTGGTCTGGCCGCCCCTAACTCATCCAGCCTACCCCTATACCACAGAATATCGCTCGTTGAGGCAGTCGGTGGTTGGATATTTGTAACACATGTCCAAACTATCTCAACTGATGAAGTTTCAATACTTCATCTATTGATCTGCCATACGTATTTAGTACTCGCTTCCTACCAACTGGATTGCTTACTCTGTTTTCCCAGGATATACGAGCAATGCTTCGAAGACACGTATGCTCGAAAACCGGTAACCTTCGAATATTCTCTACTCTTAGTGGCCATCAGTTCAAGTTGCTATACCATATTAGCACATAGCGAGATGGCATTGTCATTTCAAATTCCATCACAGTAGAGATTGTAGCGGTAACGTAGAATATTAGCGTTCTCATATTGCCTAGTTGTTGTTGGTGGTGGTTTTTCTTCGCGTCGCTACTATACACTAACTATTCACATAATTGTTTATTGATCTGTTTAAACGTTCTTCTCATCCGATGTTGTTTTGTATCTTCTACCGCTATCTCTTTTCAATTTAGTGTCATTCGATGAACAGTATAAATTAGTGTATCAATCATTCAGAAATTCTGGTTGTACATTACTCACTGATTTCGATCAACCACCAACTCTTATGGCTTCAATTTGTCGCCAGATGCTACGCCCATTAACATTGAGACCATGAGATTATGATTATCAGTAGTGTTTTTTTGGGGAAGGCTTACTTCCCTCTCTCTCCTTCGTCTGTCGACGAATCCACCGGAGGATCCACAATAATATGCTGAAACAATTCTATCATTAACCACAAGGATTTGTATGTTTTTACTACACTTATTATTTATCTGATACATAAATATCTATATACCTATTGTTGTTTATCAACCAATCAATCATTAAGTGTGCTTGAGTGCATGCATGCGTGAGTGCGTTTGGTTATATCCATACACCTTGTTTTATTGGCTGTGAAAATAAGTAAACAAACAAACAAATTTTTTTTGGAGAAGACAATCATCCATCTCCTGTGTCAATTTAAATGCGAAGCCTATATTACACTTCTTGTTTGTTGTCTCTTTTTCTGATTTATTGATTTATCGAATTATTGATTTCTTTGTTCCTTCTTATTTTTCATAAATTGTTCATTGTCTTGTTTAATTTCATGGTGGTATATATATATATATATATATATATATATATATATATATATTGGCCACCTAGTACTACTACTACTACTACTAGCACTTAATCTTGTGTGTTTGTTTTCATTGTCGTCGATCATATTCAGCTAGCTAGTTAGCGAGCGAGTCAACCAGCCAGCCAGAGCTAATTGTGTGCAATACTACTAATAGTCATAATGACAATATTTTGTAAACACACACCGTTTTTGACCCCTCTTCTCTCTGTTTATCGTTACCATATTCATTTATTCATTCATTGGCCCGTTCATTCGCCCATTCATTGATCCAATGATCTTATTCAATTCAATACCAGTCATAAATATTATTGCTATTTATAATGATGGTTGATGATTGATTGATCGATTGACTGCCATCGACTTTTGGTTCATCTATCGAGTTCATAAAGGCACACACATACATATACACTATGCACAACATTACTACCAACTTGTTACATAAACTCTATAATGTTGTGTACTGGGGATAAATAATGATCACAGATTGTTTGTTGTTGATTGTCATGCGCTTCCTATGTATGTGTTTATTGACGTGTTGACAGTGAGATAAGTAAGTAAATTAAATACACGGAAGTCTCTATCTTATATCACATGAATAAAGGGCAGTGTTCTCTTCACCCATCATCATCATCATCATCATCATCATCTTCTGTCTTTCTATTCTCAATAGTCTCCTTAGTTTGTTTGTGTTGAGTTTTCTGGGTGTGGTGTACTTACACGAAATGATATTGTTTCCATTCTTTCTCTTCAATAATAATAATAATAATAATAAATAATAATAATAATATTAATAATAGAACAACATTCCATGCACATTTCTTATTCAATCTGTGTCCAGTACTTGTACTCACACACACACACACACACACACCAACTAAGCAATACAAACGATCATCTTATTCTCTTTGTGTATAATAGTTTAAATATACATTCACATCTTTGTATTTCTGTGCGTGTGTGTGTGTGTGTTCTCAAATAGTGATGACCTTTTTTGCTTACTTGTCCTATCTATCTATCAATCAATCCTTCCTCCCTTTTTTTCTATCTTATTTATTATTATTGCATCGTTCAATATTCAATGTGTCTTCTTCTTTTTCTTCTTGTTTGTTTCTTTGTTTATTTATTGTGAAAAAAAAGATAAATTTATATTATTTGAATAAATTAATTAAATAATTAGTTAATGACTACTATACACAACAAACAATAAAGCATTTATCAAATTGTGTTGATTTAATTTCTTTACGAAAAAGTAATAATAAAAGTTTTTATGACCGAAAAAAAATCATTATTCACTTTTGAATGATGACGATGATGATTTGTGTTGTTTCTAATTGAATTTGATTTTCAATTGTAATGTTACACTTCTCAGTGTTAATGGTTTCGTTAAACAACTGCTTAGAATGAGAACGAAATTAGAATGAATGATCAGTTAGTTGTAAAACAATGTTTGCATTTAGCATAGATATATTTGTATACATTGATCCTTTTCACGATTATATAAACTCATTCTCAACTGGCAAGGATAATTTTACATTGGTTTTTAAGACAGACAGACAGATACAACGCAGAACTTCGTACATAAGTACATCAGTTCAGGTTGCCATACCACGTCAGCATAGAGGCGAAACTGTCAGTTCTAATCCAAGAGGGATAGCAATAATAGAAGTACTAGCAGTAATGTAGAAAGATAGAGATGATGAGGAATTCAGAAGGTTAGAATTAAAAAGCACAAAGAGTGGATGCACCTGCGCCATTCCAAACGATTCTGAGCCATGTCGTTCAAGGTCTCTAACCATTGGTGACTTTCGTCTCGCGGACCAAAACCAGAAAGCCTACATCTACCAACATGACTCTTTCCACTTGTCAGTGACTTCATGGATTTCTACCATGTTTTGGTCTGGCCGCCCCTAACTTTCTTCCAACCTATTCCTACGCTACAAAGCAAAGCTCGTCGAGGCATTCGGTGGTTGGGCATTCGTAACAGATGTCACAACCACCTCAACTGATGAAGTTTCATTTCTTCATCTATTGATTTGCCATCCTTACCTAGTACTCGTTTCCTAACTATAGCATCGCTTACTCGGTTGTCCCAGGATACACGAGCAATGCTTCGGAGACACCGATGATCGAAGAGAACCGGACACACTGTCCATGTATAACAGGACAACCTGAAGGTGCAATCACACAGAGATAGGTACCTGACACCCTGGTGGAGCATTCACATATTTAGTGATTATTTCCAATCATCATCATCATCGCGTCGTCAATCAATATGCACAGCATGAACAGGCCGATTTTTGAGCCATCCCGCTTACATGCCTGTAACAAACTCATTATTATTAGGAATGGTGATATCCATTATAGCATCCCAATGACAATGGCTCTTGGGAATGTTGCAAGACAACCAGAAGTATCAGTGAAATCACTTAGGCTGCAAATGAAATATGTGTATGGACTGTTATCAAAAATTGCCAAATTAATGCAACGTTCATGACGAACCTCCGGTCTCATAGGAAACCTTCAGCTCTATATAGCAAGCACTATAACTCATGGTATATACATCGTATGACATAGATTAGTAAGAGCGGCTGCTCAACTTGACGCAAACGGGTTCAAACACAGCTATTGCCTTTTTGTTCACAATAGCGATATTTTTTCCTCCAACCATATGAGACCCTGAGTTAGGGACAGTATCCCTATCGATCCTTCTGACTCAAGCAAAAACACTATGTAGAGTGATTGAGATATTTTAAGTAGCTGCATAATTAGTTTTATTCGATAGCACGCCTTGTTGATCATAACTTATCAACATTGTCACATTGAGACTATATGTCTAATTGTAGGCACATGATATGTGTCATGAATTCCCCGACTAGCCTATCAAGTCATTCACTAGATTTCTAGTTGTTTGTTAATGACTAACAAAACATAAACTAGCGGATGATGAATCATTCAATGCTAGGACAAAACAGTCATGATTAGTTCATGATTTCAATGAAATTTAACAATCTCATATTGAACATTGAATTGGGACTATAGATTTCATGTTGAAAAAAAGTTTACTGTAATGTTCTCTGCCTAGCTTGTTTCAAGAATTGAACTCTGAGATGTTTCACATACATTTATCGTTTCCATTTAGCAATTGTATTACATTTCATAAGTTTATGTTACGTGACCTGCTGTATCTATCCCCTCAACTGACAAATAACACATATCACAGTTGTATTTTATGTCAATGAAGTGTTATGGTGACTAGCTGGTATTGGGATTTAGAACATGCGTTACATTCGGCTTTGTATTTGTCCATTCGATTTAGATACAACATCCGAGTGTTCATAGTTAAACTGAGATTTGAATTGAATACATTTTGTTTTAAATACCAACTTCATTATCATCAATCGATGATGCATATATGACTAATAAGAAAACTTGAAAGTATTCTGTAAACCATGGCCGCCATCACCGCATCGACTAAATATGAAATAACTAACTAACTTACTTACGCCTGTTACCCCCAATGGAGCATAGGCCGCCCACCAGTTTTCCCCAACCAACTCTGTACTGGGCCTCCCTCTCCAGTTCTGTCCAATGTTTGTTCATTCTTCTCATATCTTTCTCTATTTCTCGGCGTAGTGTGTTCCTTGGCCTTCCTCTTTTCCTTTTGCCTTGAGGGTTCCATGTGAGGGCTTGTCTCGTGACGCAGTTCGGTGCTTTCCGCACTGTGTGTCCTATCCACTTCCACCGCTTCTTCCTGATTTCCTCCTCCACTGGAATCTGGTTTGTTCTCTCCCACAGTTCGTTGTTGCTGATGGTGTCTGGCCAACGAATCCGAAGTATTTTGCGTAGACAACTGTTAATAAACACTTGTATCTTCTGGATGATGGCTTTGGTAGTTCTCCATGTTTCCGCTCCATACAGTAGAACTGTCCTGACATTTGTATTGAAAATCCTGATTTTGGTTTTGGTTGAAAGTTGTTTGGAGTTCCAGATATTTTTCAACTGTAGAAATGCAGCCCTTGCTTTGCCAATCCGCGCCCTCACATCTGCATCCGATCCACCTTACTCGTCGATGATGCTGCCCAGATATGTAAAGTTGTTAACGTCCTCGAAAGCATCTCCATCAAGAGTGATTTGGTTGGTGCATGTGTTGCATCGGAGAATTTTGCTTTTTCCTTTATGTATGTTGAGACCTACTGCTGCAGATCCATTCCTTGTGATGGTGCTTCTTGCAACCAAGGATCTCCTGACATGTTGAAGTGATTGCCTCCATGATCCCTTTCCAATTGTTCTCCAATGTTGCGTCCTCTCCATTGAGTAGATCCTAAAAGGCCTGGAACCTATTGGTGAGGGCTATCTTGAATCCGTTGAGTTTTAGGGTATCCCGAAGAAAGCCTGTATTAAACTTCTGTGATGTTGTCTGCCCCGTTGTCCAGTGCTTCTTTAGCTTCAGTTTCATTTTGGCGACCAGCAAATGATGATCTGAAGCTATATCAGCTCCTCTCTTGGTTCTCACATCCTCCATGGTCCTTCTGAACGTTTTGTTGATACAGATATGGTCAATCTGGTTTTGAGTAGTGTGATCCGGTGAAATCCATGTGGCTTTGTGAATGCGTTTGTGTAGGAATATTGTGCCACCGATGACCAGTTTGTTGAAGGCACATAGGTTTGCAAATCTCTCACCGTTTTCGTTCCTTTCTCCCAGTCCATGTCGTCCCATGATGTCTTCATATCCAGTGTTGTCCATTCCAACCTTGGCATTCAGGTCTCCCATAAGAATCGTCAAATGCTTTGGTGAACACTTCTCGACGACTGACTGCAGCCTTTCGTAGAATTGATCTTTAACGTCGTCATTGTAGTCATTGGTAGGTGCATAACATTGGATGACGTTCATTGTAATGTCCTGTTTCTTTGTTTTGAAGGATGCTTTAATGATCCTCTGTCCATGATATTCCCATCCTATCAGTGCCTTTTGTGCATGTTTGGACAGCATCAGTGCAACTCCTTGTGTATGTGAAGCATTTTCCTCTTCCTGACCAGAGTATAACAGCAGTTCCCCTGAAGCTAGTCTCAGTTGTCCTACCTGTGTCCAATGCGTTTCACTGATGCCGAGCACCTCGAGGTTGTATCTTTTCATTTGTGCCGCAACTTGAAGTAGTGTTCCAGTCTCCCTTAATGTACGAACGTTCCATGTACCTAAAAGAATGGTTGCTCTGGTTGTCAGAAGAGGCGTCGGCCCCGTGACTTCCGAGGGAACTCGGCTTTCATCACGCGACGTCATAATTCTTCCTCCAACTCCCAGGGCGGAGTTAAAATGGTTTGAATTATTTTTTCTGGTTACCGTTTTTTTGGTAAGTGAGATTTCGACGGAATGGGGTCGCCAACCCCATGTCCATCCCTCCTCCTTTATCCGGGCTTGGGACCGGCAGTAGCCCCTAAGGTTCTACTGGCGGAGTTATGAAATAACTAAACTATTTATAATTTTGTTTGACCATTTCTAAATTATAAAACGTACGATAACAATGGTTTTGAGATATTTTTCGTACTAAGGCAGTACCACGATAATGAACACACAACGTTTGTCTTATACAATTTACAAGCAGTTACAGTCGGGAATTGAAATCAATAACAGGTAAGGATATCGGATATTTAATAGTTAGTAAGTTAAGTGTCTGTTTGTTCACGCTCAATAACTAGTCACTTTTTTCTTTCATTATCACACATTAGAAAGTAGATCCTTACTAGCAATTTTGGGGCAAGTGATTTGCTAGTATGTACAGTTTATTACTTTCTCTACTATAGCAATCAAATTTTTCAATCTATCCACGACTCCTGGGACCTTCGGTCTTGCGCACGAACTCTTGAACTCTAGATGACTGAACCAGCACCCAACGGTGTTAATGTTTAACTTTGATCAATCTAAGGATTTTGCGCAGCCTCACCCATTGCCTTCGATAGTTACTGCCTACATCCGACAAAGTCGAACTCCGATGGTCACGTCTTCTCACTAGAACTCCAAGAGAATTTCCTCAGGAAGCTAGTCACTAGTGAGCACATTTTACAATTTCTCATTAGGGAATTATGGAGATCGTTGTTTTTACACATTGTCAGACCACCATTAGTAATCTAGAATCTCTTGACAACTCAGTGTTCTGGAGGTTAAGCATGTTCGCGCACAAGACTGAAGGTCCTGTCTTCGAATTCTGCGGATGGCAGGATTCCTTGATGTGGACTGCCAATAAGTCCCATACCAGGACGAAACGACCATCCAGTACTTTCAGGTTTCTAATAGTGGTCTAACAATGTAAAACACTGATCTCCACAATTTTGTAATGCGAAAAAAAATTGTTTCATTTCATCAGTTAGTTTATCATGTGGAACATTGCTAGCTTCAGAAAATGAAGTTTTTTACGAATAGTTTATTTCTCCGATTTCCTGTCCACGATCTACATATACGCTGAACATTTGGGTAATCCATCTTCAATCAATTGTTACACTCGTCGCTAGGTATGCTTAAACTATTACGAGTTCACTTTAGTCGAATAACGAAAACAAAACAATGAACCAGCGTCCAGGTAGGCTACTCTGATCCGTTGACCCAAAGGTAGTAACGAGGAGTCTTGATGTAGCGCAGAAATTGTATTCTACAAACAACCAGCCAGCATACAATCCAAGCACTCAAATCGCGTTTATTTATACTCTATAGAGACGTTTTTGGGACAGTCACAAAAATAACACACTAAAATGACACAGTAACCAATCACAGCCAAGGATTTTCCTGGTGGGAAGTGTGATATCAAGGTCAACTGATCAGCCAATGAATGAAATCCAAAATGAAGACATTTACCAAGCGCGTTCTGGGGATCTAAGATCCCCAACAGTATAAAGTCTGTTTCTTTCGTCATGTATCTTATCTGTCTTGTCGCATACTACTTACCATGTTCAGAAATTGCTTAAAATTTATTTATTATACAAAAACGCTGACGATAGCCTGATATGACTTTTGATTGTTACATATTATAGAACTCAGTACAAATGACGGATACGTTGAGGTTTTTATGAAAATGATCATTTATATCCTATCATAATCGTAATTATCATCAATTAGATTTCAAATAATGAAATCAGCATTATTTTCTTGTTTCAATGAATATTGAACAACAACAACAACAACAACAAAATAAAACAAACAGAAATATTATAATATTTATCATTGAATATGAAAATGATTGAGTTGACATAATTTCAAATTAATTACATGGTACAGATATCGTCTATTTATTATGTGTGTGTGTGAGTCAGTGTGTGTATAAATATTATTATTATTATTATTATTATTATTATTATTATTATTATTATTACAAAAAAGTGAGCAAATGCACTTCCTTCCTTTCCCATCGACACTTTGAGATATTTCATATTCCAATGATTTATTCTGTTTGTTTGTTTTTTATTTTAATTTGAATTGAAACAAAATTTATAAAAAAAGAAATCATTAGTATTCTTATTGTTTTAATGAAACAAAAAGAAACACACTATCATTAAAAGTAGTATGTGATTGATATGTTTGAATGCAACTATTACAAGTTCACTTTAGTCGGTAAACAAGTGCGAAGACAAACGATTCAGTGACATGATAGGATATTTCTAATTCGAGCGTCCCAAAGCCCCATTAAGTAGAGGAAGAAGTCTTGATATGATGTTGAAAGTGTACTCTACAAGCACCAAGAAAATATGAGGTTGACAAGCACACGAATCGAGTTTATTTATACATGTTAGAAACGTCCTTGAGAGAGTCACAAAAATAGCGTACTAAAATAATACATCAACCAATGACCGTCAAGGATTTTCTGGCATGAAAAGTGTAATCTCAAGGTCAACTGGTCAGCCTATGCTCGAAAACACAAAATCCAAAATTAGAATCTTTGTTAAGAAGTGATGACTTTTGCGGGATCTGCCGTCCCCAACAAAAGTATATAATCACCATCAGGAATTATGAAACAAAATTATCATCAACATGGATTGGATAATGATGAAGAGAGGATAGAATGTCTAAACTGATCAAATCAATCAGGAAATTAATAAATTGTATACATTTTTATAGAAAAAACTGATCATACGAAATGAACAATTGATTTTATGGATTAACTAATTAAAATTTAATTTGCCAGTAATTCTTTTTATTATCATTTTCAATGAGGAAACATTTTCATTTGGCTAAATTTAACAAAGAATCAAGTAAACATTGAAAATGTTGATTTTGTGTTAATCTAGTGTAGTAATTTACATAAATACATGCTCAACCATTGACTGCTTCGACGGTGCTGAAGGAGTAGATTGGAAGAAATGTAGGGGGGGCCAGTTCAAAGCATGGCACCAATCCATGAAGTCACTATCAACTTGGTTGAGTCATGTTGGTAAGTATAGACTACGTGGTTGGGGTTCGTGAGATGATAGTAATCGATGGTTAGAGATCTTGAATGACATGGCTCAAAACAGTTTGCAATGGCGACTTGAACTGATGTACGTGTGTACGTATGCATAAAGTTCTATATTGTAGCTGAATGACTACATGTTTTTGTCTGGCTGTACGTAGATCTAAACAACCGATATTTACTAAGGTGTTGTTTCGAGTCCTATACAATAGGGCTTTTTGTAAGTATAAGATTGTGGAGATTGTTGAATTTCATGGAAATCATGAACTGATCAATCTCAGACCACCGTCATTGGAAACCTAAAAGCACTGGACAATAGCTTGACATAGTATGAGACTCATCAGCGATGCGCATCCACGACCCCGCACGCGGAAATCTAGTCCAGAACACCTGTTTTCGCGCGCGAACGCCTGACCACTTGAAGACGTGAATAGCAGAGGTCAACCTTGTCGGGGAACGAGGCAGGCATTCACTAAAAGACAATAGATGTTGGTCGCGCAATACTGTGAGTCAATTAAAATCAAACATTGACACTGTTGGATGCTGTGGCTCGCTGATAGAGGCCAAGCGTTTGCGTGCGAAACCGATCCCTGGTTCAGTCCTCGCTCCCGGGGTTGTCTATAGGCAGTGCTGATGAGTCCCATACACTAGTACGAAAATGTGGTCCGCCGCTTCCAATGGTGATTTAGCATTGATCAGTTCAGTGAAATAGGGATTTTATCTGTCAACATATTCAATAGCAAACTTCAGGCTAAAAACAAAGATTAAAGGTACGTATATACTCACCGCATAAAAATAGACTCACTTTACATATAACTATAAAAGTAGATAAAACATTAAGGATATCCATAAGTAGTTAACACTTTTCCAGTCCAAACTCAAGATTATTTAATAAGCATTCATTGTAACGTTCGCTAGGTTTCATCAATAAATTATAACTGTATTTACTCTCACTAATATGAGACCTGATAATCAAGTAAAAATTTTCGTCAAAGTTTGTACCGTGAAATTGTTATCAGTCTTATTCTTCAATGAAGCATAGGCCGCCTACCAGTATTCTCCAGCCTACTCTGTCCTGCGCCTCCATTTCCAGTTACGTCCAATTTCTGTTCATTCTTCTGATGTCTGTCTCCATTACTAGGCATAATGTGATCCTTGGCCTTCCTCTTTTACTTTGACCTTGAGGATTCCATGCGAGGGCTTGTCTTGTAACGCAGTTGGGTGCTTTCCGCAATGTGTGTCTTATCCACTTCCAGCACTTCTTCCTGATTTCTTCCTCTACTGGAATCTGGTTTGTTCTTTCCCACAGTATATTGTTGCTGATGGTGTCTGGCCAATAGATCCTAAGTATTTTGCGTAAACAACTGTTGATAAAAACGTGCTTCTTACGGATGATGGCTTTCGTAGTTGTTCAAGTTTTCGCCCAATATAGTAGAACTGTCTTGACATTTGTATTGAAGATTAATGACACTGGTGTTTGTCGATGGTTGTTTTAAGTTCCAGGTGTTGTTCATCTCAGCCTGGAGCCACTCTGGGGCTACTGCCAGTCCCAAGCCCGGCTAAAGGAGGAGGGTTAGGCACGGGATTAGCGACCTCATCCCATAGAAAACGAACTCGCTAAAGAAACGCTAACCAGGAAAATCAATTCAAACCATCAGATGTATATTATCTAATTATAAATAGCTTCGAAGTAAGTAGCTTTGATTAAATCTAGGAACAATTCCACTTTCAATTTTCTGTTTGATGAGTACAAAAAAGAGCAAGTCAGTCAGTTACACCGTAGAACTTCGTGCATGAGTACAGGTTGCCATACTGCATCAGCACAGAGACGTAACCGTCAGTTTAAATCCCAGAGTGGTAGAGATTGTAGAAGTATTAGCAGTAATGGAGAAGATTAGAGTTCGACGATATTATTCAAGAAGTACAATTCCATGAAATAGATTTGAGAAGAGAGAAAGAAAGTCATTGAAGAATTCAGAAGATTAGAATTTGAAAGAACACAAAGAATGGATGCACCTGCGCCACCGCAAATGATTTTGAGCCATGCCGTTCAAGGTTTCTAACCATCGGTGACTTTTGTCTCGCAGACCCCAACCAGGTAGCCTACATCTACCAACATGACTCAGTTCACTTTTCAGTCAGAGCTAAAGCTTCATCAAACTATTTTTTTTATCGACTAACTCCAAATATCTTGTTTTTACTAATAATTAACGAATTCAATAAATAAAATACAAAAATCAAACATACCTCCAGAAAAATTAACCATATTAATTTCATCACCAAGTTGTTTATTTGATTCGTTCAATATTGAACTGCTACCATTCATCTGTAATTTATTGATTAAATGATCATGATCATGAATTTTATTAGATTTCAAACTATTTTTTATACTTGAATCAGAATGAATAAATTTTTTAATCATACCATATTGTGATTGTCGTGTTTTTTCTGTATTCAATTGATTTAATTTAGATGGATAAATGGATGTCGGTTTCCATGGTGTCGTTGTCATGGAATTATGACGATTTGTAAACATTGAACAAACAACATGATTAGGAGAAGAAGGAGGAGGAGGAGATGTTGATTTTTGTATTGCTGTTGTTTCATGATGTTTAAACAAATTGTTGAGCTGTGAATCAATGTCATTATTATCATTGTTAATATGATCAGTTTGTGTAGTAGATTTATAAAAACTTGAATCTAATGTTAAAGAATATTTCTTCTTTCTTGTTGTTGTCGATGATGATCCAGCACTATAACTAAGCCTTTATGCAAAAAAAAGAAAGCACATTGAGTTATATTGCAGTTTCATATTTACGACATTAAGTTGAATGATAAAAATGTTTAATAATTAATAACACCACTGGATGCCGGCCCAGTAGTCCAACGGTTAGGAGTTCGCGCACAATACCGAAGGTCTCGGGTTCGGATCCTGCCAGGTGCAGGAGTCGTGGGTGCGCACTGCTGATGAGTCCCATACCAGGACGAAACGGTCGTCTATCAGTGATTCCAAGCTTCTAAGTTGCCATACAACATTAACACAGAGATGCAGTTGTCAGTTCAAACCCCATAGTAGTAGAGGTAGTAGAAGTATTAGCAGTAATCTGAGAGATTAGGATTAGAAGATATTATTCAAAAATTAGAATCTAGTGAAATAAACTTAAAAAGAGAAGGATAAAGGTGATGAGGAATTCAGAGGATTAGGGTTTGAGAAAACACAAAAATGGGTGCATCTGCGCCATTGCAAACGGTTTCGTGCCATGTTATTCAAGGTCTCTATCCATCGATCATTATCGTCTCGCGGACCCCACACAAGGAAGTCTATACTTACCAACATGACTCAACCTAGTTGACTGTGCCTTCGTTGATTTCTGCCATGTTTTTGACTGGCCGCCCCTAGCTTTCTTTTCCAGACCACCACTAAATCACAAAACATCGCTCGTCGAAGCAGTTGGTGGTTGTGCGTCCGTAACAGATGTCTTAACCACCCCAACTGATGAAGTCTCAATACTTCATCCGTTGATCTGCCATCCTTAGCTACTACCCGTTTCCCAACAACTGAATTGTTTACTAGATTGTCCCGGATATACGAGCAATGCTTCGAAGACTATCTAATGACGTAACAATTGCTTGTTTGAATAACAAAGTGACCCTGAGATAGAATGAGACACATATGGAGGAAAGCAGCCAATCGCATCACAACACAACTAGCTACTTGGAATCTTCAAGACCAAAGGAAAAGAGACATTAAAAGAATGAACAGCAATCGGATAGAATTGGAAAGGAAAGCCCAGAACAAAGCAGCTTGGAGAATATTGATCATCGGCCTCTACTCCACATATCTATCAACCTTATTTTATCTGACTATAAGTGATTAGCCATACCTTACTACATGGAGTTGACTTGCTCACCTTCTCCACTTTACTTCACTCTGCTTGTACGCTTTCATTATCATGTATGTCTGCTCAAATGAATGCATGAACAATTGCTTGAAATTAATTCATCCAACTGAAACCGTATTTGGCATCTTCTCACCGCCGTCGCACAAACAGGGTTCACCTAAGTATAATATATGAAATTTAAAAGGAAGCATACTCGAACGTCAACTCCGCCAGTAGAAACTTCGGGGCTACTGCCGGTCCCAAGCCCGGATAAAGGAGGAGGGTTGGAGATGGGGTTCGCGACCCCATTCCGTCGAAATCTCACTTGCCAAAAAAACGCTAACCAGAAAAAATAATTCAAACTATTTTAACTCTGCCCTGGGAGTTGGAGGAAGAATTATGACGTCGCGTGATGAAAGCCGAGTTCCCTCGCAAGTCACGAGTCTGATGCCCCTTCTGACAACCAGAGCAACCATTCTTTTAGGTAAATGGAACGTTCGTACATTAAGGGAGACTGGAACACTACTTCAAGTTGCGGCACAAATGAAAAGATACAACCTCGAGGTGCTCGGCATCAGTGAAACGCATTGGACACAGGTAGGACAACTGAGACTAGCTTCAGGGGAACTGCTGTTATACTCTGGTCAGGAAGAGGAAAATGCTTCACATACACAAGGAGTTGCACTGATGCTGTCCAAACATGCACAAAAGGCACTGATAGGATGGGAATATCATGGACAGAGGATCATTAAAGCATCCTTCAAAACAAAGAAACAGGACATTACAATGAACGTCATCCAATGTTATGCACCTACCAATGACTACAATGACCACGTTAAAGATCAATTCTACGAAAGGCTGCAGTCAATCGTCGAGAAATGTTCACCAAAGGATTTGACGATTCTTATGGGAGACCTGAATGTCAAGGTTGGAATGGACAACACTAGATATGAAGACATTATGGGACGACATGGACTGGGAGAAAGAAACGAAAACGGTGAGAGATTTGCAAACCTATGTGCCTTCAACAAACTAGTCATCGGTGGCACAATATTCCCACACAAACGCATTCACAAAGCCACATGGATTTCACCGGATCACACTACTCAAAACCAGATTGATCATATCTGTATCAACAAAACGTTCAGAAGGACTATGGAGGATGTGAGAACCAGGAGAGGAACTGATATAGCTTCAGATCACCATTTGCTGGTCGCCAAAATGAAACTGAAGCTAAAGAAGCACTGGACAACGGGACAGACAACATCACACAAGTTTAATACAGCTTTTCTTCGGGATACCGTAAAACTCAACGAATTCAGGATAGCCCTCACCAATAGGTTCCCGACCTTTCAGGATCTACTCAATAGAGAGGACGCAACATTAGAGAACAATTGGAAAGGGATTAAGGGGACAATCACTTCAACATGTCACGAAGTTCTGGGTCACAAGAAGTACCATCACAAGGAATGGATCTCTGTTGATACCCTTGCAAAAATTGAAGAAAGGAGGAACAAGAAGGCAGCAATCAATGTCAGCCGAACAAGAGCGGAGAAAGTTACTGCACAAGCTGCATACACAGAAGCAAACAAGGAAGTGAAGAAGAGCATCAGAGCCGACAAACGAAAATATGTGGAATATCTAGCAATGACGGCGGAAAAGGCTGCAAGAGAAGGGAACTTGAGACGATTGTACGAAACAACAAAGAAGCTCTCCGGAAACTATCGTAAACCAAAACGACCAGTGAAAAGTAAGGAAGGCAAAGTAATCAGCAACACTGAACAACAGCGAAATAGGTGGGTAGAGCACTTTAAGGAACTCCTGAATCGACCAGCTCCACTGAACACACCCAACATGGAAGCAGCATCCACGGACCTTCCGATTAATATTGGCGCACCTACAATTAGGGAGATCAGTATGGCCATCAGACAAATCAAGAGCGGCAAAGCAGCAGGACCAGACAACATTCCAGCACAGGCAATGAAAGCAGATGTAGAAGCAACCGCGAAAATATTTCACATCCTCTTCAAGAAGATTTGGGATGAAGGACAAGTACCATCAGATTGGAAAGAAGGATACCTGATCAAATTACCAAAGAAAGGCGATCTCAGCAAGTGTGAAAACTACAGAGGCATCACTCTTCTTTCAATACCAGGCAAAGTCTTCAACAGGGTGTTGTTAAACAGAATGAAGGACTTCGTAGACGCCCAACTTCGAGATCAACAGGCTGGATTTCGTAAGGATCGATCGTGTACTGACCAAATTGCTACATTACGGATCATTGTGGAACAATCAATTGAATGGAACTCACCACTCTACATCAACTTCATTGACTACGAGAAAGCATTTGATAGCGTGGATAGGAAAACACTGTGGAGGCTTCTTCGACACTACGATGTGCCTGAGAAAATAGTTAACATCATACGGAATTCTTATGATGGATTCAACTGCAAAATCGTACACGAAGGACAGCTAACAGACTCTTTCGAGGTGAAGACCAGTGTCAGGCAAGGTTGCTTACTCTCACCCTTTCTCTTTCTCCTGGTCATCGACTGGATTATGAAGACGTCAACATCTGGAGGGAAGCACGGTATCAACTGGACAGTTAGGACGCAGCTGGACAATCTGGACTTCACAGATGACCTGGCTCTTCTGTCGCACACTCAACAACAAATGCAAGAGAAGACGACCAGTGTAGCAGCAGTGAAATTCTCCGACGCAACACAACATGCACCAACCAAATCACTCTTGATGGAGATGCTTTCGAGGACGTTAACAACTTTACATATCTGGGCAGCATCATCGACAACCAAGGTGGACCCGATGCAGATGTGAGGGCACGGATTGTCAAAGCAAGGGCTGCATTTCTACAGTTGAAAAATATCTGGAACTCCAAACAACTTTCAACCAAAACCAAAATAAGGATTTTCAATACAAATGTGAAGACAGTTCTACTGTATGGAGCAGAAACTTGGAGAACTACCAAAGCCATCATCCAGAGGATACAAGTGTTTATTAACAGCTGTCTACGCAAAATACTTCGGATTCGATGGCCAGACACCATCAGCAACAACGAACTGTAGGAGAGAACAAACCAGATTCCAGTGGATGAGGAAATGAGGAAGAAGCGGTGGAAGTGGATAGGACACACACTGCGGAAAGCACGTAACTGCATCACGAGACAAGCCCTCACATGGAACCCTTAAGGCGAAAGGAAAAGAGGAAGGCCAAGGAACATATTACGCCGAGAAATAGAGAAAGATATGAGAGGGATGAACAAACATTGGACAGAACTGGAGAGGGAAGCCCAGGACAGAGTTGGTTGGAGAAAACTGGTGGGCGGCCTATGCTCCATTGGGGGTAACAGGCGTAAGTAAGTAAGTAATACTCGAACGTCATAAATAAATAAGCTACCTTCACGACAACAGTGCTGATCTCTACTTCAAATTAATGCAGCCGCAATACATTAACTGTTTCAATTAATTCGTATAGTATAGTGTAAACAATATCATAAAAGTGTCAGTGACATGAAGGAAAAAACTCTCACATACAATTAATTAATTAGTCGATACAAGTATACACATGAAATCTAATACTATTTATATTCTATGCATCCATTACGACGGTGTTTCGGTCTCTGAGCCTAGATGTTTTGTGCTGATGATGATGTTGTTCAGAAGAACAATGGAAGCTCCTCAAGCAAAACACCACAATCATCCATCGCCATCATCACAAACTGCATCCACATTAATTTTTCAACAACAAAAACAATCTTACCTAGCTTTAAATTCTTGTCCAGATGATCGTGCATTGATGACCGGTTCATCATTATCGAAATAATTGAAACGATGAATATCAGATGGTTTACGACTTGGTGCACGCCATGGTATCATGAATTTACATGAATCATTATTGCATTGATTTAATTCGCCTATAACAAATTCAAATTGTCTTTCTAAAGAAAAAACAGCTCACTTACTGTGTCGATTGATTGTATTCTGCTTGTTTTTATCATATTCATCATCGTTATGATGATGATGATTATTAGTAGTATTAGTAGTAGTATCAATGTGATTGGTATCATTATCACTCTGATGATGTTGATGATTATTATTCACGGAGTTATTGATTGACTTTGATAATTATTCCAAAAGAAAAAAGAAATGTGAAAGGAAAATTAGGGAAGAGTTAAAAATTTACAAAAGTAGTTGTATTTTTATTGAATAAATAAAATTTCTCATTTAAATATGAAACTTTTTAAAAGTAAATCATACTGCATCATTTTGTGCACTACTAGGCATTTCGCGCTAAGAACTTCGACCGCCTTCAATAGCTAGTGATATGTACCCGTTCTGTCCTCTGCTTGCGTGCCCACGTATATCTGGAGCCATTATTGATAGTGATCGATTTTCATTCAAACGATTTTACTTATTAGCAGGTTGAAAAAAGATTTGATTGTGACCGATTCGGTCTCATGTACTTTTACGTGTATGAGGGCGTTTTTCACTTCCCGGCTCCCCACACCATGGAAGGATGTTTCCTGAGGAACCTGAAAAACTAATCCGATTTGTGTTGGTCTTAGAGACCTGGGAGCTTGACCTCAGAGCCCAAGGGATAACTGCTTGAGGCCGGTCACACACGGCCTTTTGATGAGTTTTTAAGGTGTTAGCTCCGCTCTTGTTTAGAAGGTCTTACCACCGGAGACAGAAATCCGTGAGGTAAGGTATGATATCGTTAGGGTAGACCTTTTCTAACCCCTTCTTTATGAGAAGGCAGAATAGCTGTAGATGCTGGTTGTCCAAAGAAAACACCTCACTGCTGTCACACCTCTCTACAGTCACCAGTACGACTTCACACTCAGACCTTGAGTTGCTGCTTTCAGTCTCATCGTTCTCTAATTGACCTGCCTGGCATGATAGAACCTACAGGAAGGTATGTTCCAGCCAATACAGCTAGGTTGGGTCATCAAGATAGGCAAGCCCGACCACCACGTCAAGATAGCAGCTACGGTTAAATTCATAAATCTTATGCAATGATATGAATTCCTGCTCAGGGTTATTCTGGGATTACTACCGTTTACTACTATCGTTTATCACCATTTAAACCCCGCCCTGGTAGTTGGAAGGTCGTTATTTAGAACATTTATAATGCCTCGTGATGAAACCCATGTTTCTTCGGAAGTCACGAGCCTGATGCCCCCTATGAAAACCAGAGCAACCATTATTATCCGTACATTATGGGCAAAAATTCGAAAAATCAGAGGACATTGGACAGCAATCTTTTCATACTATGGGATTTCTTGGGAGTATATACCCACAATTCTAAATAAACTGGATCGAACTCAGAATCCCCAGGTTTCTGTTGGAGCATTAAACCTTTAGACTACTAGTTTACATGTCTAATTTCAATTAATTCAGGATATTACACAAACTACCTTCCAAGGCCATCATCGGTAGCCAGCTGTCTTGCCTTCCTCTTGATCACAACTTCACATCAGAATTTCCTCTCAAAACTAGTCATTAATGAGCAACATGATATGTTTTGCTAAGCAATTCCATACCAGAATGAAGCCAGTTGTTCAACGTTTAAACGGTCATCCGAATTAAGTCATTGAATCATTGAATTGTTTAAGTGTAGTGCGTCTGAATGTGACCGATATTTTAAAATCGTAAGATAGTATTATTATTATTATTATTATTATTATCATAAATATGCTCACCTGTGAAATATGAAATTGAAGATAACGTATTTTCTGAATATAATGCTTTTTCCATATTCCAGGTTCCCATTGACTATGTGAAGCAATTAAATCCCAACCACGTCTTAAACATTTCGATGCCCATAATTCATTTGATTCACTTAGATATCGCCAATACCATGATACCTATAGAAAAATTTTCAACGGAGATGATGGTTAGAAATACCTTACAAAGATTTAAAAACCTGACCAAAGTGTTTAGCACTTTCATGCGGTACCGTACGTCTAGCCTCAACATTCCCCACTCAGTTACTCCATGATACATGAGACGCACATGAATTAAAAGCCTTTAGACTAAACATCTGTTCTACTTACACAGGTTATGTTTCATAGCTAGACAGTAATACACGAGGGACTACTGTGAAGCACACACATCTCTTCATTAACAAACAGACATCTTGATACATAATATCATAAAGGTTGTAGTGACTACACTTTTATGAAGAAAACGCAATTGGTTAACTAGAAACATTCATTATTATAACCAATTGTACCAGTGCTTGTTTTACTGAACTCCTTGTTTATTCGTACTCTGTACGCGCAGTTTGCTATTGCTTTGTTGCCATCTTGGTTACATTGCTCTTGGTAGCTTCGCTCCTATCCTTTGGCACAATCTCTGTATTCTTTCGATACCAAGAGATCGACAACAAATATACTCGTTTTTCTCGATTAAATCTTTTCGTTTATCTTCGATTCACGGAGAGATTACAATTAGTGGCGGGAACGTAGTGGTGTTCATAGTCAACCTCGACTCGTGCTACAACAAGGTCAACTGGGTTTTCTGAATCCCTTACCCAGATTTCGTCAAACATCAACTCACCATGGTTGATGTGACTTCTAATTTAAATGAAACAATCAACTTATTTAACTAACTTTATTATGTATGATCCAATTTAGGTGTTAATGCACATCGGTCCTGAAGCAATATCCCCTGCACTGTTGAGCAAAAGAATCATATCTCGAAAAATGGTGTTGATAGATTGGAGGTATTAAAAAATAAAAAATCCTAAAAACTTTTTACTCCCATGTATATTGTTGGGGATGTTAGGACCCCAGAACTCGCTTGATAAATAGCTTTATTTTGGATTTATTTCATGGACCAATCAGTTGACCTGCAGATCACATTTCCCACCAGGAAAATCCTTGGCTGTGATTGGTTACTATGTCATTTTAGTGTGCTATTTTTGTGACTGTCCCAAAGACGTCTGTCTCTATAGAGTATAAATAAACGTAATTTGAGTGCTTGGATTGATTGTGTGCTGGCTGAGTATTTGTAGAATACAATTTCTACGCTATATCAAGACTTCATGCTTGTACAATCGGGTCAACGGATCAGAGTAGCCTACCTGGACGCTGGTTCATTGTTTTGTTTTCGTTATTCGACTAAAGTGAACTCGTAATAGTTTAAGCATACCTAGATACGAGTGTAACATATATGAGAACACTTCTCAATGTCAATTATCATTCCTTATTACTATAATGGAGTAACTCAACTTTCTCTGCAAACAATATGACTAGAAAACTTTGATTGAAACTCAGGCTCAATTTCTGATAAGCAAGGCATTTTCAGTAAGGCAAAAGAATAAACCAGATTTATCTAAGTACTTACTAATGATATTTAAGTAAGCAGAAGCCATAACTTATGAGGAGGTTCAAATGTAGATTTTTTAGATGATAAATGAAACTATATCCATATGTGTTTTATATTCAAGTATGAGTACATGTAGGTGAAATAAAATGATAATAGAAACATTCATTCAAAACTGATGTATTTATCCATACTGAATGAATGAAATGTAGCTCCGAGTGGAATACACGACTCAAGTTTCATCCTGTTTGAGATTCGTCAGCTGAATATGCCCGCATCTCAGACCTGTGACGTTCAGACTCACTATGTTTTGCTGCAGACGCCAATGCGTTGTCCACTTAACTACTGAGTTCAAATAGCTACTTACTTTTACAACAGGATATTGCACTATAGTATTATGGAGATCGGTGCTTTACACTGAAATCATGAATGAACCATTGTTAGGCCACCAGTAGAAACAAATCTGAGAGGCACTAGAAGACCGTTTCGTCCTGGTATGCAAATCATAAGTAGTGCGCAAACACTACTCCTGCGACCCGCAGGATTCAAAGCCAGGACCTTCGGTCTTGCGCGCAAACATGCTTAACCTATGGACCACTGAAACGGCGTCCAAAAGTATTTATGTCTAATTTTGATATATGTGAAGATTTTGCGCGACCTAATGGTGGTCTAACAATCACGTTAATTGTATTACAGAATCATTCTGGACGATATAAAAAATTAACCCGGATCTATAATTATTCGAAGCAAAATAGCTCATTTCTGAATAAAATCAAAACCTCCAGTAGCTAAGTTATTCAATACTAAGTATCGTACTCAGGCAGTCAGTCTTTTACTTCAAAGTTAATTTGACACTCTTGAATGAACGAAAAGAGAAAGCAATGAAGGGATTATAGGACTTTTTAATGTCTCCTGTAAGTATTAATGCTTAGAACTAATAGATTCTTTTGCTTTATTGTAAATAAACGTTTTAAGTATTAAAAAAATTTAAAACTTTCATTTTAGAAAACCATCAAGAGATGTTTTTCAAACTAAATGAAGACAAACCCCGATAGAAAATCACTTAGATATCAAAAGGTTATTGACTAAAACTCACTAACAAAAGAATTTTTATTAAGTCGTTTGATGAGCACATTTAAAAACAGACATTATCACTACATATAAACTTGTAATGTTCTGCAGTATTCTGACTTGTGTGCTTCTTTTACTGTAAACGTGAGTAGCCATTTCATATAAACAATGATTAAACCAAAAATAATGAAGGCATTTCATTTTTAACCTGTTATGGCTATTTTTGCTCAACCTGGAGCCCTTCTGGGGCTACTGCCGGTTCCAAGCCCGCATTAACGAGGAAGGCTGGGCATGGGGTTAGCAAAAACATTCCGTAGAAGTCCAACTCGTTAAAAATACGATAACCAGAAAAAATAATTCGCTGGTTGGTGGTCTATGCTCCATTGAAAATAACAGACATAAGTGAGTAACTAAGTATAGCTGTTCTTACTTATACTAAAAACTAAGAACTCAGATTACATTCAAATTATATTCAAAGGCAATAAATGTATACCAATAATGTACATTTACTGAGTAATGAAATGCCTTTTCCTTAAAATATTCTCAACAAATGTCCGCTTTTTAAATGTTTATAATAAATGCAAAAATAGTAATAATTGATACTATGATAATGTTATAAACACTATAAATTTAAATGTCTCTTCAAAAGAATAAAAAACATTAAATAAATAATCAACACTCACCTGTGCACAACGACAAAGACTTCTAGGATCCAAAAAAGAAAATAAATAAATACACAAAACTCGTGGCAGTGTTCTTGTAAAATCTATTTTGTATAAAGGCATTTTATTTTCAAGGATGATAAAAAGTGATTCAATTTGTTTCTGAGTACATAACTCAAAAAGTTTTGTCATTAACTGTTTTCTTTGACTTTCAGACCATTTTGTAAACTAAAAAAAAATTATGTATTAAAAAAAACAAGGATGATATGATTTCATACCCATGCTAAAATAAGATTTTGTCGTTCTTCAAAAAGCTAAAAATTCATAAGTAATGAAATGTTACAATTAAATACAATAATACCATTTTATTTGCATCTTTATTCACTAATGGAGTCCATGAACTTTTAGTTTGCATCATCTATAATATGATGTTTAATTATTAAATGTTCTATTCAATTCTATGCTGAAAGTTTGTTATTTAAGTAGTATGATGAAAAATTGAACATGTAAGAATCTAAAATACAGAATGAAAGAAAACATAATTTCATTAAATGTAATTATAATTATGAAAGGATTAAATAAATTCTATGAGATGATATTTCTCTCTGTTGCTTAAACATTTATAAGCTTGACTTGAAGATTAGAATTTTAATGTGTCTGTTTGATAATAGCTGATATATTTCGCACATAAACGATATATTATTTATAAATTCAACTTAGGGATGTTATCAATTTTTACCCGAATTACTATGTTGCTTCTTTGAGTTTGGATTATGAATCTCTAAAATTTTCTACATGGTTCCAAACTTCTTTTTTATTATCACTTATTTATAATTTATTTGAACTGCTAGTAACACAGTGTCTTTTGAAACTTTCATATGTAACTGTCTGAGGATATAAATTCACAATCTCAGTCAGTCAGTCACAACGTAGAACTTCGTACGTATGTAAATCAGTTCAAGTTGCCATACTACATTAGCACAGAGATTCAAGTGTCACTTCAAATCCCATAGTTGCAGGGATAGTAGAAGTATGAGCAGTAATCGGAAATATTATTCAAAAGGTATAATCTAGAGAAATAAACTTAGAATGAAAAAGATCTTCTTTTAGCCTAGTCACTGAGATTAAATATGTATTTACAAATTCAAGTAGTTGATCAATTTACGAACATAGTTATACTATAAAGAGTAGCATTATATAGAAGAAAATGATCGGTAAGACAGTTTCAAAAGCAAACTTCAATTTCACTAAACTTAGTTTTAGATGATTATACCATATAGTGACTTCTAGTAGGATCAGCAGCTTAGGTTTGCATTAAGTATCTACCACGACATGAGGGCGAATTATGAGGACTTAAGAGGTAAGATAATCATTGCATATATTTGGGCTGTTTGCCAGAAAAGTCAAAATGATAGTGGTCAACAATGCAAGCGATCTCATTGAATAATAGGTCGTATAATTAGATGGATCATGTATTGTAGAATACCAAATTGTTAAAATCCTAGAAACCTAATCCCAACAGCTTGCGAATAATTTATGCATTTTACATGCCAGTACACATGAATACTTTGTGACAGGAAACGGTTTCGGTGCAGTTAGCAAATAAATCGGATTATCTGATGATGAATGTTAATGACAAATAAAATGACTTAAAGAAACAGATGATTACCAAGAATTTTTAGATTATGGATTCATCGTCAATGCGATTTTTACTAATAGCTGATAGAGATTTAGATCAAGTAACATTTCAGTGGATCCACAAGTTTATCCAGAGATCGAAAATACTGATCCTGCCTACAAGCAACTAATAATTTTACCGACATTCTAGCTAGTTAATTATTCGAACACATCTTTAAATTGTGTGTCGATGTCGCTTGTAATGATTTTCACATGTGGAATAGTTTGCTAGTCGTTTAAATTTGGTGGCTTTACTATTAATGGCTAATATTAGTCATCAAATCAACTCCTTCCAAAAGAAATACCGAACAAGGCATAAGAAAGTTTAAATTCCTCGAAAAGATTCACATCAGTTTTTGATTATGAACACATTTGAGATCATTAAGATATGAGACATAAGTTGAGCAAATCAACACTTTCGTCCTTAAAATTCTCCCGAAGTCGGGAGACTGGGAATCCAGTGTTAAGGTCTGTTCATGCAAATCCGCGATATGAGGTCATAGAGGATTCCTATGGAATTTTCAATTAACTTTTGCCCAGATTATCATGTATAAAATTCTAAAAGAGGGATAAACATACATTTCCTACTTCACTTCAGTTAAAAATGAGTTTTCATTCAATAATGAAAGTCACAGAAATTAAAAGTTTATATTCAAGGGAAGATAAGATAGTATGCAATTCTAAACTACAGGTTTATAGAGAAAACTTCACACTCATTTTAGACTGGATGCCGCGCAATTTACATTAGTAACGTTTCTAGTGTCCAATAACTAATACAAATAGTTCTAATGGTTACACCTGCTTATCTAATTACATGGTATTTCCCCTAAGGTTGGGGATGAGCTTGAGTAATTATTTCAGGAGATGTAAAAAAGTGTTTAGAATGCAATGCGTCATTGGGTCACCTCTGAGACGCCTTGACTCTAATAGGTGAAGATCCAGTGACTTGAAACGCTCAATATAAGTATTGAACTCCAATCCTCGAACCACTATCGTTGCTTTTCTTTGAATACGCTTTAGTGTACTCTTGTCCTCTGAGAATGATGGAGAAAACTCCACCATTCTATAATTTAAATGAAGCCGATCAAACCTGTTTAATATTAAAATGGATGGTTATGTTTTCAAACTGACCAAGATGCGTTTTAACGTTATTAGTGCAAGGTATGCTACCAAAAAAAATTTCTACCAGTTGGTGTGGGAATTAATATCATATGGTACTAAGACCCCTAGATATGTTTCAATTCGGGACACCTACAGAGCAGAGTTGCTTAAGCCGTATACATTGTCAGCAGCATACTTCAAGTGAACTACTAGAACTTCAAAAGGTTGAAAGTAAGGTCGTTGTTATTTGTCGAAATTCGAAGGCGATTCAGACCCTCCTTAAGAGATAGCTTATCATCTTTGCCACAAACTTGTTTCCAAACCCTATTAGCATCAGCGTAGAGTAATAACTCAGACGATACTTGATATACTGAGCCGATAACGAGAAGGATTACCAGCAGTGTCCTGAGGGGGCGAATATATAATCGGTTACGAAGCAGCTTTCATTTCTATAGAAGTGAATACATTGTTGACGAGTAGCTGTTCATATTAGTCAAATAGCTCTTCACCTCTGCTCTTTGTCTCTTCGCTCGAGCAGCCAGGTTTTAGAGTCTGTATTCAACTCCTTGAGACCTCAACAGATTTGACGACGGATTGTTAGTACCAAGTAAAAATAAATAAACTCTCAAAATATCAATCTTAATAGGGCAGCTTAAACCAAATTTATTGCAGCAGCACCAAGAAATGCAAGTATCTCGACAGAAAAAGGTTGAAATAATGGCACAAAAGTTTTCGATTCAAGAAATGTTAGTTCAAATATCCAAATACAAGCCCTCACCTACTGGATCACTGACAAATTTATAACTGTCGTCAGGAAATCTGAAGATGATTTTGTCTCACGTACCGCGTTTGTTATTAAGCAAAATGAGAAATATGGCAACGTTCATTAACAGACGAATAATTTAAGTGCATTATTTTTGGGTGCGGTTTGTGACCACCATCAGATCTAGTTATTCGTACTAGAATTATAAGCAGAATATAATTAGATCTCAACCTTGCATTTGAGGGCATTGCTAATAAATGTTCTCTACTAATTATCCCTAAAAGTGACATGATGACTGAATCAAATTCTAGTTAGAGACCTAGTCCTATTAGTTTTATGTCCTACGACCACTTGAAAACTTCTCGTTTGGGTGGAATTACTAATGTCCGAAAGCATGGCCAACAGAATTGTTCTCGCTCAGATCAAAAGTCCATGATGTACGTCATTATTCAGGGCCTCCCACTAATCACAGGAACTGTGGAGAATAGCCCACCCAGAAAAATATGAAGTAACTGACCAAAACGAAGAATTGTGCAGACGTGAAATTCCTTAACGCACAGATATCGTTCTAGTATCAAGTGTATCAGTTAATGTTGCTGTTCACAGCTGGAAACTCCATCTTTTGTCTCAAAAAATGTGTCACAAACCTGACCGGCCAAACATCCGGCCCACATCGGGTTGAATAATGCTAATAAATAGTCAATTAGGAAGTCATATATCAAGAAACCTATAACTTTTGATGGTACCGAAAGGAGTGCCACCGGCCTGTATCATGAAGGTTCAATGCGTTGGACTCTTTCGAAAATTGGTGTTATGCGAGCCAACTTCCATGTTTGAGGACTTGGGTTTTCCTAGAGAATGTGAAAACATAATACTAGGCGGTGTTACGAAAATGGACACCGTTTCTTTCAGTATAGCACAGTGGACCATTTCCGGGTCAAGATAAAGACCTTTTTAGATTATGTAGACTTTGATAAACCAGATCAGCATTGGGTTTATCCCGAGACCTTCCTTAAATTTCAAAGGAAGGTTTCGTTACTGTAGGTTGTGAACGACAACTGCAATGTTTGAAGATACTGTTCTGCTTGGAGCTGTGCAGGATCCCCCTCATTGCTTGTTGGGACAAAAGGAAATAAAAACTGAGAAACTCCGCCTTTGGCTTGACGTAAAGAGAGACTGTATACCGGATTAGCCTCTTCCGACTGTGGCTGTATTTATGGATTAGCTTGATTTAATAATGAGGCTTATCTTCTCTCAGTGCCTATGTACACTGGTTTCTTGGTGGTTTGGACTGTTCATATATGCTGTCGATACTAGCTCGTTTTTAATCTTTCCAAAAGTGTAATTACTTATGGATGTGGGTTGCTTGTAATTTCTGGGGACCTTTTGTGATACAGACTGGTTAGTAAAACACATAAGATTCTGTTCCCTAAGAAATCCTATTGGGATTCCTCCTCAAGATGAGAGTGAGTCTCTCAGTTCACCCACTGCAGATTGTCCTCTAAGAATGTCATATCCAGCCGCTTGAAGTTCCAAAGCTTGTTGTTAGTAGGATATTCTGGCTCATTTTGCTAATACAACTGAAGTTTATGACGGCATGATCTCTCTTCCTCAGGAAAGCCAGGTATGAGAGGTTATCAGTCAGGAATTCTTCGTTTATAAAGATGCAGTTCAAGAGACACGGCGTCTAACTGTTTATCCACCGAGTTTTTGACTTCATATTTTCGGATAATCCCAATCCTTAAATGAGTTCTAAAGACCGAGTCCCAGTAGACCTACTTACTCCGTTGTGTGTGGTCAGAAACTTCGACCTTAGAAAGATTCAAGTCTCCCAGAGTTAGGATATGAATCTATCTGAGAGCTGTAGATCGAAGTAATCTCTCCAACTTGCAGTTGTGGTACTTAGTGTCAGCAGTGGATTTTCCGCAGACTGCTGCAACTAAACATCCTGAAATTATGGGGAATCTCCCTGAGCATTACGCGGATTTGCCAAGATTGACAAATCTTTGAGTATACAACTAACTTTCTACCAAGTAGTGTGGTAGGTATAGAACCGCATCGCCTCCATATGTAGTTTTCCTTTAGCAACCAATCAAAGACGTGTCTGGTGTCGCCAGCACCTGGTCTGTGATTAGAGGAGATACTCATATTTCAGAAATTCCTATCAGATGAATATTGTTAATTTTGCTAAGCCCATACAACTCGTTAATTTTACTCTGTAGGCTTGCAGCGTTCGCATTTAAGCAGTTGATAATTTGATTTCAAAGCGATGAGAAGCTCTGTGTGATCGGACCGGCTTTCAAAGTGGGTAGTTTCTGATACTTCCACGTTTTTTCAAGTACTTGATGGTTCACAAGTGAAACAGTTAGCTCAAATTTACTACTGTGTGTAAATCATGCATCATATGGCTAGTCCGGATGCTCGTGAATTTTATTTGACAACCTGTATCTAGTGGCATGAAATGCATCAAGAGTGGTAACATTCATTCACGTAGTAGGGTAAGTTCCCTTCATTTTTCAGGATCAAGAATCTCCGTCCTTCTTGTCTAACCACACGATTCGAGCTTCAAAGTCTGTTTCACCAACTTCTACTCTTGAATATTGTTGACTGAATTATCAGTGTCCGTATTTTCTGGGATAACTTGCATAATTATATTTTTTTCTCAAAGCAATATCTTGTGAGACTCTTTTGGGATTTCGCGGATAGGAGTGTGCTAAAAATACTGCATATCCAGAAGTATCCTTATATCTCCGCATGTCTCAAAGTCAGCACTTATAGTAAACGTTACACGAAGTCGTCTTAAATGGCTATAATGTGTAGTATTCTTTCCCCGATTATATAGTGCAACTGTTAGCGGCTTAAGTTGAAGGAAGTTTAAGATTCCGGTTTAAGCATTCCATCAATTTGTCCTAAAAAATGAGAGGAAGTTCGGAACGGACGTTATGGTTCAGGATGATTAAGGAATCCTCATGAACCGGATCTCTAGGCTATTGAGTATATTGAGACCAAGGTCCTTCATGCTTAATCGCCAGATTTTAATCCGGATACCCTAGGTTATTTCCAAATGGTTGTGCAATCTTATTCGAAGACTGTACGGCCAGTTCATTAACTGATTTTCGTCAAAGTTCAGGGCTTTTAAGCATATATGGTGGGAATGCTCGATTCTTTTTGGCCCTGTTGATATGCATCCACTCACCTTCCGTAAATATTTGCAGACCACAGTTTCATTTGGAAAAGATATGATGGGCATCAACAGTTTACCGAGAGTTTAACATAATCGACGTTTTAATGGTGCTGGTTTTCAGCTCATCCTCTCCGGAGTTAGTTGTTGTTTCAATGATTATGACCTAATAGAAGACAACCTTCTTTCCTCTTGTTTGCCTATCCTTTGCCTGACTAACTTTGTTTTTGACAATTTTTTTGGCAAAAGTTTCGGCATACTGATAATGTTGTTGAGTGAATCCCTAGCACTTATATTTCATGTGCTGCATACCTACCTGCGACCTGACTTACTGAGTCTGTTGTAAATAGCTGCTGCAGGGTCAGTGCATGCTTCGTGGAACCATCACCACTAAACTAAATCTTAACATTGGTGATGATACAATGAATGTTTTGGCGGTAACGATGCATGAAATTGTTGTCCAAATGGAGGTATCCTTAATCAACATAAAACTTATACATAAAGAATAAATTATGAAGTTTTCGAAAATATGCAAGTGTCTTTCTTCAAGACTTTAGAAGCTAGGTTTGCAGTTGTTGGATAGTTGTAAAGTATGGAGTAACAGATAACTGTAACTTGACCGACTCCAGCTGTCTTACCGTAGGTAAAGAGACCATCTCGTTTGACGTAACCATACACTGGTAGATAATTCTGTCTACTTATGCCAAATATTCCTCCTATTTAGGATCAGCCAATGGTTACACTTTCCAACAGCAGGGAGAATTGGTTAATGGCAGCTCACTACAATGATATAATGTATTTTAATTTGATTATTAGAGGGATTTCAGTCAAATATAGCACTTACCTAGCGCATAATAATGTGACTAATCAGTGAGTTTGAAATTTAATGATCAGGTTGTGTTTTAATGTAGTAAATCGAAAAAGCCGGCCAAGGTGTTGTAGTTGCGTAATGGCAGTGCTGATTTTATTTTACTGTAACTCCTATTTCCAATCTTCTTAAACTTTTAAATGTACTGAAAGTAAGTTATAATGATTTTTAATGCCTATGTGTTTACTTCTTCTCTTGCTGGTAATGTGTTTTTGATGAGTCTAGAAACAGCTGATAGTTCCGTGCTTTAATATAAGACATTAGTGATAGATTCACGTAAAGCGATAGGTTGCCGATAATATGTTCTTACTGTTTCCAATATATATAAATATATACCCAAGAAAAATACAGCATCTATACCCAACAATGGTTATTGTAGTGTACCTGTCAAGGTGCATAACCTTCAGCTTATGAATCGTGTGGATGAATCATAATCCAAACACTCAACCTTAGTGGTCTTGGAGTTTATTTGGCTTTACTCATTACACATTACTGTTCTAAAATAGGGATATACTTAGCACTTCTAAAACAGTAAGAAGAGTAAGGACTTTTATTTCTTAATACACGGATTTCAAAATCTGTGCCTTAGTAACGTCTTGTTCACTTCCACTACCTCTCTGGTCACAGAACGTTTCTTCACGTTTCTCTGCACTTAGTTGTTACGGGTATGCGAGTGGACGTTTCTTCCAGGCTGCCCACACTGTGGAAGGGTATTTCTTGAGGAGCCTGAAAAGGGAATTGGGTTGGCACTAGTCTTACCGATCCGAGAGCGTGACTGCAGAACCCAAGAGACAACTGATTAGGACCGATCGCTCACGCTATTTTTATGGGAATTTTTTAACATATTGGCTCCACTTTCTGAATGACCTTACCGCCGGGGATGGAAATCCGTGGGATAAGTGGTGGTCAGTAACGGGTACGAGGGTGGATGTCAGTTACCTTCTACCCACACCGTGGAAGAATGCTTCTTGAGGAACCCTAAAAAGAAGCCCTAATAGTGTTGGCCTTAGTGACCTTGGAGCGTGACCTCAGAGTCCAAGGGACAACTGCTTGAGGCCGGTCACGCACGGCCTTTTTATGATTTTTTGAAGTGTTAGCTCCGTTCTTGTTTAAAAGCCCTTACCACCGGAGACGGAAATCCATGAGTTAAGGCGAGGTGTGACGTTTTTAAGGTCGGCCATTCCTAACGTCTTTCTCGTGAGAAGGTAGCATCGCTGCGGATGCTGGTTGTCCGAGGGAAACACCTTACTTCTGTCACACCCCTCTAGTCAGCAGTACGGTTTCGCCCTCAGAATTTTGAGTGGCTGTTTTTAGTCTCATTGTTCTCCAGTCGACCTGCCTGGTATGATAAAACGTACAGGAACATATTCCAGCCAATATAGCTCGGTCGGGTCATCGTGATAGGCAAGCCTGACCACCCTGTCAAGGTAGCAGCTACTGCGGAATGCAATGGCGCAAGTGCATCCAACCTTTGTGTTCTATGAAATTCTAATTTTCTGAATTCCTCATCACCTTTGTCTTTCTCTTTCTAAATTTATCTCACTGAATTATACCTCTTTAATAATTTCTTCGAACCCTAATCCTCTCCATTGTCACTATTACGTCTACTACCTGACATTTGCTTCTCTGTGCTAATGCGGTATGGCAACCGGAACTTGTTTACTAATGTACGAAGTTTTATATTGTAATGACTGAAGCGAGGGAGAGTAGCGGGCTCTGACAGGTTAACCACTGAGGTTTTTAAGAGTGGTGGTCCAGTTTTAGCAGTTAGATTGATTGAAATCTTAGGTAGAATCTGGGAACTGGACGTAATCCCATCCGACCGGTCTTAATCCTTGATCGTCCCAATTTATAAGAAAGGACAAAAGTCTTGTGACAATCACAGGGGAATAAGTCTAACTATTATAGTTTCTAAATTGTTAGCCTCGATTATCCTTAGACGCCTAACTGGGGCTCGTAAAGATAAGACTCGATAAAACCAGGCTGGTTTCAGACCTGGATGTTGCTCTATCAGTCAGAGTCAGATGCAACGCAGTACAGCCGTCCTTTAGTTAGCGAACGGATATCTCGCCTACGCCTTAAACGGCGTAAATTGGCAAAAGTAAATCGAGCTTTCTGTATCCGTGCTGAGACTTCGTCAGTCACCCGGCTATCAGCGCCGATGAGACTCCCCAGATAAGTGAAGTGATCAACACGCTCGACTACTTCACTCCCTATCACTAGTTCAGGTGCTGATGCAACCCAGTCTTGAGGCAACATTTTGCATTTGCAGGGGGGAAACCGCATCCCGAACATGCTCGCATTGTTGCTTTTGGTAGTCAGAAGACTGCATTTTGTCAGCGTCTTCACCGAATAGAACTATGTCATCGGCATGTTCTAGGTCAGTAAGCGATTTTCCTGGTAGAAGGTCAACCCCTGAAAAATCTGACGAGCTTAATGTTAACTCTAAGAGTATGTCTACGACAAAGTTAAACAAGAATGGAAAGAGTGGACAGCCCTGACGGACACAACTTGATGCAGAGAATTCAGATGACAGTTCGCCATATGCTCTCACTTGACCAATGGCGTTCGAGTAGAGAGCTCATCGCAAACTGTTATCTGAATTGATTACTCCAAGTGATGTTATTCAAGTCCGTCCACTTTATCCATTCGTTTAACTTTGTTGTTGACGTCCTTTTAGATACGAAACTTTCATCATCTGGGCTTTCAGCAGTGGACATTCTATTCCCGACCGTAGCTGCTACCTTGACGTGGTGGTCGGGCTTGCCTATCGTGATGACCCGACTGAATTATACTTCTTGAATAACATCTTTGAACCCTAACCTCTCCGATTACCTTTAATACTTTTACTGCCTCTACTACTATGGGATGTGAATTGACAATTATATCTTTGTGCCAATCTGGTATGGCAACTTGAACTGCTGTACTTACATGCAAAGCCCTACGTTGCTGTTGATGATGACATTCTATTTGCAGGTTCACGTATTGATTTTGAATAGACCGACGACATTGTTCTGTTTGGTGAAGACGCAGAAAAAGTGGTCTTCTGAGCACCTTAAGCAACAAAGCAAGCATGTTCGGAATGCGATCCTCCCCCTTGAAATCCATGATGTTGCTTCAGGATTGTGTTGCATCGGCACCTGAACTAGTGATAGGGGTGAGGTAGTTGAGCGTGTCGACCGTTTCACATATCTTGGGATTCTCATCGGTTCTGAAGTCCTGGTGCGTGATGAAATCTTGGCACGGATACAGAAGATTCGATTGGCCTTTGTCAACTTGTGTCACTTCTGTTGTAGTTGAGATATCCGTCGGCTAAACAAAGGACGAGCGTACTGTGCAACATTTCGCTGCGTCTTACTTAATGGGTGTTAAACGTGGCCAATAGGAGTTGAGTATGTTCGTAGGCTTCTAGTATTTGACCGTAGGTGACTTCGAAGCACTGTGTATCCTGTGATAATCGAGTAAGTGATGCTGTTGTTAGGAAACGGGCACTAGGCAAGGATAGCAGAGCAATAGATGAAGTACTGAAACTTCATCAGTTGAGGTGGTTGTCAGTCAGTCAACAACTACATAGAACTTATGTACGTACGTCAGTTCAAGTCGCCATACCACATTAGCACAGAGATGCAATTGTCACTTCAAATCCTAAGTAGTAGATGTAGTAGAAGTGTTAGCAGTAATCGGAAGTTTTAGCGTTAGACGATATTGTTCAAGAAGGAGAATCTGATGAAATAAACTTAAAAGAAAAAGGTGATGAGGAATTCATAAAGCTAGGATTTGAGAGAGCACAAAGAATGAATGCACCTGCGCTATTACAAACGGTTTTGAGATATGTCATTCAGGGTCTCTAACCATCGATTACTATCATCCTGCGGGCCCGAACTAGGTAGTCGACACCTACCAACGTGGCTTAGTCCATTTGTCAATGACGTGTCACGTATGCCTAATCACCAGCTGCCTCGGCGAGGGATAACGCCTGGTGTAGTAGTGTGTAAAAAATCTGGCGGCGGCCAGTCCAAAACATGACGGAAATCCATGAAGTGGGGTGCGTTATGCTGGTAAGTGTATAGACTACCAGATTCGGATCCACGAGGAAATGGTAACCGATGGTTAGATACTTTGAAGGACATGGTTTTACTACTACTATGGAATTCGAATTGACAATTGCGTTTCTGTGCTCATGCAGTTTGAAGTGATATTCCTTTATACCAAGTTCTTCGCTGTTGCTGACTGACTGATGACGGAAGCTAATAGTTTCGATGTAACGAAAATATGTTTGCTTTCCTTATTCGTTTCATTGATGACTTAGGGCCTTTCAAAGATGAGGACCTCGATCGCTTCATTATAGGATGTCGAGACACACAGATTATTCTGTCCCGCGACCAAAAGTTTGCTACGATCCTTGAGAAATACTGGGTGATTTATTTGGGTTTAATGACCTATGAAGCCTCAAAAGTTGATGTTCCTTACTGATCATCTCGTTGAGTGTACTAGTCGCCACCGATTAGGAAGGACAGAAATAGCGCAGTAGACCGGCTGGACAGTTCCAACGAGAATTCACCCTAACATCCTAAACGTTAAATGTTATTAGTCAGCGTTCTATCAACTTTGCTGATTGTCTCATTCACGCCAGATTTTTTAGTGTCTTTGTATCGAATGCGTTTTTATAATTCTCGGCAGTGTCTAGACAGAACTACTGTTTACCAACTCATGAGCACCGCCCAATCACCTGGTTTCTCAATCCTTACTCAAACTCACTGTTTTCGGAGTAGACCGACATGCCTCAAGTATTTGTAAGAAGCTTAAGAAAACTAAGTACTTATAAGCGGAACGTTTCGCCAAACCAAAAGAGACACGACTAACAAATTTCTTGGTGTCTTGCAAACACAGCTGGTGCTCATTGGCACTCCTGTAGATTAACTACTGTTTTAACGTACATTGTACTAGAGTAAATACTGATTCTCAAACTTCTTATTAGTGATCCTAACATGCTACTTCAGTGAGAAGACAAATCGGGATATATATTAATACATCGGAAAATGAGTCAGTGTTCAGATTATTTTAGCGGTTACCAATACAGCGAGTAGATTGATTAAGTGTGTGGGTGATGAGCCATGCTCAATCATACACAAACGCAACAATTGTAAAAAGACAATCATACAGATAAGTTATTACTGTACGAATGACTCAGTCTGTTAAGTAAGTCAATCAAAATGACTTAACCTGATTAAACATAAATGAACTCAAATGCATGTGAAGGTGCACTACAGCCTGCTGGTTCAAGTCTGATTGTAGTTTACCAGTTTACGTGGTTTCGTTTTATGAGTTTGACGTGTGTGCGTGTGGATGATTTCTGGTACTAAACGTAATTCTAATTGGTGTTTTGGTATTGGTCATGTGATATTGATTAGCAGTCACGGCTGCGACACATGACTGAGCACATTTAAGGTCATACGTCAGGTAGTAGGTTAAGATGTCAGATAGATTGATAAGGTAGTGAATTTTAATCAGCTGGTGTAGTAGTCGCCATATTTAATACACATACCAACCATCACCAACCTTGACACACTAGGCTAGGCTGGAAGAAAGCTATGTGCTACTGAAATAAAGCTATTGACCATTAGTTCAAACCGTGTTAGTTAGTTTAGACAGCCTGATTGGGGACTTCGAATGATATAACTGAGGCTCGGTTGTCTCTTTCCTTTCCTTAGAACATGCGTTACAAAATTACTTAATGACCTTCATTCCGCGAATTCACTCTCTATACTCAGTATTTTTTTCTACTGTCACCAATATCCCTACTATTTCTATTACCTTGTGATAGGATCCAAAGGAACTACTAGTGTTCTATCCTGTTAACATTGTTTAGATGGTTATGACAGACAAGCCTAGCCACTAATTTATGTAGCAGCTACGGCCGTGCCTAGGTTCGGCGGTGAGTTACAGTGTATTCATGCCTAATTCATATTTTGTATATGTATTTTATTCACAACCCCCACCAGCCCGAATTTTCATTTCTTTTCTCTCGTTTCTCACTTGTTCTACAGTTAACCAGTCAGAAATTATCCAAATGGCCGTAAGTGGCGAAAGGCTGGGGAAGTCAGGTACTACTTGTGTTAGTAGTGATTTACCATTAAATAATGCAAACACCCATAATATTGGCAAGAATAGTTTAGTATCTAATTGGTCCGATGCTGCCATTCCACAAATTTCCACTATCCGATGTCAAGCGAATCAACCACCATTATCTTCATCACCTACACTGGGTGCATGTGGTGCTATTTATGGTCAGCTGGTCACAGCCGACCAATTATGTCAGTTGGAACAGCATTCAACTACGAATGCAAATGATGAGATTGCTAAGCCAATTGACGGTGCACAAAAAAAGGCTAATCTATCCCTAACTAGCACAAAACCAACAACATATGAAAATAAAGTTCAAAAAACGGTATCAATAATTAATCCTAACCTAACCACCGGCACAAATGTTTGTCAACCTGCTTCTCATGTAGTAGTGACTCAGTCAGCCTATGCTAATTTAGATCCAACAATCACTAAATTACAACAACAACAACATACCAATCGAGATAGTCATCAACCTATGGAATTATCTCATTCACTTGGTTCAGATCCATTCATATTTTCATGTCATTCTGATATTCAACCAACTGCTATGGATTTGGGCGGACAACCAGGCAGTCCATCATTGTCAAAAGTTCTTACAAATGTAGTAACATCTAGTTGTTGTTCACTTCAAAGTAGTACATCACAAAGTGGATTAAATACTTATTGTTATCCTGTTTTTCCATTTCCTATTTCTACTACTACCGCTGCTGCTGCTGATGAAATGATTTGTAATTCCACATCATGTAATCATGTCGTCAAAGATGCTGGATTAGGCAGTAATAATACTACTACTACCAATACTTCTACTACCCGCAGTACAATAGTTACACATTGTGAACCAGTAATCAGTGTTACTAATCAATTCCCATGTCCACGTGACTTAGAACAACGACCTGTTATCAAAATGTCAGTAAATTTAATTCGAACTTATAAAAATATTAATGAAGTAAGTTTATGTTAGATGAATAAAATGAAATTATGCAACATTGAATGAATTATTTTAAGAATTTATTTCAACGTTTGTAGTTTGCAAAAATTATTTTTCCTATTTCTCAATACGCAAAGGGGTCTACTATCATGTTTATAAGACTAAAAATGACTTATTTAGATAAAGGTGTATGTCATAAAAATTTTGTAGTAATTAGGCGATTTAAGTTTTTTTCTGCTGATATATAATTTCATTTGCTCAAAGATAGTGTTTAGATCAAAAAGTTTGATCTATCTGTAAATGTTATTATGATAACGTGCTCACTAGTGACCAACTTCAAGAGGGGATTCCTGAAGTTCTTAGAGAGAGAGAGAGAAAAGCTATAATCAGCGTAGTTCGGTTGTGTCAGATGTGAGGCAGTTACCAACTGCGGACAGTGGTTGACCCATATCGTGAATGAATTGGTCGAAACTAGACATTTGTGCCTGTGATCGCCGACTCACTGGTTTAATACTCTCCGCGATAGAGTCATGGATTTGCACTGATGAAGATCCTAATACTAAGCCAAAACAGATATTCATTGCTTCCTAGTTCCCAGTGTTTGTTTAATTTAATTCGGTTTGTGATTCCACAATAACATTCAACCATCTCTCCATAACCCGTGTATATTGATGACAGTTAGTCATCTACAAATATATTGGATCCTCAAAAACAAGCCTTGTTTGTATTTGAATGAGCACTAAACTATTTTTTTCTTTAATATTTATTTCCTATAATCCACCGGTTTTATCATTCAGATCTTAATTTGGAAGTTATAGTTTTTTGGAGAAAAAAAAGAATATTCAAAGCTTTTTTATATTTATTGGTCAACTAATTGCGTATCATTTTTATGTACAATCCGATATGAAAAATATTGATTAAAAAAAACAAGCTATTAGCTCCGACAATCCCTTTAAACAATTCAGACTGTCTCCTGTTATCTGATAACTTATTTGTGCTAACAATAATAATAATAATACTGATAATACTTATATTGCTGCTTGTAAAGGACTATCAGTTTAAGTTTATCATAATTTCAAACCTTGAAAATCAATAATACATATATCTACTTCCCGGCTGTTGATTCTAACTTAACCTCTTTGAAATAAAGTTGTTGAGTGGTGAAAAAAAATATCTGAAACAACTAGTAAAATAAATGAGCAATTTTCCTACACATTTTGATCAGAACCCATTAGTGTTGAATCAGTCATATGTTGTGGTGTCTAGACTGATACACTCAGTGTTGTTCACTTTTATTTTTCTCTGTCCATTGCCAACACCTTGATTTCTACTTGCTTTTTTTACTAACGACCATCATCTTGGTAGATGCAGGCTACCTGGTCGGGGTCCGCAAGACGAAATTCACCAATGGTTAGAGACCTGGAACGACATGTCTTAAAATCGTTTGCAATGATGCAGATGCATTCATTCTTTGTGTTCTATCAAATTCTAACCTGAATTCCTCATCATCTCTATCTTTCTCTTTCTAAGGTTATCTCACTGAACTATACTTCTTGAATAGTATCTTCGCTCCCTAATATTCTCCATTACTGCTAATACTTCTACTATCGCTTTCACTCTTGGATTTGAACTGACAGATGCGTCTCTGTGCTAATGCGGTATGGCAACCTAAACTGACGTACGTACGCACGTACGAAGTTCTACGTTGTAATTGACTGACTGACTAACGATCATCACAAGAAAATGGCTATTTAGACTTCTATTAATTGAAATTTTATTCAGCTGAGGCATTATACTGCTTTCATATTCATCTGTAGATTTAAGCATCCATTACTTTGTCTATTTTTATAACAAGGTTAAACGATAGATATCCTGGAAGCAATATCATCGTTAAGAATTTTTTTCAAAGTACATGAAGCTCTCAATCACATTCGAAGCAACTTTTATACATCATTGAATTCACTTGTTTATTTCATAACTCCTGATCATCATCCTCTGTCAGGTTATTAACTCGAATTCATGAAATAATTATTCTTTTATAATACCGTAAGGCATTAATAATGCCTCGACGGATCGATCAGTTCATAAATTCATTGTAAGGTTGATTGCGTAGATGCATAGAGTTGTAATTGTAGAGTTACAGTACATTATTTATTATATAGCTTTTAGGTAGGATCAGTTATATGTGTACTTCTTTCAATCTGATATGGAGCTCCCTTCATATGTTACACATGAATTCCAAGAATTCAGTACGTCCATTAGTGTAAAAGTAGCTTTATTCAAATCTAAAATACTAAGTTATGATTATGTATTTATTTATTGATTCCTTACAAGGATTTACTTATTTCTGTTCTATAAGAAATTACAATAAATGCAAACTACTTCTTTCGTTAATTATCGAAACTAAGTATGTATAGGAAAACATAAAGTAAATGCATCCATGTCAAGCCTACCGACTATGAGCTATTTCACAGAAAACGTCCAACTACTAATCACATTTATCGCTCTGATTCCACCCGGGTAGTTTCCATTGCTGCTCGTTCTGAGACGCGTGTTCAAACTCAAATCACGCTCTAGTACCAGTGTGTATTTGTCTGCCGCTTACTGAACGTAAGAAAGACACCATAAGGAAACCTCTTAGATGGTTCTACTTAATGAATATATTTCAGGAACAACTAGAAAACCAGTTAGGCAGCCATGTAAGTGATGCCCACCCTGGTGCAGTTTGGAATGATATCCGAAAAGCTGTGGAAACATCAGTGATATCTGCTACTAAAGTGAACCATAAGGTTTGGAAGAAACAGTGGATTTCATTAGCATCTAACGAGCTGGTGGATGATCGGAAACTCATCGCGTCTGGGTCTGAACATGATAAGGAGCAAAGTCAGCTTAGGTGCAGACTGATAAAAAGTCTACGCAATGATTTCGAACAGTAGCGGTTAGCGAAGGCAAATTAGGTGGGTATTGTAACGCTGCTACGTATCGCTATTCAGTCCTAGCGGCGTCCAATTCAAATATCCCAATACGACCCAAAATGCTATTTCCAAATCTCCTAGATATCAGAACGCAACACTGTGGGATGGAGTTGTTTATTGGATCGAATACGGAAGAGAGGTAGGCAGGAGAAACGGAATTGGAATCGGAATCATGAAGGCTTACAGATAGTGCGTATTTATACATTGAGGTCGAATAGGGAAGAGCATCAAAGTCTGTGACATTGACAGTTTAGGACGGCCAATAGGAAAGAACATTTGAAATGACATTGACCGTCCGGAAGATCAATCAGAGACAACATTGAAGTATTTGACTTTGACAGTTAAAAGGACCATAATTTCGACCAATAGGATTACTCTTCCAAAAATAGTACTCTTAGGATATTTGGTGAATATCCTAACAATGGGGGAGAAAGCGTCGACCGGCAACAGTAGACAACTGTACAAACTTATCAAAATTACTTAAAGCTTGTAAGCATAGACTACAAACCTCGTCCTGAATATGTCTCCACCTCCCTATACATAATATATTGTTCAAAAGTGATCAACATGTACTGTGTTTTGGATCTTGCATCTCCTAGCTCTTTTTTTAAACCTCTATTGTCTCAAATAACATAGCATAATAATATTATTATATTAATTCAACATTCAAATAGTTTTTTTTATCGTACTTTCGTTATTGTCCAAGGTATCGGAAATATGAACATTCTCTGCAAACATATTTGTTTACTCAAATTTCCGTAAACTTATTATCAAACAGAAAGAATTCTATTTAATTTTTGATATTAACATACTCTCATGGAGAAAGAACTCGACTTTTAATTTTTTTCTTTTTGTGTTATTTTATAGCAGCGTGTTTTTTGTTGGACATTGAACATTCTTATCGTTTACGAAGTCCTTGAACGTACCGATTTCTCAAGACTCCATTTGATTTTAAAAAAACAATAATAATAATCATAAAAACTTAAGTGTAGCATGAAATAGAACAGTTGTTAGAAAAAACTCAAGATCTGAGGGTGAAGTCGTACTGCTGACTGCAGAGGGGTGTGACAGCAGTAAGGTGTTTCCCTCGGACAACCAGCATCTGCAGCGATGCTGCCTTTTCACAAGGAAGGAAGGGTTGAAAAATGTCGACCCTAAAAATGTCAAACCTCACCCTACCTCACAGATTTCCGTCTCCGTCGGTAAGGGTGCCCACTGAGGGCTTTCAAGAGCGGAGCTAACACTCAAAAAACCTCTTGTAAAAAGGCCGTGCGTGGCCGGCCTCAAGCATTTATCCCTTGGTCTCTGCGGTCTGCTCTCAGGTCTCTAAGACTGACACTAATCTACCTTCTTTTTCAGGTCCTTCAAGAAACATCCTTCCACGGTTTGGGCAGCCGGGAAGTGACAACTGCCCTTATACCCGTAACAGCACGCGAGACCAAATCGGTCATAACCACATCCTTCCTACTCTCCCTAATACCTCTCTTATCTCCACGACTAACTCTTCTCACATTCCTTTATCACACGGCACAGCTAATGCAAACGATGCGAGTTTGCGAAACGTCGTTCCTGGTCTCCTTAAACCCCGTTCCAAACTACATGTTGGAGCATTCAATGTACGGACATTGTGTCAAATAGGGCAACAGGCATCATTAGCTAGGACTTTAGAATCTCGTTCCATCGATGTGTGCTGCGTCTCGGAAACGCGCATACAGGATCCGAGTAGCATCACTCATTTGACCTCACCATGTCAAGATAAAGAAGCAGCTCGATTTACACTTCGTGTATCCGGTAGCCCTGATGCTGCTTCTAGGGGCCTCGCCGGTGTAGGTATAGCATTGAGTCGTAGGGCAGAACAATCTCTCCTTGACTGGATCCCTGTAGATAGTCGCTTGTGCGCCGTCCGACTAAACGGGACAGTAAGGACTCGGAAAGATAGGGACACTCGCCGTTGCCTCTTCGTCATATCAGCATACGCCCCCACTGACTGCAGCCCAGATGATGTGAAAGATGAGTTTTACAGAAAGCTTTCGGACCTCCTCCAAAAAGTTAAGCGCTCTGATATAGTTATAATGGCTGGTGACTTCAATGCACAAGTAGGTAGACTAAGTGAAAATGAAAGACACCTAGGTGGATGTTACGGTCTCGCGGCTCAAAGAACAGACAATGGCGACCGTCTGTTGCAACTGTGCTCAGATAACCAACTATTTCTAGCAAACACTAATTTTAAGCATAAGGAAAAACACCTTTTGACCTGGCGACCCCCGAAGTCGTCTCAACGTTGGACACAACTAGATCATATCGCCATCAGCCACCGATGGAGGGGTTCGATAGAGGACTGTCGCTCGTTCTGGGGCACATGTTTAGATTCAGATCATGCCCTAGTGCGAGCACGTATTTGTTTGAGGCTTGCTGGACGTAGGAAAGACACCGTAAGGAAGCCTCTTAGGGCTTTACTTGATGATAATCAAGCTAAGAAAATATTTCAGGAGGAACTAGAAAAACAGTTGGGCGATCATGCAAGTGATTCCCATCCGGAGTCAGGTTGGAATGATATAAAGAAGGCTGTGGAAACAGCAGTGACATCTGCTAGCAAGGTAAACCATAAGGCTAGGATGAAGCCGTGGATTTCAGTCGCATCCACCGAACTGATGGATGCACGAAAACGCATCCCACCTGACTCTGAACATGATGAAGAGCGTACTCAACTTAGGCGCAGACTTATAAAAAGCCTACGTAACGACCGTGAACAGTGGTGGGTGGCGAAAGCAAAAGCGATGGAAAAGGCAGCGGCGATGGGCAACACTAGACAACTTTTCCGCCTTATCAAAGAAACCGGTATTAGGAACCCGAATGTAAGTGAGACTATTTCGGAAAAGGATGGTCTTATTATCCATTTTCAATCTAGGAGGCTGGACCGATGGGCAGAACACTTTAGGGATCAGTTCAACTGGCCTTCAGCCACACTTCGGTTGCCCACGATCTCCAGTCATCCTGAATGGCAAATCGATTTAAGTCCTCTCAGTTTACATGAAGTTGAGAAAGCTATAGGAAATCTAAGGGGAGGTAGAGCGGCAGGTCCCGACAGGCTTACCCCTGAGATGTTTAAGGATGGTGGTCCAGTTTTAACGGTTAGACTGACTGAGATCCTAGGTAGAATCTGGGAAATGGACGTAATCCCATCTGACTGGTCTCAGTCGCTAATTGTCCCAATCTACAAGAAAGGACAGAAGTCCTCTTGTGACAATCACAGGGGAATAAGTTTAACTAATATAGTTTCTAAATTGTTAGCCTCGATTATACTTAGACGTCTAACTAGAGCTCGCGAAGAGCAGACTCGAGAAAACCAGGCTGGTTTTCGACCTGGACGTGGTTGTATAGACCACATCTTCACACTACGACAGGTCCTGGAACACAGACACACATTTAGACGTCCGACAATAGTCGTGTTCCTGGACCTTAAGGCGGCATTTGACTCAGTGGATCGTGAGTTTCTGTGGCAGTGTCTGTCATTGAAAGGTGTACCAAAGAAGTACATTAACCTTATACAAGCACTCTACTCGAACACCACTGGTCGGGTGAGAGCATATGGCGAACTGTCATCTGAATTCTCTACATCAAGTGGTGTCCGTCAGGGCTGTCCACTTTCTCCATTCTTGTTTAACTTTGTCGTAGACATCCGTTTACAGTTAACATTTTCCTCGTCAGATTTTCAGGGGTTGACCCTCTACCAGGGAAATCGCTTACTGACCGAGAATATGCCGATGACATAGTTCTATTCGGTGAAGACGCTGACAAAATATAGTCTTTTGAGCGCCTTAAGCAACAATGCGAGCATGTTCGGGATGCGGTTTTCCCCCTCGAAGTGCAAAATGTTCCTTCAAGATCAGATTGCGTCGGCACCTAAACTAGTGATAGGGAGTGAGGCAGTTGAGCGTGTCAATCGCTTCCCTTATCTCGGGACTGGTGACTGCAGAGTCAATCGGACTACTCCCCTAGTGGGGGGGCGCCTCGCCTGACTGAACATGTTCGGTTCGGTCGACGTCTAGAAACGAGAGTGTGTGTTGGAGTAGCCTGTCTTAGTCTTGGCCTCCTTACAAGTGCCGGAACAGGTCAGTACCTGGCTTGGCTCATCTTCTTCTTCATCGGCGTCACAAAAGTGCTGGGAGTGCTAAGCTGAACATGCGGTTGGGGGGTCGCGACTGATGCCTTTAGTATTATTCTGAGCGTAGGGTGCCTTTGGGGGGTGGTAACTGACGTCCTTGAGGGCGGATGATAGTCTGCTCTTTTCGTAGAATTCACGTACATACAACATTGAGTGAGGGAGGGGTGCAGCAGAAAGCTCAGAGGAGGGGTGGTCGCGAAAGGGGGGGGGATGGGGGGGGGGAAGCGACCGATTAGACTGAAGTGGAGGGTGATAGGTAGACAGCGAATCAGAGAAGAGAATGTGGGTAAATGTCACACACGAGGGGGGATAAACAAGGGGTGGAGAGAGGGGGAGTCGGGGGGGGGGGGGAAGTACATGGGTGTGGTTATGGGCGGGTAGTGTAGGGGGAGAATGTTTTGAGATAAACTGGTGTTCGTTTGTCAAGAGGAATCTCCGAGAGGAGGTGTGGGGGCAAGATCGTAACTCTCGAATTGAGAGAAGGAAGGGGGGAATCTCAATGGCGAAGAGGACAGGGAGAGGGAGAAGGGGAGGAGGGAAGGGGGAAGGGGGAGGGGGGAAAAGGGGGGGGGGGGGGTGGGGGGAGGGGAGGAAGAGGAGGGAAGGAGGAGAAAGGGGAGGAAGGTAGAGAAGGGGAGGGGGCGAGGAGGAGAGGAGGAGAGGAGGGGAGAGGAGGGGGGGAGGGAGAAGGGGGGGAGAAGGCGGGAGAGGGGAGGAAGGCGGAGAGGGGAGGAGGGAGGAAGGGAGGAGGGACGGTTGGAGGAGAGGAGGGGGGGGGGAGGGAGGGAGGAGGAGGAGGGATGGAAGGAGGAGGGAGGAGGAGGAGGAGGGAGGGGGGGAGGAGGGAGGAGGAGGAGGGGAAGAGAGGGCGGGTGTTGTGTGTCCGGGAAACGATCTTAATTGGCCATTTTTTGAATGAGTCGAAATATATTCGTAGGTTAGTTGGCAATGTGGAGTATGTCTTTCGATATTTTGTGAAAATGAAACTTTATTTTTATTCTGGTTTTTTTTCTTATTTCATTTACTTCTGATTGTGCTTCTTGTACTTCTTCCTTATTGTCTGCTCTTCCCCCATGGATTTTTGCTTCTCGAGCCTTTCACTTCTAGCCGTTGGTGCCTAGCTACCTGTTTTTGTTGTTCGGCGTAGGTTTGGAAGAAAGCTAGGGGCGGCCAAACCAAAACATGGCACAAGTCCATGAATGCACTGACAAGTGAACTGAGTCATGTTGGTAAGTGCAGGCTACCTGGTCGGCGTCTGCGAGATGAATGTTAGTTATTTTCATAACTAATTGTAGTTATATCATAACTAACCAATCAAATTGTGGTTTAAGCGCCCACCACGTGCTCTGATCTGACGTGTCTGTAAACTTTCTTTGTTGTAAATAACCTACTAATTGAAGGACACTATCTTATTATATTGATGTGACTCATAGTTTTATTCATTTCCAAAGACACGCTATATTGGTCGGTACGTTTACTCGTTTCACTTGATAACTGTAATTTTCTTATTTGTTGTACTAATCTAATTGTTTTTATGTTTAGAAACAGATAAAGTTTAAAGCAACAGTTGGTCGTGTTATAACTATAGCTTTCCCATAGACTCTGTGCTCGCCAGTATTGCGTTTACAGTTCTAGAAGTTCATCTGTAGGACAAATTAAATCCTACAATGAAAGTCACCTATTCTTAGAGACCTTGAATGACATGGCTCAAAATCGCTTGCAATGGCGCAGGTGCATCCATTCGTTATGTTTTCTCAAATCCTAATCTTCTGAATTCCTTATCATCTCTCTCTTTCTCTTTTTAAACTTATCTCACTAAATTATACTTCTTAAATTATTTCTTCGAGCCCTTATCTTCTCCAATACCGCTAATATGTCTACTATCTCTACTACGATGGGATTTGAATTGACAATTGCGTCTCTGTGCTAATGTAGTGTGACAACCTGAACTGATATACTTATGTACGAAGTTCTACGTTGCATCTGACTGACTGACTGACTCATTTCAGTTAGGACGTGATTACTGCGTACATTCATCATCATATTTTATTACTTACAGTAATTGTTGAATACAATTCAATTCATTAGATATAATTTTTCTACATATTTTCTTTCATTTAGGTTTACTATCGAAAGAAACGTCGTATTAGAGAACAAATTGGTGAGGATAGTATTCAAAAAAGAGATCGTAAAGGTTCTGTTACATTTTTGTCCAATGGAAATTCCATTACTTACGGTAACGGAGGTTCAGCCCCCTCATGTCAACATGGCTCTACTGGTAGTTTAACAGGAGTGAATGTTGCATCTGTAACGAATACAGCTGCATTAACATGCTACTATCATCATCATTATCATCATCACCATCATCATCATTGTGTGGCACCACAATCCACATTGTCATCACAAGTTCCTATGTTGCCTCCACATCGATGTGGTATTGGTTGTACTACTACCACTACTACTACTAATAATAATAACAATCTTGTAGCAGGCTCTACTTGTACATCTTCTACAGAATCACAAACACGTTCATCCGGAGTCAATGGAATAATCCAGTCACGACATCAAGGACCTCCGCTTGTTCAAATGAAACATCATCATCATCCAACTGTTCTTCATTCTAATCAACATTCTATTTCTAAAAATCTAATTCCTTCACATCTCTCTCATCATTCTCAACAACAACAGCAACAACATATCTATGATCAAGGTAAATTTTCGTTTAAAATATTTGATGGTTTCACTTGCTCCCATATATTTTACAGTATGTTGGAAATAATGTACACACATTCATTCTGTCAATTCCTCTAAAGAGATCATGTTGTTTGAATTGGGTTTTAATGTATGAAGTAGTTTTCTCAATCCTTTATATTATGTCTGATCTAGTAGGATATTTCATTTTAAGGCATTTATTGAAATCATTTCACATCGTAAATGAGCATGTAAGGTGAATTTCTACTGTGAGGAGGTTAAGACTCATGTGTTTACGTATGCCCAATCACCGTCTATATCATCTCAATGTTTGCGGTGCTTACTAGTACAAAATTAGGTTGAAGGAGAACTATTGGGGACCGAATCTAAACGTAGCATCAGTTCATGAAGTTATTGTCTATTGGAATGACTGATTCATGTTGATGGATGCACAACACTACTGGTGTAGTGAACGAGAACACAGGTGAGGGCAACCGAATTGTACTGAACGAAAATTACAGAGTTACTCAGTAAAATAGGAAAACGATATCGTAAGTCGTTAATTCGCAAAATATCAGTCCATCATCTCGAACTGGACTGTTCCTGTTGCAAAACATCAACCCATTGTCACTATTCATGCGTTTCATACAAATTCCATTGTGTTCTAACTCTTCCTTTCTTGATCTTCCCCCATATTATGCTGCCAGACATTACGTTGACAGTCACGTCATATACCACTTATAAGTAGCTCGCACCACACTGCGAATTTAGGTAATGTGATTCACAATCGCCTACAGTAACGCAAATGTATATTACTGTTTATCTTTCAATCGTTTGTAAATTCCAAGATCCCATTATTCATGTCTCTTCACTCTGTCCTTTAAAATCATCTTTCCAAGATTATCATTGCTATGACATTATTTTGATCCGTTTTGTTATTTTGATCTCATGATGTGTGGCATGGCAAATTTGAGCTTCGAATATCTATGCAAGATTAAATGTTGATGATATCTGCTTGTGTGATTTAACTTATAATACACAAGTACTCATCCTTATAGTCATTGTTGAAGGAAATAATGAAACTATCGGATGGTTAACACTATGGTGGAATGGGTTCAATCTCACAGCTTCATAGTTAACTTTTGTACTAATAAACTATGCATGCATTTATTTTTCATCAAACCATCATCCGTTTGTGTTTCAGCACGGATACAGAAGGCTCCATTGTCTTTCGCCAACTTGCGTCACCTATAGCGTAGACGAGATATACGTCTGCTAACCAAAGGACCACTCTACTGCTCAGCCGTTCTCTCTGTACTACTTTATAGCTGCGAAACATGACCAGTCAGAGTAGAAGATATTCGTAGGTTACTAGTGTTAGATCATAGGTGTCTTAGAAGCATTGCCCGTATATCCTGGGTCAACCGACTAAGCAGTGGTGTTGTTAGGAAACGAGTGCTAGGTAAGTATGGCATATCAATTGATGAAGTCTTGAAACTTCATCATTTGAGGCGGTTGGGACATGTGTTTCGTATGCCCGATCATCCACTGCCTCGGCGAGCTGTTTTGTGGTGTAGGAGTAGGTTGGAAGAAAGGTAGGGGCGACAAAGCAAAACATACCACTAGATTCTACTTCTTGAATAATATTCTCGAACCTTAGTCTGTCTGATTACTGCTAATACTTCTACTGCCTCTACTACGATGGGATTTGAATTGACAGTTGCGACTCTGTATGGTAGTATAGTATGGCGTCCTGAACTGATGTACGTACATACGAAGTCTGACGTTGTAATTGACTGACTAACTGACTCACCAAACATTTATTATTGAACCGTAGTTGTTCATTAAATTGTCAATCTCATTTAGAGTTATGAATATACTGTTATACATCATGCATTACTGCTGATTGTAAATCCTTCATCTCAGTGTTCTTATTTTACTCAAACCAATATTGTGGTAGTTTCATAAACTCAGCTAAAATGTATGCTAATGCTCACTTTGTTCATGCAAATTTTTCACGTACCCTTAAACTACCAATCCGAACAGCAAGCACACCAATTGGTCTCTACCGGAATGGTTCGCTAACCTCAAGCCCACATCACTCCTCCTTTATCCGGATTTGGGACCGGCAGTAACCCCAAAAGGCTCCAGTTGCATTTAATGTAATTACACCACTGGATAATTTGGATTACAGAATGATTGATTTTATAGTCAGTCAACTAATTGCTAGTTAAAAACAGTCCTCATGCTTTTTTAAAAATCAGAATATCCTTCGACAAAATGTCTTAATGCCTTGAAAAAGAAAGCTAGATGTTTTATCCATTTAACATTTCAGTAATAAAAAAATTCTCAAAAATAACTAGAAAAATGAAGGATTATGTGTCACAATGTGATGATTAAATGGTTATTCATATTGCTTCTATACTTTGTATGTCTCAAGAAGTTAAAGGTCATCTGAACATTTTCAAATCATCTCAATTTTCTGTATCTACCTACCCTTAACCTCATAGTAAAGCTTTTACTCACATTTTGCATTTTTTTTTTCTTTATCGTAGGCTTTCAAGTATAGAAATAATAGTCAGAGGTTGAGGAATCAGCTTAAAAGATTAGTAAAAAGCATTCAAACAACAGACTTACCAATTAATTACTGCGTTACTAAATTTAGCATACTCCTATAAATACTTAGGAGTCAAAGGTTAACAATGAACCTGTTAATACTATTACTATCTGTACTTTAGTATCAACATCGGAATAAGGTTTCTATTCCTAAATGCCATGGCATAACCTAATAAGGTTGGTGGATACGAACAATCCATCCATCGGGGGGAGTTGGAAAACCTTGATTCCTCTAGGATCTTAAGGAAACAAATGTCATATTATTATTGCTGTCATGGGACTGCTTCTTTTGATACTGATCCACTGCCTTGCTGATTAGACTTGTATATCAAAGACTGGGGAATGGTCCTGTAAAAAGACTGCTTGCTTCAGTGTGGGCATCCAGTCAGTACCCCATCCTACTTATAAATTCAGTGATTTGTGTGACGTATAAATATTTAGGTACTCCTTTTTGCCCTATCGTTTTGAAACTCAAGTTTACAAGAATTCTAGAGATCTAAGAAGCTTTTATGAAGTTATTATATTGCTCTTAAATAACAAACTGATCTATTACGAATCTCACTTAATCATATCAGTTTTTTTAAATGGACGAGAGGCCTACACCTACAACAGACATGGCTCGTCAAGGTAGTGAGTGAGTAGGTATACACTTAACAAATGTTCCACCCACCTCAACTAATGAAGTTTCACTACTTCATCTGTTGATCTTCCTTCCTTAACTAGAATCCACTTCCTAACAATAGCATCGCTTACTCGGTGGTCCTAGGATATACGAGCAATGTTTCGAAGACCCCTGTGATCGATCGAATACTAGTAACCTACGAATATATATCCTCTATTCTTACTGACCATATTTCACACGCGTATAGTAGAACAAAACGAACTGTTGCTCAGTTGTCAATAACTTACACTAATTAGATAGACCAACAACAGTTGACAGAACCATTCATCTATGCGAATATAAAAGTTGAAATATGACTAAAACTAATATCAAACTGCATAGAGGGGGTAGGGGGCGTTAAAAGAACTGAGTTTTATAATAAAAAGAATGATTATCATCTTAAAAGTGTTATTTGTATTAATCTTTTTTATGACAAAGTGATTATATTTTGATTGTGGATGTTAGTTGGTTAGTTAGCTAGTCAAAAGAATCGGCCTCCAAAACAAGAGGCGCATCGACCAATTTGTCTTTGCGATTTTCTAAAGCTTAGCGTTTTTCACATTCTCTATACTGCTAAAATGTATTTGTCTCCTCTTTTTCTTTAAAAAACTTTAATCATTGCTTCAAAATTTGCCAAAATTTTCATCCTAATTTCAATTTAAGCTTACAAAATTCTCATTGTCTCATTTCTAAATGAATATTTATTTGTGTTTACACTTTCTTTTTTTCCTTTCGTTTTACATGTATGTTTGTATTGTACATAAATATTGTATATGTAAATATATGTGTATATGCAGGTTCATCATCATTGCCTTCTTGTAATCCGCCTAAATCGTATGCATCAACTAATTTGAATGTAGTTCCTACTACTACTGCTGCAGCTGCAGCTTCTGGACTACGTACTACTGGTGGACTTACAACAACTGCTACGAGTGGTGTTGGTGGTGGTTCATCACTCTATTCTTGTCAATTACAATCAAATTCTGTTTGCCAGTCAGTATCAGCCACGTCATCTGTCTATCCGCCGCCGCCGCTGCCTCATCACCATCCTCATGGACTTGTACGTATTGGTGATGTTTGGTGTAATCGTTATAAAATTCTCGCCTTAATTGGTAAAGGTACATTTGGTCAAGTAAGTGCTCTCTCTCTCTCTGTCTTTCTCATATTTACATTTTATCGATTTATTAAATATGTTCAAAAGATATGACGATAAACATATGGTATAAGGGGCCCAAGGATTCTCGGAAGTGAGTAGACAAATCGTAGGCTTTTGTACAAAATCCCAATTATCCCTTGCTACGAACGGTAAAAATACCGACTGTATGCTGTTGTAAACACTTTCATTTAACTATAGTTTGAAAAGAATGGTGTTAAATGCTGCAACCAGTGTTCAATTCTATCTCGGTGGACTTTATGCAATTGGCAAGTTGATACTATAGAACTATACCTACTATACCTTCAAATTGTAACCTCCTAGTGGCATGATATTTTATGCACAACGAACTAACTAATCAGATGGCATATCATGAATTTTTCTTCGCGTGAAATTCATTCATTCGAATAGCTACAGTTTGTCATTAAGAAAAAAACTTTATCGTGATTAAATATACCGTTGAGGGAGGGGACTCTTCAAAAATGAATTTGTGTTTTCAAATGAATTTATTCATGGTTAAAATCTGCTTACGTTTGTTTATAATACTCTTGTTTTCATCGAATTCATGAATCAATCAATGTTGAGCCACTACTATTAGAAACCTGAAAGCGCTGGTCGGCCGTCGCATTCTAGTAATGGGACTGATCAGTGGCGGTGCTCATCCACGGCTCCCGCTACTCGCACGAGTCGAACCCAAGACCCTCGGTGTCGCGTGTGAACGCCTAACCAGCTCCTCCCCTGGACCACTGAGTCGGCTGGCACTGAACGCGATGTTAATGTCTAACTCTAATCAATCCCATAGTGTTTCCTACATGAATTATCCATTTGCAAAAATGGTCTTCTGATTGGCTGAAAATGAGTTGTGGTTATTTTCACCTCGTCTCCCTTATTCTACTCGTCCTATTATCATTATTATTATTTCTAACTGAACAATTCTTTTTTTTGTGATATATATATTCTATTAGATATCGTTCAGAATTATCTAATTTTTACCTAAATCTACTTGTGTTTTAGTTGTTTGTTTTTGTTTTCCGAAATTTTGTGCTTGTTTGTCTGTTTTGACGAATTTCAATCATATTCTCTCTATATGATGAAGTACATGTACACATACATGCACAATGTATGTGTACACGTACTTCATCCATAGCACATTATTGATCGACGTGTAGATAGGTAGACAGATATACGTTGGTGAAAATTGTAGCA